GATGGTGAAGGTGAAGGAGATGGTGAAGGTGAAGGAGATGGTGAAGGTGAAGGAGATGGTGAAGGTGAAGGAGAGCACAAGTCAAGTCGACAATAAGATAAATTGCCTCATCTCAGTTATGCCTACTGGGTATGTTCCTTTCAACCAAGGGGGTGGCCCATTTCGTTTGCCCCGCCAATTTCGACGGCCCCTTGTGGTCTCGGGTCAGCAGCCTGCATTGGGGCGCCTCGTTCTATCTCCGCACTCGACCGACTGAGTTACAACTGGTGTTGCGGTGGTGGCCTTGCGCCTCACCACCCTCTTCCACGCCCCCTTTTTTCCCTTACCCTGAGCTTCGTCTTCACAGCATCACCACGGTTAAAACTTCGGCTGACACTGACGCCTATATCTCCGGTCGCTGCTCTTCGAGCTGCAAAGTGACCGACGTAGGTAGCAATGCGTATTTTTTTTTTAAACCCATGTATGGACCGTGGTCGAAAGACCCCTGGCTTGATTTTGTATTTAACGGGAACCATGTCCGCTGTCGCCTGGCCGCCCAACAGTCTACCACAGCACAGAGAATATCACCCTTTTGAACTATTCTTCATGCTGTATAAGGATTCTCGTCTTGACTCGCCGCACTGAGGAGCTTTACCATCCAGAGAGTCAACATGGTCCATTTGATCTTGACCGGGGCTACAGGTCTAGTTGGGTCGTCTGTTCTCTCACACATTCTCTCCCTGCCGTCAAGCAGTACACCTGTCATACACAAGCTATCAATCATCAGTCGCTCCAGCTCAATCCCCTGGCTGTCCGCCACTCCCCCTCCCGGAACGCCAAATGTGAACAAGCACACCAAGATCGAAGTCATCGAGCACAAAGACTTCGACTCGTATCCGCCTGAGCTGTTGGAGAAGCTGAAAGGCGCCGATGCTTGTATATGGGCCTTGGGCGTGAGTCAGAACGACGTCTCTAAGGAGCAGTATGTGAAAATCACCAGGGACTATACCTTGGCGGCAGCCAAGGCATTCTCCTCGCTGCGAGAGTCCGCGTCGGCCTCTCCTGAAAGCAAACCCCATGGCAAGGAATTCAAATTCATCTACGTCTCGGGCGAAGGCGCCACTCTACACCCGCGCCCCTGGACACCCCTGTATGGACGCACCAAAGGCGAAACAGAACACTCTCTCCTCAAACTCTCCAAGACGCCGCCTTACTCCAATCTCCTCTCGGTCTACTCGATCCGTCCCGCTGCCGTGGATGGCAGCTACCAGCCCTGGCTGTGGGACCAGATCCTGAGGGAGAAGCGAACGGCCTTCCAGCGCTTTTACTTAAAAACCTTGATGGCGCCGATTCGATGGGGGTTCTTTGGAGAGGCAATGCACAGTCCAACCGACGAGCTGGGGAGGGTACTGGTGGAGATGGCAGTAGGAGAGCAACGAGGGCCCTTTGAGGTCGGGGACGGTGTGGACAAAGAAGGAGAAGGGCGGATGGTGGGGAATAAGAGGTTGAGGATGTTAGGAAGAGGGCAGGGATGGTGGAAATAGAAGAAACACGCGAGGAAGGACCAGGGCTGGGCAGAATGGAGACAGTGGATTTGTTTTAAGATGTAGTGAACGTTGATCTCTCATATATCTTTCATATATACATAAATCCATAGTTCCTATCCCTTTTATCGTTCAATCGTGACTCGATGTGTGCGCTCTATACCTCGTGGTAGTTTGGCCGTCTCGGGGGCAGTTCTTTCCCGGACCAAAGCTGTCATCTGCTATCTTGACAAGCAGCCGACGAAACAGGCCGTACATAGTCACGACATTCCCAACCCGAACAACACGGCGGCCAGTGTCACGCACACAATAACGAGCAGCCCCCGTCTATCCATCTCCACCATTGGAGCCCCAATCGACTCACCCGTACTGCTCGCCGTCGCGGCCGGTAGATTCAAAAGTGAACTCGTCGCGGTCGGTGTCCCGCCCGTGGCACCCATCGTTGCACTCAGTTCGTCAAATCCGGTATCCCCACTGCTCCGTTGAGGGTCAACATTTGCTTTGAAGAACAAATTGTTTTCTCCGACGATGTTCCCCGGCGGCCAGTACTCGCACACCAAGTATATGCCGTCCAGCCCGTTCTGGCCGTTGCAGTTTGTCCAGCCGCATCCTGTGGCCTGTGTGTTTTGCCATACTAATTGGGTAAAATGACCCGTGCTCTCAGTAAAGCCGGTCGGATCTGTGCTGGAAAAGTTATACAGTGCCCTTTCATTTCCCCAGGCGTCAACTGCCGAGATAACGTCGGGATATCCTCTGGCGAGGTTCTCCCCATAGGGACCGTGCGAGTGTTCCCATACGCAACTTTCCGAGTAGCTCTGAGCGTAAGATGCAAGAGTATTGTTCCAGTATATGTACCCGGCCGAATGCTCGTAACGATAGAAGTTCGTAGAGTTGAGGATTGATTCCCGGAAGGTGAGGGAGTTGGTGTACTGGGGCGAGAGAGGCGTGGTGGAGGCGGCCGCGGTAAAAGTTTGAGTAATGGTTGTACCAACTACTGTGACCGTCGCGGGTTCTTGGCAGAGTACTTGGACAGGGAGGAGCGCGAGGAAGATGGTGATCGCCGGGAGGGAGAGAAGAAAAACCATGATCAGAGGTATGCGGATGGCTGTATTTTGCAACTTGGATTGTATGTTTCCCCTTCTGCCCGTCTCTTTCGTCTGCGATATAGAGCAAACTCGTGCTACCACAACATGATATGGCGATGTAGAATATGTTCAGTATGCTTGCGCTGGACGATGTTGGTTTTCAATCTGTATATTCTAAGAGGCTGAACGATAGACGGAATGAGAGAGGTGGAAGAAGATGCACAAGCAAAAGCAAAGACGCAGAATAAGGATAAATTGGTCAAGGGCCTGAGAGCAAAATAACACACGCCATAGTTCGGACAGTGCTAGGTAGCGAGGTTGGTAAGGAGTATATGTAAGTAATGAGGCGGAGTCGCCTTTGCTGGTGCGCAGGAAGTCCGCTCGTAGTGCTTGGGTAGTGGTGGCTCGCGGTGTTTGGGAAGCAGATGGTGGTGATCAAAGCTGTGGTGGTGGATGGGCCTGGCACTGATCGGTGGTCAGCGGTGACGTCATCTAGTGCTTAGGCGGCCTCCCAGCGAGCCGATAGGCGCGTATAAGAGCTTCCAGGCCTGGGGGAGCCCCCGAGTCTCAAGGCCCTGTTGGCCCTGCCACCGAGCTGCAGCCCTGAGGACCCTAGAAGCTCATGTGGAGGCTGATGCTAGGCAAGGACTAAGTACCGGCGAGCCGGGTAACAGCCCAGAGACAGCACCCACTGAACTCCAAACGGCCGATGCCCGGGGCCTCAATACATGTAATATTAATAGACTAGGGACAACTGGGGATCTGAAACCTCTTCCTCTGCGCACATGTATGTCCTCCGTACCTCAGGCTCAAGATGACAACCATGACAATCAGCTTGGGGACAGGTTCTGCCCATCTGCCCTCCTCCCATGTCTATAGATTGTCTCGTGGAGACCTTGACGAGCATGAACCCGTCCAGTCCAGTTGAGAGGTATCAACTGCAGAGGGGCTGTCACTGCCACAAAAAAAAAAAAAAAAAACAATGCCGCGCAAGGCTCCAGGTATGAACAAGAAGGCCGAACCGACAGAGACGAGCCGTTGTCACTTGGGAGGATTCCCCTCATATCGATGCCGATATCGACCTGCAAGCTCCCGGGTCCGACAGCGATTGCAAACTGATATTGCTCGTCTTGGTTTATTTATTCATGCCCAAAACAGTTTGAACACCACTTCCTCATTTCGTTGTCCTGAAGCATTGAAACTCAAACATCGTTGTCGCTTCCTGTTCGCAAGCTCAGTTCTCGTCTCTCCTACTGTTATGATCAGGTCGAGCTGCGCTGAGCCCGAGTTTACGGTCCTGTCCTGCCGTAGTAGGAGAGTCCCCAAGGAAAGTGGCTGAGCACGTCGGTTGACCGTCAGAGAAAATGGCGCCTGATCAAGAAAACATCTCGAGCTCCTGTAGGTCTGAGGGAGTAGCATTGAGATACAAACCAGATGCTGATAATTGATCCGCAGTTGCAACCAGCGAAGCAGACGTTGAAAAAGACCGAATCATGGTGCCTCCCATTCGCGCCCCTGAAACTGTCCAAGAACAGAACCTGTCAGCCACTAAGAACGAATTCACGAACCCTTACGCGACAAAGATCCCCAAGGAGTCCATCCTCGCTTTGTTTCCCAACGAGGAAACCTGGAAAACCGTGTCGACCGCTGCGCGACAGAACTCCCGCTTCCACAAAAACAACATCATGGCGCAAATCCTCTACCTCAGCTGTCTGAAGAACTGCGTCCTCCCGGAACTGATACAGCGAGGCAATCTCCTAGCACAAGACACTTTCCCCTTCTCGGCGATGCCTCAGGTTATCAATGACAACCAACGCGCGTGGATCAGTTGGGCCGTCTCACTCGACGAAACCATCGCCAATGCCCTCAAGCAGCTCAACTGGCTGGAGCTCCTTGAGAAAGAATACGAATCCGCTAAGTCACTCTGGACAAGCTTCTGGCCTCTACACCAAGAAGAAGAGCGACAAAAAGCCCCTTGCCCCCTAACGGACCAAGTAATGCCACTATGTGCCACTTTAGCTGAGTTGGAGGTGGTTTATGAGAAATTGGCAGGGCACAACCGACGCAGACTGTTCTTGCAGACGAAGATGATCCAAGGCAAGGATTGGGTGGCGCGGCTGCTTGAGATGGTGCCACCGTGGATTGAGTGGGAAGAGGTCGTCAGGGCGATGTTGACTGCTGGGACGGGCGGACAGTCTCAGAGTAACGGAGCGGCTGGAGAGCCGGAAGGTGGGGTTGTCGAGGACATGGAAGATGAGGAACAATTTGACTTGTAGGTGGGATCCTAAGACAACCGCCTTCCTTGGTGGCATGGCAGGGAGATGATGGAGGTGGAATTCCATACAACAGAAGGGGAAAGCTGTTGCTGATGTCGAGGGCGCCGCACAGGCCGACGACGAGAGCCACCTGCACGAAAGCCCATGACACACGCCCAAAGAGGGATGGAGTGCTCTCGATAGATTGAAAAAGAATCGCTGGGGGAGCCAAAATTCAGCCTACATGAGTATGCAGCCATCCCCTTTCACCTTGCCCTCGACTCTGGCTCTCAGCAATAACCAATCACTCCTCCTCTCTGCAAACTCGACCACCTCCTCAACAGTAAATACACCTTTGTACCTCTCTTGATCGGCAATAATCGTGCTCATCTCCCTTACGTCCCTGTCACTAGTGCCTTCAATCAAGTATATCTGGGCCAGGGACCTTAGGGCCGTGAAATAACTGTTCAAGTCCGGGTTCTTGAACGTCGCGATGAACTGTGAGTATGCTGTAAGGTCGCTCAGTAAGTTGAGGGAGCCAGCGCACGAGATGCGTTGACGCTTGATGTGTTTCGTCAAAGTGGTAAAGAGCCGTAATCCGACTTCTGCTGTGAAAACATCGAGGAGAGTCTTTTCGGTCGCGCCTGTGAGCATGCCCGTGTGGTGGGCGACAAGCTTGATCACCCGCGATGCGGTCGCCGTGGGTTTGCCAGAGAAGTCCATCACGGGCATTGTACTTGCCATACTAGATGGTCTGCTCGCGCCACCGTTTAATATGGACGCCATTGTGCTCGCGTGATGCGTGGCATGGCCGTCTTGTATGGCTAGTTCTGGATAGAAATCGGTGGCTAGCTGGGTAGTGGCGCAGATATACTCGACTTCATCCATTAGCACGTCAATACCTTTTCCCAAACCGGCAGCGACACTCTCATCAAGCATAGCTTCGAACTTGCGCTTCTCTTTCACGTTAATGTCGAGAAAGTCGTCACGATTGGAGATGCGTAAGCGCACCAACTCGGATTCGTAGAAGACATCGAGCATTTGTTGGATGAGGTCACCGACGTTGACGAGTTCGAGAAAGGTCGCGAGGGGTGCAACTTGGTCCGTTGGGGCCGAGTCGCCGTGCGAATTGGTGTCCGTCTCGCGGGCCGAGTAATGTGAGAGGTGATCGATGGCCCTATCAAAGCCCGTCTTGACATGACGGATCCCCACGGTTTGTACAAGCAAAATGAAGATTGCAGAACATTGCGTGCGAGCGGATTCGCCGGCTTCACCTCCCAAGGCGATGAACTGAGCGGCACGGTCTAGTGAAGATTTGGCGGCATGGACGAGGTTTAGAGCAACTTCGATAGAGAATAGAGATCGGATATTCTCGAGCTTGGAATTCATTAGAGCCGCTTTGGCTGCAAGTTCGTCGGTTGGGGCTTCTTGAGGAAGAGAGAGAGTCATGGCCCGAGGCCCGGATTGGCTAGGGGTAGCTGGTCTCGACAAGGAAGCAACATCACTATCGAGGATCTTAGGACCTGCTTTATGAGTAGAGGAGCCTGTGAAGACAGGCAGAATATTGACTGGCATCATGAGCACTTGTTTGAATGATGACATGAAGTCCTTTTTATCAGCTTGCCGGTTAACATTGGACATGAGAAAGCTTTCTGTCGAAGCGGCCTGTTCAGACAAGGCTCGATCCCACTGTTCGACTTCGGAATCTGCTTTGTGGCGAAAGAAAGCTAGCTCCTCAGCAAGATAGGTTTCGAGATGAGGCGCAAAAATCTCGGTTCCAATGGCATTGCATCGAGCTATAGTCGACTCGTCGACGTCCTCGGGGAGGGCAACATTCTCAATAAATTGCCTGGTTGCCTGAAACGTTCCAGAAATGATTCGGAGATATATGGACGTTCCTCGAGTCCGAGCATCTTCGAACAACGCCGACAGAAAAGGTGAGAGGATCTCTTTGGCTACTTCTTCAAGCAAAAGAAGAGACACCTCCATGGCGTCCGGAAATACGGCTTGAACAATGCCGTTCTCTCGTATGAAGGCATTACCCAATCGTTCAAAGTATGCTTGAACCCTTTCTAAGGACAGCTGGCCATAACCCAGGGAGTAGTCGATACAATCATCCACGGAGCCGAGTTCTGCTCTTTGATTGATCATGTTGTTGTCATGCAAGAAGAGGTCGATACCGCTCTTCCCACCATTAAGGATATGCATAACCCGTGCATACTGACGCATTCTTCCATGGATATCCTTGAACTCATATCCTTTCCGGAACTCTAGGAGAGCTGCGGTGTCGAACGTGCCTACGGCTTCCGATATGTGTCGGTCTCTCTCTCTTGAACCAGGAGAGAAATCACTAGCGGAGAAGACTCGAACATTCGCTAGCAGTTGGGCCTGTTGATCTGGAAGAGTGAAATCCTTGAATATACGGCTCTGCATCGGATCGGAGGCAGAGAGCAGATTGGTATAGTATGGGGCCAGCAGTTTGTAGATCTTGCTGTATTCCTGTCTGGCCTGACCTCTAATGGATTTGACCCGAGAGAGAGCTGACAATGCCGCATCATGGTCGACATTTAGTCCAGTGGAGGCCGGGGTGCGCGGGCTTAACATTTCAGCCACATCAAACCCATCTGCTGCCGCCGATCGAACCCTCAAGGGCGACAGGAGGTTCGGTTGCCGGGCTTGATTGACTGGAGACGCATCCATGTCAAACAAAACTTCCGGTCTTCCTTTCCCGTTGACCAAGTGGCGATCTATTGTGCTCTGTCTCTGACCTGGAGTGGTTGGTGTCCTTGGAGGCTCTGCTCTTCTCGCTTCAGCGTCATTCCAACACCCCATCATCCTCAATCGTTTCACCCATCGTGCATCGTCATATATCATCTCGTGCATCCGGCGCGATACTTGGGCGAACCGAAGCAGATCAGGCACCGTCAGGTGGTCGATTACGACAACCAAAACCTCTAGAATGGTTTAGCCCACACCGAGAGCGAAATGAGAGTAGGGGTGATTTACCTGCTGGAAGTGTTGGTTTGGATATCAACATGTCGGCCATCTTCAAGGAAGCCAGCGGATCTCTCCGTGGCACCTTGTTAAGGGCCGGCGGCTTCCTGGTTTTCGACATTGTGAAAGATCGATCGAGATTCGCTGCAGAGAGGGGTTACAGCTCCTTTACCCAGTATTTCATCTGTTTTTGGAGGCCCATCTCTCTGAAGGGATGAAATGGTCGAAAGGGCCGCCACAATGGCAGGGGTGGTCACGATGCAGCGGTGTTGCAACTAAGTCGCATCATTATCCAGGGCGGAAATGCCTGCGTGCCTGAAGCGATGGGTGAAGTCGAACAAGGTTGCGGAGGTTCGCAGATTACGAGCGGGACGAGGTTTGCCGAGTACACTCCGATTGGTGAGGACTGCAAGGCTGGCACTTCAAAATCCCAAGTCTCCTACCTCATACTAAGTACACAACATCATCTATCAAATACTTCACCCAGTCCTATGAGAGCTTTACATCGTCAATGAGGAGAAATCCTCTGACCTTCCAGTACAGGAAAAGGAATTTATGGTGTAATGAACTAACTATATGAACGCTATGCACCTTTTTTTTTTTTGAATCATAAAGTGCCTCCCACAAACGGTCCAGCAAAAGAAGCCGCTGTCCGATAACGAAAGTATTCCCTTTTCCAAGTCTTCCCATCTGTCCTTGACCCCCCACTTCCTCCTCCTGAAATCTGCGTAGGTATCGCTCTAAATCTCAGACCTATCTAGCTAGCCGTCACTGTATTGAGGAGTGCTGCTGTCCTACAGCAACTCATCAGATATTCCGTCGTCTCCTTCGTATTCTGCGTCTCCATTTGCGCCATCACCATTGTCCTCATTCCTTTTCTTCCCTCTCTGCCCATCTCTACGGATGGGTATTTTGATGCCTTGATCCGCAAATATCCGGCTCAGATGTGTGGTTTCGACAACTCCTGGGAACTTTTTCGCACTGAAGACTTTGAACGGCAATGTGAAGGTCGAGGCCAGACAGGGGGCTTCACGATAAAGCTCATTTGAAGCAGGGTCGCTGTCGTCGTCGTCATCGTCCATGATGAGCTTTGCCAAGGAAAAAAGGGTGCATTTTAGTCGAAACCAGCCCTCCGTCCGCACACTCAAGTCCTGAAAGATAAAGTAGAGCCCTACCTCCTTATTCTCGTCATCCAATCTTTGAACACTAGTATGGCACTGCCCGATGAGATTCTTGGAAGGTTCGCCCCTGACTGGGTTTAGTGATCCCAGATCTTGCGAGGATCGAGAGGAACGAAGCGGTGCGGCCGTGGAAGGGATTGGTTCATGCGGGGACTTTTGATGATGTGAAGACGCGTCGTAGCCATTCTGAAGGTGACCGTTGTAATGCACGTCGTTGCTGTACTGGTACGGCGGGTTACGTTGTTCGAAGGAATCATTATTGTAGGCAGATGAGGCGGATGTGGGTACGCTTGTTGGCGTGGACGAGTCTCTGGCCCCACGCCAACTGGGGAGATTTGTGACGTCGTAAGGGCGGAGCGGCTGTGTCGCGCGTATGCCAGTGGTGGTTAGTGGAGGATAAGGAGTAGTGATAGTCGTTGATATTGATGGAGATGTCGTGTTGTTTCTGACACAGTTGTCCTCGTGGTTGCCATACACATCCCACAAATCAACGCCGAGGATAAACTTGGACAGATCCACGACCTTCCTGTCTCTCGGTCAACAAGCAGAGGGGGGATACAAAGTGGCAGGACTCACACGTAGTCGATCTCCTGATGGGTTTCTGGATCAAAAATGTGGAGTTTGACAATAAGAGGCGGTGTAATAGGACGGCGATCCTAGGAAGAAAACTGTCAACTTTGGCCCATATCGATCCACTGCCTGACCTTTGGCTGTTACCTTGTCTCCAAATCCGCACATGCGAGCACGTTTGGGTTGTTGAATGACTTCTACTGCGAATGCATACTTTCCCCAAATCCTGGAAATTGGTGGTATTTCCGGAAGGCCGTAGAAGGATTCGTCATCCGCCGTGCTACTGTGACTGGGGCTTGCTGGCGGCATGATGCTGTTGCTATTGCTGATGTTGTTAGCCACAGCGTTCATGTTATTGTTCGTCAGAGGAATTTTGTTATTGGCCGCCATCTGATTCGCTGAGTTGTATGGAGAATAGGGGGCCATGGGAGGGATCTGCAGAGGCACAGGTGCTGGCGCAGGATGTTGGAGAGGATGGGGATGAGCTCTTGGAGGAAAGTGAGGCTGATCTGTCGGATACATAGTCCAAATGAAGCTGCTGAAGGATGCCGGTAGAGTTGAATCAGAGAGACATATATATATGTGCGAGACCGCAAGAATGGTGGAAGAGAGGTCCTCGTGTGGCAGGATGGTTCTTTCCAAACTGAACCTTCCAAAACAACAGTGGTATTCCAGTAACGACAGGGCCGATGGAGGCTTAAGCAAACTCAAATCCTGGCCTCTAAATGCAACTCAAATTCTCAAGCTCTCTCCGGTCCTCGCTACAGAAAACTCGTCTTGAACTTCGACAAACTTTGACATCCGACTCATTCCCCAAACACTAAACACTCATTCAGGTACCTGACTGACTGGGGCACCCAAACAGAACGTCTGGCCAAGGTGGGACGAGGAGATGGAAGCGTCGCTAGTCAGACAAAAGCGTTGAGGTGACACAGAAGTGCCGGGGGACGATGTAGAATCAGGTGAACGGCTATCAGCCCTCGAACGACACGAGGTGGAGTGCAGCGGCCAACCCGAGGCCTTGAGTGGTTCTTTATCTATGGTTTGGGAGTTGTCAAGGTTAAATGGCGTAGAATTTCTCGGACTGGGATTCTGTAGAGGGGAGAATGTGGTTGTGGTAGCAGTTCCGTTGATTATCGTCGTGGTGGTGGTGATTGTGGTGGTCCCCAACTCGGGATGTCGTGGTATAAGATTTGCTTCTCCAAGGTACGATAAGAGAATTTTTCGATCGTCAAGAGACTAAGTTGGTTTATTCTAAGGCAAAGAAGAGAAACTCTGTGGTTCAGGCGGGACACCAGAGTTTTATTCAAGTTTCTGAACAGGGTCTCGCGGCAAAGGTTCATGCCATGGCGCAACGGCAGAAGGATGGCAGATCTCGACGATGTATCCGGGTTGTGGAATTTGGTTGCCGCAGGTACATCTGACGGCTGAAGTCAAGGGATATGGATCATGAGTCAGGATCAGGACCAGGTTCAGGATCCCAGAGGACTGTTGAATCCGACACAGACCTAGAACCAGACAGAGATCCAGAATCTCGAGCAATCTGTGGGCGGACTGCTAGATAGAGAGGCCAGAGGTCAGAGGCGAGGTGAGGCGAGTTGGGAGATTTAAAGTGAGAGTTTGAGACAAGGAATACATTCTAGTTGCAGTGGCAAGACGAGCACTGGGGGCATTTGATCTTGCAAATCTCTAGGAAGAGAATACAGACGGTAGATGAAATGGGCTCAGCCATGTACAAGAAAGAGTCCAGCAAGCAAAAGGCAAGAGGATAGGATCACATCAGATCACGAACGCAACCTCACTACTACCTCAACCTCGACACGATTCTACCCCCAGGTCCCTAGAGGCTAGGAGCCTTTCCTTCGGCTAGTGGGCTAAAGTTGTAACTAACTGCAACTGTGGGTTGTGTTTGTGGGTTTGGTAAGAAAAAGGTCAAGCATTCGGTCTTTCGGGCGAGAATCAACGGCACCACCGACACCAGGCACGCCATGCACGGGCCCCAGGCACACCCACAAAGCCCACTGCCTAGGGAGTCTTAGCTGCAGTCACCAGAGAGTTCAGGTTCTAAAGGACCCCTATCCGCCTAGAACGGACAGCGGAAGCTGTTCGTCCAGGCCCAGGCGCCCGGATCAGACCGAGATCAGCCTATCGCTTGCCGCCCAGGAAGAACTTGTTGCAATGTTTTGATGGCGCCCCGCGAATGACCACCGACCACTGAGCAACCCCTCGCCCTCGCAGCAAAAGCCCAGCACAGCACACGGATAGCCATCCGACAGGTGTAGCCTCGCAGTTTAGCTACAGTCCGCTACAGTACCTCGTACGAGGTAGGTGAAGTTAGGGTCTAATCCGCCGTCTCCTTACTAGATACATACCTAGGCACATAAGTATGTATGTACTAGGTACTCCCCCTGCTGCCCCTACTGTAGTCTCCGTAGGTACAGTATGGTTTTGCCTTCGGCGTTCTCGGCAAACAAAACCACAAAAGTCGTCGATCCTGCGCATCTGCCGCGATCTAGTCCCAACTAAATTCTTCCTCCTAAATACTATGGGCCGTAGACTCCGTATTTGTGTCTTCACAAGAATTACAGAACGGCTTTGTCAAAAGTCCAAAAGGGGGAAACACAAAAAAGAGCATCGGGAAAAGAAGAAAACCCAGTGATCTCTTACCCCACCAGCTCCAGCCGCAGCCGTCTAGCCAACTCAAGCAATCGATCAACGGGCTTCCACACCTCTTCTAGATGTTTTTTTTCAATCACACGGATTGCTGTTCTCCGTACCGGCTACTCTCGTATCCCTCGCCTCAATTCCCCCCTTGGTATGAGGTCAGTGGCTGATGCCCGGTTATGACACGTCGACATTTTGTTGTGTCGCCTATTCTTCAAACCCTGAACGAAACGAAGCGTCAAAGGGCCGTGCAGAAATACCAGCCACGAGATTGGCATGGCTGCACGCGACCGTTGGCGCTGTGCAACCATGGAACTCGTGCGCGCTTTTCGTTGCAGCAGCCCGCTATGTTCATTACGGCCAACAGCCTCCGGTTTTGGTCTTAAACAATTACGTATTAAGGCGCCGAGGACGCTTAACTCGAGGCTTGCCTTCCCAATGGCAGTGCGTTCCAGACTTCACTCGCCTCTGCAGATGATGCCCTTTCAGAACCGTTACCGATGCTAGACCCAATCAATTTTCGGGCGGCATTCCACTTCCACTGTCCGCCTCGTGGCGTGGCGCGGCCCTGGCTTCGACTTATGTGCGTACAGACCAAGCAGACGGGCAAGGACCAAAGACGCATCCTGAGGATCCTCATTACAGCCAGCAGAGCGGTTCCGAATGACCGTCCATGTCCACCAAGCAAAAACAAAAAAAAACAAACGACTCCGTCCGGACGCTGTAATCAACGAGAATTCTTGACTCGACCGAGCGGATTCTCGCCACCCCTGGGTATGTGTGTGTCTCGCTCGCTCCCTGTTCACTTGTCGTCGTTATGCTTGCCCGTCAGGGTGTCCTTTGTCTTGTCCGCTAGCACACGGATACTGCTTCGTTCCTTGTTAAAGGATTCGGATCGCACCTTCTCATTGTGTGCTCGAGCCTTGCGCTGTTCTTCTTCAGTGGGCTTGTATAGGTTGGCTGCACCACCTGCCAACCAAATTTTAGCTTCTACGCGGCCCTACTCAAGAGTTTGGTCGAGCGTACCTCTGCCGGTATGGTGGACACCCTCTGGAATTGTGATTACGGGGACATCGACGTCCTGAGCACGGCGAGCTTCCTCTGGGTGGTCAAAGTCATTCTTGGCCATGTTGCCAGTTCCGCCCCGACCAGTGGTATACGTCTTGGACTTCAACGAGGGAGTGGTCTGAGGCTCGAAAGCGGGCGACAGTCTATTTTTGGTGGTGACGTTGCCTGATAGAGAGGTCAGAGAACAGCGGTCTTCAACCTTGTTAGTCGCCGAAACATGTACTGACCGGCGCCACCACGGCCATAGGTGACGGTCGGGTTGGTCATGCTGACTTTCTAGTACAGCAAATTGAAGTTCGCGATTTTCGAACCTTCGCAGAAAACAACGCAGTGTTTCCTGCTGGAGCGAGGTGGTTCTCAGAGAGGCAAGTCAGGCAACGACGCGGAGCCGCTAGAAGCCCAGCCACAGGTAGCAAGGACTTTCGAGAGGGGAAATGGAGGGTTGAGAGCGAAAATGAGTTGCCAGTAAAGGTGAGGGTATTAATGAAAATGGCGAAAATTGGGATGGAGGGGTTGAGAAGTGAAGAAAATAAGGAACAATGGATCCCTCTTTCCCACCTTTGCTTCAACTTACGTCGAAATAAGTAGTATTCCTCGAGGGGTCCGAGGCTTGCATCATCACGGCCCTAGATTTGACCAAAAATCCTTTGATAATACACGTGCGGAGAGAAAAAAAAAAACCAAGCCCATTAGATGGGACTGTTAAAACCTGGGAGAAGAAGGAGAACCAAAACTACACGTAACAGAAACAGCCTCATCGAATGGAAGCCCGAGGCTAAGAAGGCTGGGCATGAATTCATTGCTCTTGTTCTCCTTGTCCTCCCTCTTCGCGATTCAGGAGATACAAGAGACTGTCCTGTCCGCCTGCTCGCAACACTGCTTCAAATACTTTCTGGACTCGCGTACATGGTTCCAAGCTTGGATTCCGACGCAGATGCTTTCAAGCGTGGCGGAAACTTCAAAACCCCGAGTCATCTCGAAGCGACGACAATTGGCTACATGACCATGTTCCCCAGATTTTTATCGATCTGCATCGGATGATGTTGGTTTGCCCTAATCTTACGAGCATATCTCCGCATGTATGTATCCTCGCTAGAGAACAAAAGGGGAAAGCCTCCCTCATGCGTCAGGATCTCTGTTCTTTCTTCAAACGGGATCGTTGTCTTTACCGTCAAGCCATCTGTCAAGTCGTCCATCAGTTCTAACTAGACCAAATAGAACTTCCCAAGGAGAGCTACCCGAGAGGACAACCGTCTTCTAACCCAGCTCACTTGCCGCGTCCCCTGTGCTGGAGGCGTTTATTCTGACTGGAATCGCTCCACTGCTGTCCACACATGATCACGGAGAGGAAAAAGTTGAGATTTTCTGGGCCTAGCAAGGAATTCTTACCGCAAGTTCCCTCTCGTTGTTGCTGTCAAAGGTATCGTCCCTTGGTCGCAAACGTCACCGGATGTTATTGCCAGGACGATGGACATCGAGACGGCACCAGACGGGGCCTTCGTTAGAAGACACTGCAGATACCATCCTGCCTTTGCTCCTCTTGCCATAATCATGTCCTTCCACCGACGACTACCATGGCACAAACGATTAAGGATCCTGGTACTGTCAATGTGCAGCTCGTTCTTCAGCTGCCTAGTGTGGACGTTTGCGTTATCCCAGAGACGAAAACAGCAACAATGGTGGACTTGGGATAGAATGGAACCCTATGACCTCGCGGCAGCGGTGAAGAGCCGGGTTGATACGATTGATCTGCCTGTACGGAGTAGTCTACTGTATGTTGAACTGAGGGGGTGAGATCTGTGTCAGAATACCAACCTCGCCCGAGTTCCACAGCGTTGGCACTGGGACTCAGCCACTGACGCCACTGAGATGGCAATGTTGCAAACGAATTGGTCTTAACCCTTGGGCGGACCTCCCGCTTAACGATAAGCACCCGTTGCTAGGCGTCATTTAGGCCATTTAGGCGTAGTCCCACCTGGAAATCCTGCTTTGTCCCCCCACCATTCGCCCAGCAGCCTGGGAATTTTCTCTGTTGAACCTGAGAGTGGGATGCAGGAACGGGCCTGAGAATCGAACTTTTCCATCTCAAATCATCCACTCAGCAGAGCCCATGCAGATCCTGCTTTTCACCACCATAGCAGAACAACGTGCCTTCGGCGGCGGGCGGGGTCGAGTGACAGCTGCTCTTGCTCCCGCCTTTCCCAGCATTGGTGGCACTTACCTCGCCGTGTAATAAATAATAATGAGGACCAGCTTTACGGACACACCACATCACAGCATTTCTTCCTCCTTAACCCGTCCTTCGGTGAGCGATCATTCTCTTCACAGCTCCTTATTCTCTTATCCTTATTTGCACCGATCCTACAATTCCTTCTCTTGAGTACGTATATTTCCACCTAAATCGTTACAAGCCTGCACCTCCATTTCGTGCTGCATTCAGCTGTGCGGGTCGGGCTGTCGCAACCAGACAATGCCATAGAATAAAGGTAGCCAACCAAGAGCACCCATTCTAAAGACCTCTTCAGACCGTCGACGGGCCGGCAACATGCCTCCTAGAACCCATCAAAGCACCCGTCAAGTCTATCTTCTACCGCTCACCGACGCTGGAGCTCCGGATGTCCCCAATGAGTACATTTACCTGCCTGCGCCGACCGAGCCTGCCTACTACCTAAGATTTGCCATTGAAGGGACCAGCTCAATATGCCGTCAAGGTAGCCTCTGGGTCAACTTCCCCTTGAAGGGCCAACCGTTCGACCGTAACCGGTACCACGAGTTCAAGCTGCGTCCGGATTTCAATCGGACCCTCGAAATCGACATTCCCATCACTTCCGCTGGCGCATTCTCGTTCTATACTACCTACAGTCCTCTGCCTGAGTTTTCTACCGAACATGTCGACCCTCCCAAGCCAACCCGTACTCCCACTTACTATGTTGACATTGAGCCAAAACTGCGACTTGGTGGCAGCTGCTTGCCGCTTGATGCTCTGGGTATCTTCTCAGTAGTGTCGAAATTCATGGGTCATTACCCTGAGGACTGGAACAAGCACCTGAGGGGGATTAGTGCAAGACGCTACAACATGGTCCACTTTACACCACTGCAACAGCGAGGAGAGTCAAACTCCCCCTACAGCCTGTATGATCAACTGGCGTTTGACACGGAGCTGTTCCCGGGTGGTGAAAAGGATCTCGCGCAGATGGTCAAATCCATGGAAGAAGAACATGAACTATTGGGATTGACTGATGTTGTCTTTAACCATACCGCAAACAACAGCAAGTGGCTTGAGGAACATCCTGAAGCAGGCTACAATGTCGAAACTGCCCCCTGGTTGGAATGTGCCCTCGATGTTGACAATGCTCTCCTCGAGTATAGTGATAAGCTCGGGTCTCTCGGCCTCCCCACTGTTTTCAACAATGGCAGCGATCTGGATGTGGTCGTCGCGGGTATCAGGGAGCACGTTATACACAAGATCCGGCTCTGGGAGTATTTTGTCTGCGATGTCAAGTCAGACACTCAGGCGGTGCTCGATGCATGGAAGAAAGGCGCTGTCAAGTTACCTCCTGAGGGCTTCGAGGATGCAATTGGTGGTGGACTTGACTCCTTCAAATCGTGGTCTCTCTCTCAGAAGGCGGCGTTCCTCCTTAACAAGGGTATGTTAGACAGTCTGCGTGTTGATGGTCAGCGGTCGCGTCTTCGCATTGATGGCCGATATTCACGCAAAGTCGATCCCGGAGTCGGAGCTGCTATTCTGACGACTGTATTCGGCCACTACGAAGACGGAGCGGACACCCGGTCGGCAGAGGAAGAGGTGAAGGCGATTATCAATGAACTCAACCTTCCCTTTTACAAAGAGTTTGACGCCGACTGCGCTTCAATCCTGGACCAGACTAGAGGGAGACTGCAATATACGAGAATGGACCCTAATGGCCCAAGACTGGGCCCCATCACCAAGGAAAACCCTCTCATCGAGACTTATTTCGCTCGGCTATCGCAGAACAAGACCACCGCGAAACATAACCCAAGGTCGCTATCTCTGGCGGTCAATGGATGGATATGGGCTGCCGATGCCATGAAGGACAATGCGGGTCCTGATTGGAGACCATATCTCAGAAGGGAACTCATTCCATGGAGTGACTGTGTCAAGCTGAGGTACGGCAAAGGTCCACAGGACAACCCTTACCTGTGGGAACATATGACGAAGTATGTCCGATTGATGGCCAAATACTTTACGGCTTTCCGAATCGATAATTGCCACTCCACCCCAATTCATGTTGCCGAATATCTACTAGACGAGGCGCGAAAAGTGCAGCCAAATTTGGCAGTTTTTGCCGAGCTGTTTACTGGCAATGAACAGATGGACTACGTCTTTGTCAAGAGGCTTGGACTCAGTGCCCTGATCCGTGAAGCAATGCAGGCTTGGAGCACGCAAGAGTTAAGTCGGATCGTGCATCGGCATTGCGGCCGACCCATTGGCAGTTTCGAACTCAATGTCCCTTCGAGATTAGGAAATAAGCCCGAAAATGGCTTTGTAAATGGTGATGGTCCACAAACCCGAGAGGTCGTCAAGCATATCAGAGAATCTCCGGTGCATGCTCTATTCATGGATTGTACTCATGACAACGAAACGCCCGCTCAGAAGAGGGACGCCAGGGACACGTTACCTACGGCTGCGCTTGTCAACATGTGCGGGTGTGCAACAGGCAGTGTCATGGGTTTCGATGAGATCTACCCAAAGCTCGTCGATCTTGTACACGAGAAACGCAGCTACACATCAATCAGTTCCGAAGGCGAAGTCCATACCGGGGCCGGCGAGGGGGGAATAGCTGGCGTTAAGAAGCTCATGAACCATATCCATACCATGATGGGCAAGGATGGCTACGATGAGACCTTCCTTCACCATGAGGGTGAGCTCGTCACCCTCCACCGAGTACATCCGGATTCGCGTAAAGGGTATTTTCTTATTGCCCATACTTCTTTTCCTGGGTTTGGTAATGGAAATGGTGGCTTGAGTCCTGTGCACCTCGCTGGAACCAAAGTCCGTCCACTCGGGGCATGGGTACTGGAGGTCGATCAAAGTGAGCAGGCGAAAAGAGCCGCATTGAGCGAGAAGGAATACCTCGTCGGTCTACCATCTCGAGTGAGAAATATTAAAGGCAGCACCATTCATACTGAAAATGGTGACACGACGATCACACTAGCTGAATTCTTCCCGCCCGGCTCGGTTGCACTTTTTGAGACCTGGGTCCCTTCAGCCGAGCATTCCCTTGGCCTCGGAGCCTTCATCTCCAGTGGCACGGATGAAGCGTTTGGCGAGCTCGATTTAATTGATCTCAATTTTGTCCTCTACCGGTGTGAGGCCGAGGAACGAGATACCAGTGACGGTCAAGACGGGGTCTACAATATTCCCAACTATGGTCCATTAGTATATGCAGGCCTTCAGGGCTGGTGGAGCGTGATGGAGCCCATTGTTCGTCGAAATGATCTGGGCCATCCTCTTTGCAACCATCTCCGCCAAGGGCAGTGGGCTCTGGATTTCTTGGTTGGACGGATGGAGAGGATATCTAAGAAAGAGGGATATACTCGACTACAAAAGCCTGCTCAATGGCTCAAAGAACGATTTGATGCAGTGCGAATCATCCCGAGCTTCCTCCTGCCACGTTATTTCGCTCTCATCCTCCAGACAGCATACGACGCCGCGTTCAAGAGAGCCATTGAGCTGATGAGTTCGAACATCCAACATGGCCAAAATTTCTTGCAGAGCCTAGCCATGGTGAGCATTCAACAGACAGGGTATGTCAAGTCTGCATCATTGTGGCCAGACAACAGTGTGCCATCACTCGCTGCTGGGTTGCCTCACTTTTCAGTGTCGTGGGCTAGATGTTGGGGGCGAGACGTTTTCATCTCTCTGCGTGGCCTATTTCTGTGTACCGGTCGATTTGCAGAAGCCAAGGAACATATCAAGGCATTTGGAAGTGTTTTGAAACATGGCATGATACCCAACCTCTTGAGCAGCGGTGCCGCCCCGAGATACAACTCTCGAGACTCGCCATGGTTTTTTTTGCAAAACATTCAAGACTATACCAAGATTGTACCTGACGGGCTGTCTATTTTACAGGAAAAGGTTCCTCGTCGATTCCTGCCGTACGATGACACATGGTTCCCTTGGGACGATCCGCGAGCATATTCGGAAGTATCTACTGTTCAAGAGGTCATTCAAGAGATCCTGCAACGACATGCGTCCGGCTTGTCTTTCCGAGAGCACAATGCTGGTCCCCAATTGGACATGCAAATGAGACCGGAAGGATTCCAGATCGATGTCCATGTCGACTGGAAAACGGGCATCATTTTCGGAGGCAGCCAGTGGAACTGCGGAACATGGATGGACAAAATGGGTGAAAGTGAACGAGCTGGCAGTAAAGGGGTCCCCGGTACACCTCGAGACGGAGCAGCTGTTGAAATCACAGGGCTCGTTTATAGCGCATTGCGATGGGTTGCCCAGCTCCACAAAGCAGGGAACTATCGATGGTCCGGTGTTGAAACCGATTCGGGAGAGATAATCCCATTCACGGAGTGGGCTGACCGGATCAAAGCTAATTTCGAAAAATGCTATTGGATTCCAGTGGATCCCAAGGATGACATTGACGACGATGTGGATCCCAAGATTATCAATCGGAGGGGAATCTACAAAGATCTCTACAAGTCTGGCAAAGAGTACGAGGACTATCAACTACGACCGAACTTCCCAGTTGCAATGGTAGTCGCTCCGGATCTCTTTACCCCGGAAAGAGCCCTCCACGCATTGAAAGTGGCGGATGATGTGCTTCGTGCTCCCACCGGAATGGCAACACTGGATCCATCCGACTTGAACTACCGGCCGTACTACAACAACTCGGAAGACTCGACCGATTTTGCCACGTCCAAGGGGAGAAATTACCATCAGGGTCCCGAATGGCTATGGCCAACGGGATTTTTCTTGCGCGCATTACTCTACTTTGACCTGAAGCGGCGGACCGACGCTGCAGGAAGAATGGAATCCTTCCAGCAGGTCACGAGACGGCTCGAAGGATGCAAGCAAGCAATCAAGGATAGTCCCTGGAAGGGGTTGACGGAGTTAACGAACAAAAACGGGTCGTTCTGTGCGGACTCGGTAAGTTCTGCTCAGCACCCACTCGGGACTCAGTGAGAGTGATATGCTGATTTTTGGACTACAGTCGCCTACTCAAGCATGGTCGGCCGGATGCATGATTGATCTGTTCCGCGATGCATCGTCTTTGGAACCGGAAACAAATGGAGTTTAATTGAGAATACTAATGGCAAAGAGACACAGTTGGCTAGATGGAGGAAAAAGATGCGAGACGCGACGCGATGCGTCATCTTAAGACGTCAAAAAAAGGCTACACATTGAACCCCGAGATTGCATGACACGAGAAACATAGAGCACGACAGACAAACGAACTATATTGTTAGAAGGGTCAAACACACACGCAAAGCGAATGAGGCAAGGTTACCTCTGAATGACTCTTGTATGAGCAGACAGTTAGTATTATACAACACGAGGGCCTCTTCTGTCGTCCAGTACCTCGTACTCGTAGATGATTGTTGCGACTGGCAAGGCTGGAGGGGGAAGGGGAGCGTCAGCCTCGTGGAGTTAATTCGTCCAATCGGCGACTTTGACATGCGTCATGCAAGGCACAGGAAAAGTTCGAGGCCCTTGGAGGTCCTCGCCCCTCGATCTCTCCACGAGACTTTTTCTTGAGACCGCCTCTGCAGTTTGCTTCTTTTCGTTGCACAACTATCTTAACTTGACTAGCTCTTGAATTGCGGTCAGAAGTGTCCCTTCGTTCTACTCGGTATACACATCTCTTCCTGAATCCATTGCATTCGCTTCCAGACCATGCCTGTAAGTACCTTGCCTTCCCTAGAGCATCGATCCACAGAGGCTTCGCGCAAAAGAGACTGACTCATCTGATCGCTTCTTCAGTCCTACTATATCACCAACCCAAACGTTGGGAACAAGGAGTCTTCCGAAGATTGGCGAAGTGAGTATCCATCGATGCTTCCTTCATTTTCACTCTTGCCTACACTTTGTCATCGAATCCTTGACATGATGAGGAACTCCAGTTTGACTGACCCACGGCTGTGAGGCACTGCAGTTAGAGGCTACAACCCCCTCACACCTCCGGACCTCCTTCAGCATGAGATTCCCCAGACCCCTTCTAGCAAATCCACGGTCCTTCAAGGCCGTGCCGACTGCGAATCCGTCGTCCAAGACATGGATCCCCTGCGTCGTCTCCTTGTGATAATCGGCCCTTGTAGCATCCATGACCCAGTCTCCGCGCTCGAATATTGCGATCGCCTACTCAAGATGAAGGAGAAATACAAAGACGAACTAGTTGTTGTGATGAGGTCCTACTTGGAGAAACCGCGGACGACGGTGGGGTGGAAGGGATTGATTAACGACCCCGAGATTGACGGCAGTTTCCTGATAAATAAAGGATTGAGATTGTCGAGGCAGTTGTTTGTGGACTTGACGTCGAAAGGGATGCCGATTGCGAGTGAGATGCTGGATACTATTTCTCCCCAGTTCCTGGCCGATCTACTCTCTATCGGAGCCGTGGGCGCCAGGACGACGGAGAGTCAGTTGCATAGAGAACTTGCATCTGGTCTGAGTTTCCCCGTGGGCTTCAAGAACGGCACGGATGGCACTCTCGGTGTGGCGATCGATGCGATCGGCGCGGTGAAACATCCTCATCACTTCCTCTCGGTGACCAAACCTGGTGTTGTGGCGATTGTCGGCACGGTGGGCAACGAAGATTGCTTTGTCATTCTACGGGGCGGCACTACAGGAACGAACTACGATGCCGAGTCAATAAAGAAAGCGAAAGAGATGTTACGGAAAAAAGGCTTGAGGGAGCGAGTCATGGTGGATTGCAGTCATGGGAACAGTGAGAAGCAGCACAAGAACCAGCCCAAAGTTGCAAAGGTCCTGGCAGACCAGATTGCTTCAGGAGAGGAGGGAATTATGGGGGTCATGATCGAGAGCCATATCAATGAAGGTGAGCACCGGTTCCTGTCTGCCCCCGACGAACACTTACAAGAGGGGATTACTTTCTCTTCCCGCTGCGTGACTGTCTCCACCCTTCGCCGTGGAGGTTTATACCTAGGCTGACTTTCATTCTTCTTTGTCTAGGCAACCAAAAGGTGCCCCCGGAAGGCAAGTCGGGGCTGAAATACGGTGTCTCCGTCACCGACGCATGCATAGGGTGGGAAGACACCGAGGTCGTGCTGGAGTCGCTTGCGGACGCAGTCAAAAGGCGGAGAGAGTTGCTGGGGAGGAAGGTAGTCAACGGAACCGCGCACGTAGCGCAGAATGGCGAGAATGGCCATGCTTAACCGTGTACATCCAGCATGCAACCCGAAGACCTTGCGAATGGGAGTGAGACCGCAAGGAATGGGAGCAGTGGGGAAAGGAGAAGAGGCAGCACACCCAAGGCCCTTTGAGTGGGCACAGGGCTGTGACCTGTCGTGATACTTTGTCAACAATATGGAAATGGAGGTAGGGGAGGAGGAGGCGAGGGAGGCGAGCAAGGTCCTGGGAGTAAAAAGCATGAATAACTCGGACGATTCTTACCACATGGATCGAGACAAAACGGATAGGCAGGCCGCTAGGCAGGCCGCCGCCGCCGGGTAGAAGCTTACAAAAGGGATTGATCGGGATCAACGAAAAAGTTGGCGACATATCAATGATTATTTCTTGGTGCATGGATGGAATTGCATGGATAGTGGAATGATGATGGATTTTCACCCTTTGCTGGGAGAACAACAACCTTCTAGGAAAAGGCGTGTATGTGAATGGGGAATCGTATCATTATCTCCAGCTGCGTAGGTCTATAGCCTTCATCCATGTTCGCACAAGAAACAAGATCCGATATGATGGAATAACATCCATTGTTTCAAACAAGGAACACCGTCCAAAGATCCAAGTTGGATAGATCTATCTCTGTGTGCCTGGTTTTTCACCATCACAGGCCGCTCCAACTGGGGGCTCTCGCGGGTAGAAGAGAATTTGGCGGACATTGTAAAATTAGAGATCAGGGTTAATAAAATGTGCATGAGAGGGGCTGTTTTTCGTCATTTGTAAGCTGAGAGTTCGGTATATCCGTCGTCCAAGAGGACGAAACTACCAGTGGAGCTCTCGCGCGCCTTGCCACCGTCTCTTTCGGCTTTTCCGCGCCAGGGCGTGAAATGGAGAAGGTTAGAAACGGAGCAGGGGACCATGAAGGCGCCATTGTGGTATGAAGTTCGTCGGCTTCATCTAACGTTGCCCAAGCGTAGAGGAAGACGAAAACATAGCCGCTCGGCAAATGAGTGAATGTTCCATCGTCTCGTCCCGCTCCGCTAGACTGCCATCAAAGTAGCATAGGACGTGGTATAGACCATGGCGGGAGTAGACGTGCGGCAAAGAAGTGAAAGGGCGGTAAGACAATGGCGGGATCGGATAAAGGATGGAATGGTTGAGATTGTGATCCTCAAAAATAAGAGGCCGTATTATGTAGCAGGCTGTTCGCCACAATACGATCTTTGGTGCTGAGTTGGAAAGGGCTGCTTGAAAGTGAACTGAATTGCGCTGTTGATGAAGGATATAGCTTCGTAACTGATAAACGAAACGAGCCTCCAAGGTCTCAAGAGGAAAAGTCCTTCTGGCTGCTGTGATAGAGTTCGAGACTTGAGGAAAGGGCTGTTGGATCGTCTATCGACCTAGGAAAGGACGTCCAGCATTCGTTTTCCAAGTCGTCGACCGGGCCGTTAAGCTTTTGCTAAGGTGAGAGAGTCGCGTGTGTCTAGTCAGTCGCCAGCAATTTTCACTCTTCCCTGCTGAATCCCTAACAGGTCTATTCCTCATCGCCATCGGACATAGGACCATGCCCTCGATTCTGTCTCCATTGTTTCCATTGGGAATTTCCTCCATTACCCTCTGGATGTTTCCCTTGCATATCATCGTGTTTGTTGCCCATCCACTTGTCTTGAGCATGCTGAGAGTCGTCGTTGACATCGGCATTGGTAGCGGCCTCGGGGTCTCGCTTCTTAAATTCCTTAGGATTCAAATCCTGCTCTTTGACATTTGCGAGCGGGCGAACGTCCGGATTTCCTACCACGACGTTCATGAACTTGCCACCGTTACCCTGCTGCTCCCACCAGTGGAATTTGGGCGCCTTAATGGCACGGCGGACAATTTCTTGGACTTCTGGGTCGGGATGATCGAATAAGGGGGTCAGATCGACAGACTCATCGTCGTCGGGCATGGGTCCGTGTTGGCCTTTGCCCTTTCCCTGGCCCATGCCTTTCCACTTGTGTTCGCCATGGTCTTTGCCGCCATGTTGGCCGCCATGTTGACCGTGGTTTTGGCCTTGCGAGTCGCGCTTCTCAATGTCCGCATTTTCGGAATAGTAAACGGGAACATTAGCTGGGAGAACTTGGCTTCCAGCGACAGCACCATCGCTGGCTTGGAGGGAGGGGAGGGCGCCGGCCTGAGCCAAAATAAAGGCTAGGATGGTTGCCCCTGTGGCTGCTGTGACCTTCATGTCACTATAGATTGGTGTGGTCGCTTTGCGGCAGGTCTTTTGTTGAACGTGTTTCAGAATTTCGGGGGTTGTGGTTTGTATTGGAGATTAGATTAGTTGCGAATCGATGCGCGCACCTTATAATATGCTAGGACCGTCCAAACAACTCTTTGAAGCATCCGAAATAAAGAACAACAGACATTGGAAAGCACTGAAGCAGGACGGACTCAGGAGAAGGATCGTGCAAGAGAAAGGGAATACACCGGAGGTAGTCCGCAAAGAGAGGTGAATAAGAAGTACAAAAGTGCAGGCCATCAAAGCCGCAATGCAAAGAACTCAGGATGCCAAGCTCCAGCTAGACTCGATCTCGTCTTGAATAAGAAGAAAGGCGACCAGGCTAGAACCGAAGTTGACTTAAATAGGTCAGATTGGGCGAATGTGAGGCCGGATGTGTATATCAATAAGGCAATGGCGCTATACCCGTTTCGGACACATACAAAGGCTCGCAACACCCATGGCCCAAAAGTGCCGCTTTGGCTTGCCATCAGCTTCGAAATTGTCCCAACAGATGGGATCAAGAACATATGATGGTTTAGGTCGATGAGAAAAGCGCCGCTTCCACCTCCGGGTTGCCTGCTGTACTCGATTCCTCTAGGTCAGAGCCAAACTGGGTGGGGAGAAGTTGGGAAACCGAGAACACTTACACGACCTTCCAGCCTGTCCATCTTCAGCGTGACCGTTAGTGTCGTTGCATCCTGTACCTGTGGGATGCAAATTTTCAAGAACCAACGAACTTCGAGGCGGAAGATGGGATGCAATATCAATGAATCACATTCGAATGCCAGCAGAGAAAAGCAGAATTGCTGCCAATACCAGAAATCGCTAAATCGCTGATAAGTGAAGTATCACAAATGAAACTGGGGTATTTGAAATGAATTCGACCAAAATGGACTGTTCCCTTCAATCCTGCTCGCCAGCTTCACCATTGACCTGCTGTGCCAGCTCGGTTGGCTCAGGAGCAAGTGGCTCCTTTTCGGCATTGCCATTCATGGGATCCTCCTTGACAACTTCTAGCGGTGAAGGCTGTGCTACGTCGATTAGAGCATTCGCATCAAGATCGGGATAGTTCTCCTTGTTCTCTTCTTCGGCCTTGGTTGGTGTGTCAACACGTGCTTTTGTCGGTGTCTTCTCCTTAGCAGACTGTCTGATTTTGGTTGGGGCCGCCGTTTTGTGCTTCGGCGGACTATTGACCTGCACTTTTTCGTGGACTTTCTGTGCACTGCTTGCAGTAGGTCTCATCATTCTAGCCAGGAAACCTTCGTCTGGTCTACTGGTGCTAACTCGAGATTTTGGTCTGTCGTGACCGTTTGTCAGTGACGTACGAGATGCCTTCTTCACCAATGAAAATGTGCTGGCCGAGCTACTAGCTCGAGGTTGTCGTGTCGACAATGTGGACGGTTTCTTCACAACAGATTTGCGATCTGGCTCGGTCGGTGAATGCGGTGCGTCGTGTTTGGCAGCTGTTGAGGCTGTAGTGGCAGTAGCCGCAGCGGGGAGTTTCCCGGGTACGGTAGGCGGCTTCGTTTTGACTGTGTTCGGCGATCTGACAACCTTTGGGGATATAGGTGTCTGCTCCTTCTTGAGGTTTTCTGGCCCAGCTCTCGATTTTGCACTCGTATCTATCTTTGCTGCAGAGGGTTGTGTCTTTTCCTTTTTCTCGGCACCTATTCGTGCTGCTTCTCTGGCTTTTTGTGCTTCTTTTGCCGAATCCATCACGCCCTTGATTTTTGCAGCTCCCCCTTTGATATGAAGCTTTGGTGACGTTGGGGTTCGAGGAGAAGGCCTTGTCACAGTGGGGGATTTAGGAATAGGTTTGATATTGATCGGTTGCCTTGTAGGCGGCGGCTTGATTGGTTGCGCATCCTGGGTAGTCTGGAGGGTGGTGGTCGGGGGTGGTCCTGGCATGGTTCCATCTGTGACCTGCATTTTCTTGACCATATCTGCTGCGTTCGACTCATTCCCTGATTTTGATAGCGGCCGAGGAATCTTCTCTTGTATTCGACCAGATGCAATTGCCTCAGTGAGATTTGCTGCCTCGGGAGACAGCTTGGAAGGGGTCTGTTCAACAAAAGCAGATCCCTTGAGAATATTGCCCAATCCACCTTCATCTATACCATCATTTGCAGATCGTGCCGTTTGTGGAGCCGATTTTGCATCGTCCTTCTTCATAGTGTCGGCCGCGGCAGGCGACTTCTCTGTACTCTCCGTGTCCTCAATAACGTTCTCTTTGATCTCCCCCATGCTGCTCACTTCACTGGCCCTTCGAATGCCTATCAGGGGTGCGCCTCCGTTCTCACTGGGTCTTTCAACGGCAACGAAGCTTGCACGGACTTTACTGACGGGTCTGCTGTGGTTGGATATTTCCGACGGGTTTGGAGACCGGCCTCGACTCGGAGGGGATGTGGATTGATCGCTGGCTTTGTTCTCGAACATAGCCCGAAGGTTCTTGACTCCGCTGTTTCCAGAGTTGGTTGACATGGCTGTGGATTCCATAACAAGATTAGCAGGTGAATCCAGAGGCAGAAAATCGAAGAAGGGAAGAGCGACTCAATTGACAATGAAGTCTCCCAACTCGGACCGAGATGTAAGGCGGTTGCATGGAACAAATAATGGTGGTGAGCAAGACGCAGGTGGATCCGGGGTTTTTTGGACAGGGGCGGTTTGGGCTCGGCTCTTTTTGCAATGCTACGCCATCACCCGAGACGCGTTTCGCCTCACATTCAACGCGATGCTCCCGGATGCTGATGCTCAGCTGGTGATGCTGAAATGATGGGCTCAGAAGGATCAGCAACTGGGAGACCACTTACACACCTGGTCCACGAGGTGTCCAATCGACTCTGCCAATTCTGGTGGGAATGCGACGTTGAGGGAACAAGTGCGAAATAGATAAAAGGCTGGATTGGATGCGAAATCACAGAGATGTGCGTCAAGTCGCCTGCCCCTTGGTGTCGGCTACATCAATCGTCGTACACGTGACGGAGAGTTCATCTCGTGTGCTGCTCGTGTTGCCGTTGCCGTCGCCGTTGCCGTTGCCGTATCAATCAATGACTTGTTCTGGTATTATGATTACCTATCCACGTGGCTATCTGGGGCTTCTAGTACTCCCGTACTCTATCAAAGTCTACACATGCCATAACGCTGAGAGACTCCCATGTCTCGCGCCGTGCTATGTTCATTGAATGGATACCTCCTACCCGGCATTTACACTCAGACGTCTATCACCTCTGCGCCTCGCTCAGTGACCGTGACACCGATAAGATTCTTGGTAATTGTCTTGACTGGCTTTGCGCTCACCAGATAGACAAGCTTCTCTGTCCAGAAATGCGACAATACCGCCTGGAGCAGAGGCACGCTTCCAAATACTGTGCCCGCAATAGGGAACAGCACGTAGTCGGCCAGGGTGATGAGGGAGAGCCTTCTGCGGTAAGAAAACTCATCAGCCAACTCTTCATACAGGCCGGCTCTCCTCATCTCCCTTTCCCTGGCCTCAATGCAAGCACTGTGGTATCCTTCATAAAAAATAACGAAGTATATCGTCATCAGGGCGAAACTGATCCCTCGCAGAGCTGAGGTGAGGTCCATTGCAGCTGTCAAAAGTTGACACGAGGTGATCGGATATGGGAGCGCGGTGTAGATGGCCGAGGCGAGCAGAACAAGGAACAAATGAATCGGCAAGAAGTGCGCTTCAAACAGTCGACTGAACAAGATGAGATTTCGCCAGGTAAATCTTCGAAGACTGGGGCCGTGAAGGGCATGCTGGCTGAGTTTCAGGCAGATCTCAACATGGCGAGGACGATTTGGTCGTTCAGAATTGGAAGAGCTGATTTCGCTAGATAGAATAGATTGATCATGAAGATTTGGCTCTGCGCCTATCTTGCACCATTGCCGAACAGCATATCCAGTGTCGAGACATCCCCACATATGTCGAAGACCTTGCGCGTACCGGGCAGAATGGTTAGCCAGCCAGCCGCGGATGCCCGCTTTTCCAGTCGTGACATTGCACTGGCTTGCCGGACTCGGAATCGATTTTATCTTCATGCGGCCGTTTGCCGCAAAATAGCACTTCAACATCATGTGCATGTCTTCGCCGATAGCTTCTGACCCAGTGTCCCAGCCACCGGCCAGGCAAACAAGAGGAAGGGGGAGGGTGTAGACTGCGGTAGGGATTGCGACGGTCGACCCGGTTGATTTGCTGGTGAAACATGAGAGCCCAGCACCGCACCACATCAGATCGGCGATGCGCACCATTGGAGGGACCAAGTGCGCATTGCGATCAAAGACGATGGGGGGCATGTACAGGGTCATGTCGGTCAACTCTTGGTCTCTGCGGCTGCGGAGGTGATGGGCGAGGACGGTCTCGAAATATTGACTGAGCAGGTGGGTGTCGCCTGAAAACGTGTCAGTGTGTTTTTCCTCTTTGCAGTTTTGCAAATCACGAACTGTCCATCACCGTTACGAGCACGCTTGACCAGTCGAGATCATTCAGATATTTTCGCTCGATCTGCCTCGCTGCCCAACTCACATTGCTACTCTTTCCGGGGGCTTCGCCAGGCAGACCCGTAGGGTGGACAGTGTATTGCATCTCTCGAAACTTGCCGGCGAATAGCTGGATCAAGTTCTGAGCCACAGTGACTCCGTTTGGATCTCGCTCCTCCATGGCCAAGAAGATCTGTATTTCTATCAGTGGTCGGTCCGCCAAGTTTCTTGAGGGACTGTGCTTTACATCATATGATGATTTGGCCAGAGTGTGGCTAGCGAGCACTCTCAGTGAAGTCTCGAGTATCTCAATGTCCTCCTTGTAGCTGGGCAAGACCACTGCCATCGTCACGGTTCCCGATCCCTTGGTCGTATCTTGCTGGGAGTGGAGTTCCCGGGGATCGTATCGGAAAACATCGCACTGGAGAGTGTCACTAGGAGTGAGCTTCGACGGCCGATGGGCTGCTTTGATATCCCGGGCTGCAGAGTAGGCTGAGGCGCATAGTCTCAGAGGAAAGAGGAGGGCAAGGATATGCAGAAAGACCGAGTAAGAAATAAAAACAGTCTGGGCGACGACAGGACTCGCGATCTGTTTGAGGAATGGAGGATAGAAGAAGCTGAGCCATTCTGTCTCGACGATCTTCAGAGCGGACTCGAGCAGGATCAGTAGGCCAAAGACTGACAAGCCAGGGATGCAACGAAGCGACCATCTGAGAAAGCCCATCCTCGTGGTCTGTGCTGGGTGATGCGCAGCAGTTGTCTCGAGCTTGCTGCGAAGTAGAGGAAGAGGACGGTGAAAGGAGAGAGGGTGCAGCAGGTGACGACGAGGTATGTAGAGACTAGGTGCCGCTGTTAAGACTGTGAAGAGAGTTCGAGCTAGGAAAAGGACTGGGACATTCAAAGCCCAACAGCCATTCTTCCTTCCCTCTTCCCTCTTCCCTCTTTACGGCCCCCTTCCGCACCATTGATGGCTACTTCTCGCTCTCTTGTCACACGCTTCTTGTTTCCGCACGAAGAAGACCCTGGCTGGCAGCATGACAACAGTCGCACTCAATCACCACTGGACGCGAGGGCAAACCCCGCCGCCTCAGGTTTACAGCGAGCGTTGATCCATTCATCTATTTGCCCACTTGGCTATTGTTATGATGTTAGCGCCAGCAACGGTGAGTCCAGGTGATCTGCATTGGGGAGGGCAATGAGCACCAGGAGCCAGTTGGGGATATCGCGTATACCAAACAACGAGGCTCGTGGGTACCAACAAGCCCCATGCACCATGAGCTTACGTACCGTCAAACGTACCTCCCTGGGCAATGAACCAGTCATCTGAACCTCTGGCACCCATCTTGCGTGTGTCGTTTTGGTTCCACCAATCAAAGCCGTGCTGAACGGCCACTGCCCTCCACGTGCATCGTTAGCCGGTCGCTCCAGTCAAGCAATTTTGCAAACCTTTTCCAGACGGAGACAACGCGAGCTCGGGCATTTCAGGGATTTTCAGCATGTTGTGGTTCTAGTGTCGGGCTAGGTGCAAGGGGGGGGGAAGAGTGTGAAAAAGACATCCAAGGCACAAGGCATTCAAATATAGCCATATCGCCCTCGATTGCTTTTGACAATGCCACAGTCAGCACAAGGTTGTGGGACGCTTGCAGGCAGCCAATGATTGCAGCCAGATGGCCGGAAGAACGCGGCTGATTGTGCTTGGCTCTCAAAATGGGCAAAGGGACAACGGGCAACAGGCAACAGGCTGTGGACAATGTGCCTTCTGCCAGCAGGCGCAATTGTTCGAGATCCAGATCCAGATCCAGATCCAGATCCTGGGCCATCTGAGATACAATTTGGCCGGCGTTGGAAATGGCCTGGTCAACTTGGCCAATGCGCCGTGGTCACAACTACGCCCTGCTAACAAGCGGGGGCAAGCACAGGCACAGGCGCAATCTGCGGAAGCTTTTCAGAACGCCACTGATCTTGATCCTCGTCACCTTCGCCGGCCTCTGGCTCATGGTGCGGATACTTTCGCGAAGAGGAAGTATCCCCGCCAATTTGTCGCTGTATCCTGATGCCGAATTGATCAAAGGCAATGTCACCGTCCTCTATGATCCCCACGATCGCCTTTTCAGTCCTCCACTCAGCACTCGAGGCCGCGACATCGTCGACAAAGATGGCAAGCGCTTCAAACTTGTCTCTGTGAACTGGTACGGAGCCAGTGACATATATATGGTCCCCGGCGGCTTAGATGTCCAGAATCGAACCAAGATCGCCCGCATCATCCGTGAGCTAGGATTCAACAGCGTCCGACTACCATATGCCGACGAGATTGTTCGCAAGAATCCGATTATCGACCCCGAATTTCTGACCGCAAACCAAGACCTCATTGGCTTTCGAGCATTGGACGTCTATGCTGCGGTTGTTCGCACCCTGACCGAGACCGGCCTGGCCGTCATCATCAACAATCATATCACCCAGGCGAGATGGTGCTGTGATGGCTTTCCCTGTGACATGGGATGGTCAAACAGTGGCCTCGGGCCTTTATGCCCAGTTCGACAGACCGAGGAGGATTGGATTCAAGATCTCATAACGGTGATGAAGCCTCATATCAACGATCCGCTGGTCGTCGGTACGGATCTGCGTAATGAAGTTCGTGGTTTTGCAGGCAGGTTCATGTGGGACTCGTGGGCGACTGCCGCCGAACACGCAGCAGAACGCCTGCACCGTCTTCAACCGAAGTGGTTAATGATCGTGGAGGGTGTTCAGTCTGCCAATGATATCAGAGGTGCCCTGCATCGGCCTGTTCGTCTGACACATGGGAACAAGTTGGTATATTCGTCTCATGTGTATGGATGGTCGGGATGGGGATCCCTGGTGCCGTACTGGTACCGAACCTACAAGTCTTTCGCTGATGACATGGACAAGAACTGGGCGTACCTCCGTCAGACTGATACCGCTCCTGTTTGGGTTGGTGAGATAGGGGCTCCCAATTCGCCATCACGACGAGACTACCACTATTGGAGGAATCTCATGAGGTATTTGAGAGAGTGCGGCGCCGATTTTGCATACTGGGCAATCAATCCGCGCAAGCCGAAGAGCGATGCTACTGAAACGTATGGTCTGTTGCAGGACGACTGGCAAACACCCGTTTATGACTACAGGCTGTTGGACATGGCTGGCCTGAGACAGAAATAGACTTGGAGGTGTGGAGATACAACCAAAGGAATATTGACCTAGATCTCTCATAAAGCTGGGCTGTGGTATCATTTCAGCTAGAATATACAAGTAATAGTAACATTGTACTCCGTAGCAGTCGAGCCGGGTCCTTGGGCTCGATCTCGGATTAATTTTATTGCGTCGCCGATGTCGTTATCGCCTCCCAGATTGTGGAGGAACACTCTCTCAAACAAAAGCTATTATCGCAGCTGACCATCTCTATCATGGGACGCCGAGGTCTATTCTTAGTTTCGAGGTAGAGATGTAGATGAAGGAGAAACCTTGCAGAATATCTCACTCTCTCTTGTCTTGTCCTGCATTCCGTCCTTCCCCCGCTAAACCTAACCCTTGGTGGTTCGCCTCGAGCGCCAATGTCTTCCAAGTTCGAGCTCGACCCTCTACTGCCCCAGAACGAGCCTGCCCCAGAGATCCAAGGCTATGGCTTCTCCAAATACAGGGGTTATGAGGGCATACAACCTCCGGAAGGTCATGGAGGGTCTCCGAAGCAGTGGAACGGAGAAATCCAGCCTGTGGAGGGCGACAAAGGCGGCGGAGAGGAGGACGCGGATGCCCAATCTTTCTCGTTTGAATCCGCCAAATCGGCACTGAACAAGGTCGCGTCGATTTTCTTCGTCGTGGTCTTCTTCGGCCTCGTGATGACCTTCCTCAGCCACGACGCAACAGGCCGAGAACCTGTCCCTACACCAAGACCCGTGCCCGTGCCCGTGCCCGTGCCCGAACCCCGTCGAACGGTCGAAGAACGGGCGTTGGCCATCCTCGGCCGCACCCCCTTGATTGACGGTCACAATGACCTGGCGATCTTCATCCGCGGCGCATACAAGAATAAACTGCATACCAAGGCGTTTCGGGACAAGTTTGAAAACGGAAACATGGAGCTGAACGTCGACCTGCCGCGACTGCGGAAAGGTCGAGTGGGCGGCGCATTTTGGAGCGCGTTCGTGGTATGTCCGGATAATGCTAGCGAGGACTTTTCGGATAAGCAGTATGCCACCGCTGTGTCGCACACTTTGTCCCAGATCGATTTGATCCGTCGGTTGCAGGGCGTGTATACCGGTAACTTCACCTCTGCGACTTCGCCGCTTGACGTTGCATTGGCAAATTTCCACACCTCAAGGCGCCTGATTTCTCCAATAAGCATCGAAGGCCTACATCAGATTCCCCAGTCGGCGCCTCTTTCCACGTTGCGGTTGTATTATGCCTTGGGCGTGAGAGCGGCGACACTTACCTGGAATTGCCACAATGCTTTTGCGGATGCGGCGTTAATTTCATCTCAGAATGGGACAAGAGTAGCTCCTTACCATCGCGGTGGATTGACCTCGGCGGGCCGTGACGTGATCCGCGAGATGAACCGACTGGGGATGCTCGTTGACATCTCTCATACTTCATATTGGACACAGAAAGCCGTGTTGAGCAACAAGACCTCGGCGGCGCCAGTCATATTCTCTCATTCTTCAGCGTTCGCGTTATGTCCACACCCCAGAAACGTCCACGACGATATTCTCGACCTGGTCAAGGAGACAAAATCCATAGTGATGATCAATTTCAGTCCCGGATTCATCTCATGCTTGCCCCCCGCAAACGAGAGTGTGTTGCCGAAGTTTTACGAGAAAAACAACACCTTGCATCAGGTGGCGAGACATATCATATATGTGGGCGAGAAGATTGGGTATGATTATGTCGGCTTGGGCAGCGATTTTGACGGGATGGGCGAGCTAACTCCCAAGGGGCTGGAGGGGGTGGATCGATATCCTGATCTGATTGCCGAGCTGTTGCGGCTGGGCGTTAGTGATGCGGATGCCGCAAAGGTTGCAGGGGGAAATCTCATTCAAGTGTGGAAGGCTGTGGACGAGGTTGCAAAGAGATTGCAACGGCAAACTCTGGAGGGCGAGGACGAAGTGAGCGGCTGGTAGCCTTGCCGAGCTTACTGGGCGTAAGGCTCGGTTGCTCTTATCAGGTTGACGAGAATAGAAATGAGAAATGCCACGCTTATGAAATCAGGCCCCGACGCAAAATGTACACGCTCACAAAAGAGCCCATGAAAGACACCAAGCACCAAAAAAAAAAAGGCAACTAGAGGTGATGTAGGCACATGGTCATTTCGAACCCTGTACGGAGGACTCAGAGCGGGAACAAAAGAATTAGACTCTCTGGCGAGGAATTGCTTTACACATATCAGTTTCCCGCTCCTGTGAGTTGATATTCAACAACTTACAACCTCGGCCACCGGCGTGACAAGCCGGTATTCTACCACTGAACTACCAGAGACTGGAAGGGCTTTCTGAATTGCTTGACAATTCTGTGAAAATGTAACTGATAAACATGTTGGTGTGGCGGATTTGGAAAATGGGAAATCGAAGAAGGTGAGTCAGCATGAGTGATGAGTGAGAGGCCCGTCACGTGTCGACGAGGATTGGTCGACAGCGTCCTCCAAATACTTCTTGTCCCTTGAATCGATGGATGTGTCTGCTGGACCCGGTAGCGATTCGTGTAATCCTGGTTCGGGTCGTGGTGGATGTGGTGGCTTCGCTGCCTTCACCTGGTTTTCTGAGTTGTTCAGGGAACTCAGTCATGCTGCCTGCGGAGACATATATCCCGGCCCTATCGACATTAGACGCAGAATGGAAATGAATGAGCCTATCTCATTGCTGGTGCCGGTCTCCTGGGTACATCAGTGCAGGTTCCATTTATGCACTTTCTGGGAGTTCTGCCAGACCAATGAAGCCACGCAGTTGTCTTCTCTTGGCCGCCACGCTGTTTATAGTAGGTGCTACACCCAACCCTTGTAGAACGGCATCCAATTCGGCCTCCTCCATCCGAGTAATGTGTCTTGACGTAGCAGGGAAACCCGGAACTTCAATAGCGGTCGAAATATTGACGAGTGGTGTGGTGAAAGAGCTTAGGGTTGAAAGGTACGAATTCTGCATCCGACCTAAATTGTTGATCTCCGACGAAAATAAAACTAAATTTATTAATAGCGACGTATACTTAGCTCTTATCTACGTCTGAACTATGTCAAGCTTAATCTCAAACTGATTAAGTCGTTGATTGAGACGAGTTTCGAGAGTGTTGAGTCGTACGTCAAGTCGTTGGCCGAGGTTATAGATCGCAGTATGATGCCATCGCCATCTCTGACGGCGGGAAGATTTTGAAGTTTTTTGACTTCATTTGCTGTAGCTTGAATACCGTCGGTGAGAGTAATGAAATTGGGCTGCGGTCCCAATGGATTTGGATCATTAGTCATTGCATTAGGATCCATAGCGGCAAGCTGAAGAGGTACGTTAGTAGTGGTGGTGTTTGTTTACAAGGGATGCAGAAATAGGTTGGGTGATGCGGGGACATTGTTCAATTTTTGCCGCAGCTGTACCTGCAGGAGCCGCTCTGCCAAGGCTGGGTACTAGGGCTCCCTGGGCTCACTAGGCCTCCTTTGCACAAGTTGGGAGGCATTTCAATTCAAATACTGTAGCTGAGGTGCCTTTAGATAACGATACTAAAGGGGTATATAGTGACTGGCGACATCAATCAAGGATAGGATCGAACATGACCAAGTGGCGGTGTTTAGGGGTTGAGCAGCTCGTACTAAAGACTCCATCCTCCGTTGTCTGGCCAATCTGGCTTAGAATTGTAGCCCTGTCAGACCAAAAGTATTTATGGGAATATTTGCCTCTGTCCAACTCTGTCTCATCCACCCATAATCCTATCGCTCAGAAAAGTGTAATCAACACCTTTATGGTATAGCGACGTAGAATGGGCAAGACCTCATCATCAGCAATGCTCTGAGCATTCTGGATCGCAGTGCGTCCTTGGAACCGACTCTGCAGCCGACTTTGCAGTCAGACAGACTCTGGCTGTGGCCGACCGTGCAGCCGACTTTGCAGTTGCCGTGATATGCTCGTCACTCGGTATTCTCCTTGGGTCCAACCGGACAATCAATGAAGTATAAAAACATTCACTCCTCTTCCAGATCATTTCCCGCCCCTCTCACAGTTAAAGCAGACACTCTTGCCGGCCCTCGCGTCTCTCCAAAATGTCAGCTCCTATCCAGGTCGCTATCCTGACTGGATCCACCAGGCCAACTAGAATCGGACCCGAAGTTGCAAGCTGGCTTTCCAAAATCATCCAATCCGACCCGAGCATGGCGCATGCTCAATTCTCCATCGTTGATCTCGTCCAATTTGGCCTCGCCAGCTTCAACGAGCCTGTGACGCCGGCATTGGTGAAGAACTTGACCCTGTTCGAGAACCCTGCGACCAAAGCCTGGAACCAAGAAATCGCCAAGTACGATGCATACATCGTTCTTTCTCCCGAGTATCACCAAGGCATTCCCGGAGCGCTCAAGAACGCGATTGACTTCCTGTACCACGCATGGTCCGGCAAGCCCGTGATGATCGTGACTTACGGCATCTTTGGTGGTGGGCACGCAAGCCTGCACCTGCACCAGGTTCTGGGCGACGGAATAGGCATGAAGCTTGTGGATATTGCTCCCAAACTTGAATTCCCCGGTCGAGACGAGCTCAAGAACAATACCAGTGCGGCACTCTTTGAGGCCATGAAGGGAAAAGTTGCTGAAGACACTTTGCGCTTCTGGGAAGAGGAGAAGAGGGAGGATATTGTGGAAGGGGCAACGAAGTTGTTAAACATGGCCGGATCAGCTTAAGCACAATCAGGATCTGGACTTTTCAATTTGCAACAATCCCAAATAGCAATCTGCGATATTTAGGTTGCGTCGGCCAGATGGTCCGGCCTCCAGCGCACTTTGGATAGTAGGTGACCTAGCAAACAGAATCCCTTTGCTTTAGAACGAATTGTTGTCGTTTTCAATGATGCATACATACCTGCGAGCGCCCAGTGGGCCTGATGTCCTTCTAATTCTTGCTTTATCGTCCGCAATGCCCTGCACGCCTTCTGATCTGCTTGTCTAACTTGATCGTGCCGCAAATAAATTTCCGCGGCAAAATAGAAGCAGTGCAGCTCCCATAGAGACAGAACTTGGGAATACCGATACTGGAGAAAAGGGACAATGTTCACTCTGTCGAACACCATCCTAGTTGCAATTACCAGATTGGCTTGGTGGTGGTCGGCATTTAAATGTGTACGAAGGCACACTCGCTGGATATCCCAGTCATGAAGTATCATCGTTGCACTGGAATGCAAGTCAACCGAGGGTTCTGCGAGCAAGTTGACGGGTCGAGTACTGACCTGACACAAAGACCGAGAACGGAGCAATTCACATCAAAACCCTGGTCCTGGTCTCGAAGTAAAGTAGAAGCAAGCATATTGATGGCCTTGTCAAGGCTGGATACCGTCTCCTCACGGGCGGCGGTACCATGTGCCGCTAAATTGCCATAAACGTCTATAGATAACTCGAGAAGAAACGCGGCCTGGCAAAGCCTGCTGAAAAGTGGCAGGGGAGCTTTGGCAGGCTCCGCAGTCGGAGATTTAAGGCGGCGGCAAAATGGCTTGTGGCATTCGGTACCTAGGTCAAATCCCACGGTCGAGGACTCTGCATTCTCGTTTGGTAGGGCAACATTGGGGCAAGGCCGGGGACAAGCAAGGGAGAATGCCGCCAAGTGGTCCGCATAATGAATGGATTTGATCATGCTGTAAAGGATTAGTATAATGAGCACGACACCTTGTTCAAAACTCGCCGTTCCAGAATGTATAGACACCATGCGACCTTAATTAATGCTTGATCGGCGAGAGCTCTTCCCCTTGGGTTGGGATCACACTGCCACTGTAATAGATCGAGGCCCCTAGCGACTGCAGCTGCTGAGGCGATTGTGCCGACTGCCGCAATATGATTTGCTGTCAAATGTTCGTACAAGGCAAGCAAAATCTTTGCCTGCAACACTTCGAGACTTGAACCTCCATTGGAGACAAGCGTGATAACAGACAGATTGATCAACATGTACAACTCTTTGCTCCGTGGTTGATCGGCAGCCGTGAACGGTGGAGATATTCTTGACAAGAGGACGCAGGCTATCTGGAGAGTCATGAACGCCTGGTCTGGGGGGTTGGTAGGATCATCGTAGCGTTGATAGAAACACCTTTCGTCAACCACTGGTAACCACTTATTGAAACTCTGGAAATATGGTTCGACGTCCCCAGCAACGTTATGACCCGTTGAGGGCAGAATGTCCAAGAAGTCGCCAGTATTCCCAAACCCACGGAATCCAGCGGGATAAATCCGTGACGGAGTGTCCTGATACACAGCAGGTGTGTCTCCTCTTGCCGCTCCCACGATCGAATTCTGCTGAGGACAGCCTGAGGCAGAAGAGTGCTGGATACCATTGTGAGTATTGGAACCCTCGGTGCTTTGCTCCAGGCTACATTTCAATCCGACTCTTTCTATGATCAGCACAGCGCGGTCAACCCCTCGTTGTACAAAATTACCTGCTGCAGCGACTGCACTTTGGGGTCGCGCAGTCACACTTTTTCTTCCGAACAATGCATTGAAGACAGCGTCGGCTTTTTGTTCCTTCGCGTCTCTGCATTGTTGTGTTTCGAACCACACAAAGTTGTTCCAAGAAAGATACTCGGTGGAAGTGAAGGATCAAGAAATTGCATGAGAGGTCGGGGGACCCGGACCGACTGCAGGTTCCTTCATTATTTCTGCCAAGCTTTGAAATGACTTTGAGCCTATCTCGGCATGACGAGGCTACGAGGCTGAAAAGCCAGAAGCTGTTGGGACATACGACACAGAATAGATTACATTCCCGACGTTACTTGCATGCTGCCCGAGTATAGCTGCTCAACCAATCCCAATCTCCCCATCACACTCCACCGCCTCTCGCCAGATGCTCTGCCTTGAGGAGTCCGTGGAACACATGCAGCAGTTTTTTGGTCGCCAGGCTACCAAAAACGACGTGCACTCACAACTTCGCCTTTGCTTCTTCAGGTGGAATGATCCTCACCGGCGTAAAAGGGACTGCGAGGTGGTAGAAGACTTGATCCCACCGGTCATTCCCGAACCAGGCTCTCCGTTGCCCTTCCGAGTTCACGGCAACAATCCACGGGGCTCCAAATGCACCGGCGCCCATGGTCAAGTCAATTACCCTCTGTTTGTTCTCTGGAGTCACAGCCTTCTTCATAATTTCCTTGATTTCCTCTTCGGGAAAGATGCCTTCCAGCGCTTTGATAATTCCCTCCGGTGTCGCGATGTTGATGCCTTTACTCCAATACGCCGTGCTGAAAGCTGGAAACGTCGCTTCAAACTTCTCTGGCGGGTAGTGGTCTTTGACCCATGTCGCGACACGAACCGGCTATACAAGATGTCAATCTTAATTGAATCCTAGCGACCGGGACACTCACGAAAAGAGACAAGATAGGAAATTCCTTCGGTCGGACGACCTTCAGCCCGAGTAACTCCCCAGTCAATTCGGAGTCTTGCTTTGCAAAGGCCTCTTTGGCCTTGGGTGTTGGAGTGAAGGGATTGCCAACGCCATCACGAGCTGCGCCTAAGAAGAAAGGTATTATTTCCACAGATACACCGTATGCATTTAGGAATGGCCGGTAGCGGATGATGTTGGTAAACCCAAACAAGGAGTATGGGGATACTGGAGAGACGAGGTGAGTTTCGCACAGATCTCCAGTGGATGTATGATAGACATACCACAATCCACATATATGGTCAGCTTTCCCCCTTCTGGACGCATCTTTGCAAGCTTCGTCCCGAAATATCGGCCGCTCAGACTGGATTTTCAAATGGGAAGAAGTCGATCCAAGCTTTCCAACGATGCCCTTCGACCTGGGCTGATTGGCTCGTTGCAGGCCTTCTAGATGACACGGATGCGAGGTTGCCCGTCCTCTATCTCGATTATATCGCGATGATTATTTATGACAAGTACATGTCACAAAGCACAACAGATGAAGGGCTGATTTAAGCTGAGGTCGTGTAAGAAGCACAGACAGCGATGCCGGAAAGCCGAGGTTCCCCAGCGCGTCACAACGACTAATCATAAATATATATTCGATTTCCCCCTGCTAGGTACCCTACATACCTAGCTGCCTCTGCGTGTCCGGCATTCTTTGGTCTCCTTTTCACACTTCGGTCTGCCTCGTACGCGCGCAAGTCTTTTCTAATCTTTTGAAGACGCCGTTTGATCGAAATGGCGGCCCTTGCTCCACGTGCGATGACGGCCATACTATTCCTGGCATCACTACCCGCATGGACAGCTCACCCTAAAGCACTACATATCCCATCCATGGACGGCGGCTGAAGCAACAGCCACAGGCAAAATCTGAAGTCTTCCATTCACGGCCTATTGCAATGCCTATCGAATCCGCCTATCCACCCGTCTCTATCCCGCCGGTTGACGTTTGGACATTCCTCTTTGATCGGACTGATCGCGAATTCTCCGAGGACCATGGTAATTGCCCCCTGAGAATTGGCTCAGACCGTGCCGCTTGTATACCTCATTCATCCTGCTCACACTCCTGGCAGTCGTATACGTCGATGTCGCTGCACAGAAGCAGCACACGCTGCGAGATGTTCGGGATACTGCTCGGCGATTTGGACAGGGCATCCAAAGACACTGGAACTGGCGGAAGGGCGATGTAATGGCTGTCTTCACCCCCAATTGCGCAGAGATCGCGCCTGTAACTTTTGGCGCTCTTTGGGCTGGTGGCATCGCGTGCCCTTTAAACAACCTCTACACTGTCGGCGAACTGGTGTCACAATTGAAGTCGTCTCAAGCCAAGGCATTGACAACCCATGTTGCATGCCTCGAAGTCGCTCGTGAAGCTGCATTACTTGTTGGATTACCCCTCGACCGAATCATTCTGGCGGGCCCTCGAGACCCCAAAGGCCGATTCCAACATTTTTCGGACATACAGGGCTCCTTGACCGAGACGGAGAAGACTTCCATTGACCCAAAGGAGGATCTAGCTTTCTTGGTGTACTCTTCAGGCACTACAGGACTGCCAAAGGGGGTCATGCTGACACACGAGAACATTGTGACAAATCTCCTGCAAGGAATCGTGATGGATGTGAATCGAACACACTGGAGTAGGGATAGGACTATTGGATTCCTTCCCCTATACCACATATATGGTATGTTCGCGCTGCATCGCTGAGCTTGGAATATCCTAAACACTCTCCTTCAGGTCTCGCAGTCCTCCTTCTCAACCCAATCTATCGAGGAATAAGAGTCTATATCATGCAAAGATTCGAGTTGGAGCCATTCTGTCGCATCATTCAACACGAAAATATCACAATGGCATATGTCGTCCCACCGGTTGTCCTGCTGCTCGCAAAGCATCCACTCATCGCGAAATACAATCTGAGCTCGTTACGCATGATGCACTCATCTGCAGCACCTTTGACGAATGATCTAGTAGAGATGGTCTACAAGCGTCTGAATGTTCCAATCAAACAAGGGTATGGCTTGTCAGAGGCATCCCCAGGTGTGGCTTCGCAGGTATGTGGGGATCCAGTTTAGTCTTGTGTCAACACGTTTGTTAACATATTTACCAACAGTCCTGGGATGCATGGCAAAAGACTGTTGGCTCGGCCGGAACTCTCCTCCCTTCCATCTCTCTCAAATGCATGGACGATGGCAAAGAAGTGCCTCTGGGTGAGACTGGAGAGATTTGGATTAAAGGCCCCAACATCTGCAAAGGATACTATAACAATCCAAAGGCGACCGCAGATTCCATCACTCCCGACGGCTGGTATCGTACTGGCGATGTTGGATACGTCGACAAAAACCACAACATCTACATCACCGACCGCGTCAAGGAGCTTATAAAGTACAACGGGTATCAGGTCGCCCCTGCGCAGCTAGAGGGTCTGTTGTTGGCGCATCCTGCCGTTAACGACGTCGCTGTGATCGGGGTATACAGTTCGGAGCGAGCGACTGAACTCCCCAGAGCCTACATTGTGCCAGCGAAGGGGTACACAAGTAGACCAGAGCTGGAGAAGGAAATCTGTGACTGGCTGCACCCGAAGGTGGCGCCGCACAAGCGATTGAGAGGCGGAATCAGATTTGTCGATGCGATTCCGAAGAGCAATGCTGGGAAGGTGCTCCGCCGGGTTCTGGCGGAGCAGGCAAAGAAGGAGACGGCAAAGCTGTGATACAGTAGACTAGTCGAAAGAGCGTGGAGCAGCTGAACATCCTCCAAGTGCCTTTACATCGACCGAGTTGGGACCTAGCTGTGGAACAGTTACACATGTACCCATTGCCAGGTTGTATCCGATTTGTAGAGAGAAACTGGGATCCGTTTGTTTCAACACATTCATGTATGTGAAAGGCTGGAATTTTTGAGACCATAAACCATGTCTGACCAACAAGTCCTCTGGAGGCCGCTGTTTTTACAACTTGGAAAACATGTTCTCCTTCTGCGGCCGAGCATCCAGCTCGTGCGTCCATGCGCTCCTCGGCTGTGTGTGCAGAAACCAATACGTTTGCGCCAGATCTGCAGGTGCCACCAGGTGCCCGTCAACATCCTCCAATTTGTCTCCCTGGCCTGTCCGCTGCCACTGTCTCCGCGACCACTCGCCGATCAGTTTGCCGTCGACAGGGCTGTCCACGATGATGTGTGCCGCGTGAATGCCCTGGGCCTGGTACTCACGCGTGATGATCTGGCAGAGCGAGCGCAGCCCGAATTTACCTGGCGAGAAGCTGGCTAGGCCCGGGTTCCCGCGGAGAGCACCCGTAGCGCCAGTGAAGAGAATCGTCCCTTTCCCAGCTGCGAGCATGTCCGGCAGGACGCACTTGGTGGACCAGAAGGCGCCGAAGAGGTTGATTTTGGTGAAGTTCTCGAACTCCTCCGATGACGTGTTGAGGATGGATCTGCCGTTGACGCGGCGTGCGCCAGCGTTGTAGACAAGCACTGAGACAGGTCCCAGCTCGTCGCGGATGCGTTTGAAGCTAGATAGGACTGAGTTCTCCTGTCGTAGGTCCGTGATGTAGTACTGGGCTGAGCCCTTGCCGTAGTCGGCGTCGATGCCCTGGGCCATCTTCTGGAGTTTGTCCTCTGTGCGGGCGAGGAGAGCTACACAGAAGCCTTCGGTGACGAAGCGGCGGGCGACAGCTTCGCCAATGCCGGGGCCAGCGCCCACAACTGCGATGACGGGGTTCTTCTGTGAGTTCAGAGACATGTTTGAGGGATGATCTGCTGAGGAATCCAGTGGTTGCAAGGTATCTTTGGTTCTCAACGTTACGAACCACTGAGAGCGGGTTTAAAACCAGTATGTCGAGTTCAGAGCCGAGAAATAACCGGGTACTAGATTAGATGGAAGTTGAATCAAGCAAAAACACAGAAGTGTAGTATTTGAAGCATGCTGTTGGTATGTGAGCAGCCAAGATTGTGGCTTGTTCTGGAGGAAGAATAAGTAATCCCGTCCATTGCGACGGCGGGGACGAGCCTCGGTATACAAACAAACACCGTGTCGCTCCGTGGAGGCATATACCCCTGACTAAGTTGGTGAATTGAATAGTAAGCGGCGGGCATCAGGCACGTGCAACAGTTTTGCGTACGTACGGAAGCTTTGGAGCTGTGCAGAGCACGCCATGAGAATCTACCACAATGCGCGAGGTCTTGGTGGAGGGAAATAGCAGCCTAGACCCCAAGGGAGGACGCAGAGAAGTCTATCAGTATGAAATTGACTGGTTAAATGGCTTTCCTGAGAAATAGATAGATTGACACTCTTGATGCGCAGATCTAGGGAAGAGAAAGATCTATTCAGTCTATACGCCAATCGATGACTCTCGGGCCCCAGCCTCCTCCAGCACAGTGTCTATCAATGGCAATGCACTGATCAGACTATAACTTGCTTCTGGGAGGCTGTGGTTGACTCGCTATTGAACTCGAAAGGTTGGACAAAACCTCGCCAGCCTCTTCCTCAATGCGTGCAATGAGTTCCGCACACGTTGGAATATCATAGATCAAACCCATCACTTGCCCGGCGTACCACACCTGTGACGATAAATTAGCGGCAAGGCATTCTCTCAGGGCTACAATGGGGAGTGACGACTTACTCCATGTTGGATGTCACCACCCGTAAGAACCTCCCTGCCTTTGGCTCCGCTTACCACGGGAGCAACCTCAGCAAACTCTCCTGTCTCGCTCGTGGATTCGATTTCGATCGTCTTGGCTGTCATTTGGTTGCTATACATGCGGCTGGTGTTCTTCCACCGCCTCAGAATGAGCGTGGTCTGATGTTCATCTCCTTTGACAATGGCTTCCTTGACATTCACGTGGATGGGCGCCTCGACGGTACACATGAACCGAGTACCCATGTTGATGCCCGAAGCGCCCAGGCTCAGAGCAGCCATCAAGCCGTAACCATCGGCAAACCCACCAGACGCGATGAAGGGAGTGTTGCCCAATTCTTGACGAGCGCGGCTGTTCAAAATGAGGGATGCAATGTCGGACTCTCCAACATGACCAGCGCATTCGAACCCATCAATTGACAAAATGTCTACTCCGAGTTTGATGGCCGCCTTTGCATGTCTGATTGTGGTAGCTTTGTGGATCACAATGATACCAGCCTCCTTCAATTTTCTTATAACGGGACCAGGACTATTCCCAGCGGTCTCGACGATCTTGACGCCCTCATCGATGATGGCTCGAGTGAACGCGGGATAGTCGGGAGGGTTGAGGGCGGGCAATAGGGTGATGTTCACTCCAAAGGGGTTCCGCGTCAACGACCTTGTCTTTCTGATTTCCTGTCGTAGGTGCTCTGGATCCGGCTGGGTTAGGGCGTTGATAATTCCAAGACCGCCAGCGTTACTGACAGCAGCTGCAAGCTCAGCATATGCAACCCATTGGAGACCGCCCTGGACGACGGGAACCCTGATCCCCAACTTGCGCGTAAGTGGTGTGTCGAAAGCCATGATCCCAGTCTACACAGAGAAGATTGAGACGAGATCGCGGACCTGCGCGGGAACAGACCACGTAGAGAGAGGGAAGTCACTCGGTTCATTCCGGCCTTCATATCCAGAACCACGATCACGAACCATGCGTAGTAATCAGACAGCAGGCCGGGCAAGCCCACTCTGATCGTGTCCGAGGTACTTACCTGGGAATCTGGCATGGGTGGCGCTCACTGCAAACATGGGGTATGGCAGCAGGAATTCGTGCGTAAGGACATCAAAACCACAATCAACAATGCCTGCATGGTCCATCACCAAATTGGCGTGTGAAAAGGCTAAGCCCTAAGCCCCTTTTGTGGCAAGCGTATCACTAATATATAAATGCAGATTCGACCACAGCCGAGGCGGACCCCCTATGTAAGCCCCAGGCTGAACCTCAGTTCCCTAGAATCATGCGTTTCAGTGTCCAAGAACTCAGGAGGCCGTGTCGAGAGGTTGCTGCAGATACCGATTTTCCACCATGAGCCGAGAAATCTCCCAGGATGAGGTGTCGCAAAACAACAGCGCCGACAGCTTATGGTGTATCATCGACTCCAAGGTCTACGACTTGACCGACTTTGCGGACGCCCATCCCGGTGGCGCGACTGTGCTCCAGCAAGTTGCAGGTCTCGATGCAACAGTTGAATTTTTCAATCTCCACAGACTGGAGGTCCTACAGAAGTATGAGAAGTCATTATGCATCGGCACGGTGCAGGGCGAGAAACCCCAAGTCATATATCCAAAGCCGGGAGATCTCAGTTTGGTGCCTTATGGAGAGCCTACTTGGTTGACCCCGCAATTCAAGAGTCCCTACTACAAGGAGAGCCATCGGCGGCTGCAGCGGGCGATGCGAGTTTGGGTTGATACGGTATTGACACCTGAGGCCCAGGAAAAGGAGAACAGCGGAAAGAGGATTTCCGACGCGACCATCCAGGAGATGGGGTACGTATTGGATACGCATCTCTACTGCTCGCTTCTAGCATGATCTAATAGCGTTGTTGTCTAGGCGCCTCGGAATGAATGCAATGCGCATGGGACCTGGGCCTCACCTCAAGGGGCTCACTTTGATGAATGGAGCAGTGACCCCGGAAGAATTCGATTACTTCCATGAAATGATCATCACTCAGGAGCTCTGTCGAACTGCTACTCGATCCTTCAATGACGGCAACCTGGGTGGCATGATCATCAGCTTGCCGGCTGTTCTGTACCATGCCAAAGACCATATTCGAAAGCGAGTGGCTGAAGAGTGCTTGTCGGGTACGAAGAAGATTTGCCTAGCGATTTCAGAGGCATTTGCCGGTTCGGATGTGGCTGGAATGAAGACAACCGCCGTCAAGAGCCCAGACGGAAAGCATTACATTGTGAACGGTAAGCCAAAATGCGCCTTTATCGTCTGCATATGACCTCTGATGGTCTGTTTCAGGCACCAAAAAATGGATCACCAACGGGGTTTTCTGCGATTATTTCGTGACCGGCGTGAAGACCAAGAAAGGCTTCTCAGTACTGTTGATCGAACGACAAGAAGGAGTCGAAACCACGCAGATCAAAACGAGCTATTCCACAACCGCCGGGACAGCGTTCATCAAGTTCGACAATGTCCAAGTGCCAGTCGAGAACCTGCTCGGTGTTGAAGACCAAGGTTTCAGGGTGATAATGACGAACTTCAACCATGAGCGGTGGATGATCACAACATTCAGCGTTCGATCAAGCCGGATGATCGTAGAGGATTGTATAAAATGGGCGAACCAGAGAAGGGTGTTCGGAAGGAGGTTGATCGAAGAACCAGTGATCAGACAGAAGTATAATTCTCTTCCCCCTCTTTGCCTGTCGCTCTCGCTGACATGCTGTTTTTTTTTTTTGTTTTTTTTTTGTTCCAGACTCGCCAAAATGATCGCTCACGCCGAAGCCATCCAAAACTACCTCGAGAACATCACCTATCAGATGTGCAACATGACTCAGGAAGAGCAAAACCGACACCTGGCCGGCCCCATTGGCCTCTTCAAGATGTTTGCCACTCGCGCAGCCCACGAGATCGCTGACGAAGCTGTCAATATATTCGGAGGCCGGGGTATCACAACCACCGGGATGGGCAGGAATGTCGAGATGTTTCATCGCACCTATAAGTTTGACGCCATTCTCGGAGGAACTGAGGAGATTTTGGGCGATCTTGGTGTAAGGCAGGCAATGAAATATATGCCGAAAGCAATGCTGTAATCAGGGTTCTGTGTGCTATTGAAGACTACAGGGCAACTGAGGAAGTCCCATCGAGTCATTATGCTTGAGAGCATTGAAGGAGGAGGTCCATTTGAGTGAGATGGCCGAGTCACCCGATCACACCTGCGGCCTTCCCTGTGAGCAGCATTCACGAAAACTGCGATTTAGGGTGCGGTCGGATGCGAGCAGTGAATATACTCGCGTGAATGTCGGTGGAAAGATAAAAAGAATTTGCAGCTCTTTTCTTTATTTTCTCGTTTCACATTTTCGTCCTTCTTCATTGTTAACCCTCATTTCCTGCCTTTTCTCTTCTCCATCTTCGCGAGCAATTCCAACAAATCGGTTACTGCCTCCCACACCAACATTGCCAAGAGACTCAACACCTATGGTACTGGTGGGAGGATGATCTCAGCGACTCTTTTGTCTCCACTAAGGATTCGAAGAAGCGGCCAGCCTCAGAGAACGATGGTATGGTAAAAGTCAACATATGTTCAATCACAGTTCTCTTTCTTCATCAATGACTGATTAGCTGATTGTATAGATTCCTACGATACTACCAGCAATAAGAAACAATGCGCGCCCAAGCAGCCAGGAAATATCACTGTCCACGAGTTCGTCCCGTCTCATTGGCATACTATAGCTGACATGTAGGGTTTGTTGACCGACAGGTTAAACTGGCAATACTAAAATCAAGTTTTAGCTGTGGAGTCAGCTTGAAAATGGAAGGTGATGAGGCATACGTTAACATTGTCCTGTCAGTCTTCTCTCTCCCTTCACGTTCATTTCTTAAGCTAACGTTCTTCTTAGCCCAATCGAGATTCTTCGCCTGTGGGACCTGCGTATCACTGTCTTCACGCCCGAAGACGTGACGGTGTAAGTCTCATTAACTTTATTTACAGCTCACACTTACTCTTGGAGTACAGACAGGGCAAGGGTCTGTGTTTGGTGGATGGTAGAATTGTCTCGATCAACAATGATCCGGCAAAGGCAGCGATATGGCAGGGCGCATTTCCAATCCTTTCGCACCGACGAATTGTCGCGATGGCCGGAAATGCCTGGTACTCGGTCGATCTTACACAAAGCGACAAAATCCTATGTCGAAAGCACCCGAATGCGGTAACTTCAGTCTGCTTCGACGAAACCTGTGCCTCTGTTCATGAATCATATATTCGATTGACTGAGCAAATGAAGATTTCGAACATTCCGACAAAAATAGAGGGGTGGAGTTTTCCGAGCATCGAAAACGATGACGGTGTCGACGAATGACCTCAATTCGGTTATGGCGAGAACTTAAGAGAAACATAGTATGTGAGAATTAGGATTTACGTTGCAAGACGGCCTGAGAATAGAGAGGCAGGGGTTGAATTGTTGACAAAGACATCAGATGGGAGCTACTGAACATTTCAACCTCCTTGCGATGGAGAAGTTGTCCTCGCCGGAGGTGATGCGGAGGTTGAGGGAATACAAAGTGAGAAGTGATACTTCAACCAACGTCTGGCGGGCTAAATAGAAAATCTAGGATGTGTTGGATTTGCTCGTTTTCCACCTGTTAGGAACACGTCTGCTAGGATACCTTAACCGTCTGCCGACGCATTTCCCAAGACAAGAATCGCCGTTCTGCCAGCACAGATCCTGCGTCAGTATTTAAGAGACCACTTCCTGTTTCAGTGCCACTTTGCAGACAGATCAATCCATGAACTCTCGAATGCTTTTGTTCGCAACACCAAATCGCTGAGCGTGCTAGACTGTGCTGGCATTGTTGGCGCACAAGCCTGGGTTACGCCGTCACCAAGCTGAGCCCAAGGCCATTTGACCCGAGCCCTTCACCAGGCATGCCGAAACTCCGTTACTGATTCATGACCCTAGCACTGCGTCATGGGTTGAGGTGGTGCGTGGTAAGACATCTCAAGGCTTGGCAACCCCCTTTTTGATTGGCTATGCTACAGCCTTGCTGATGGTTATACCACGAAAGAGGGACGTATTCACGATTCTAGAGTCGAACAATTGTTAGAGAGCCTTCCCTGATGGGAAACCGCGTCTGCATCAAGAGAAATGTTCTTTTTATTTGACATATATCTAGTCTGGCTCTAGCCTGGCTTGGTGATGGAACGATCCACATGATAGCAACAGCACATAAACACTAATCCCATGAGACCTAGCAAATGATCAAAGTCTGCTCTTCAGGGCTGCTTGCTGTGCTCAGGCTCAGCGCCTCTCCACGCATTAGGCCATGTAGGTAAGCTTCGCCTACAAGCTTGAAATACCCCTCGCGCTGCGTCCTCCGTAGAATGAAAGGTACAGTGGCACCAAAAAGGATACAACAGACGTCTCCGGGAGCCGCGATCAGTGGTCCCAAACCGAAACGGCCCTTTTCGGTGAAAATGAAGCTTCTCCCTTCGCACACCAGCTTCATATCAGTCAGATACTTCTCATAGTCTCCATGGGCTCGGTCATGTGGCATCCACTGAGGGAAATCACTCTCATCGTCCAGTCCTTTCCGGAGCCTATAATAAGCGGCAAAGTCTTCGCAGTGCTGATGGAGGTTATCCTCGGCGCATCGGTACCTTGACAATCCAGCGCAAAGTGTCAAGCTTAAGGCCGGGATTTTGTCACCCGCATCATAGGCTTGACCATTTGCCTTAGCCATGGCTTCGGCCATGATATGATCCAGTAGTGTGTTCTGATTGCCGATAGCAAGTCTATCCGTTGGGAACCTTCCTAGATCTTCTAAGCCCGCCTCAGTAAATGGAAGTGACCGCTTCACAATGTCAACCAGTAGACCTCGGACATGCAGGTTCGTCCCTTCCGCAACTGTGACGGCTTGCCCCTCAGAGCCCGCAGAAGCCTCGTACCAGAAGTCCGGGAAGACGCCAAAGTTGCATGCCGTGAGCTCGACATTGTGGTAGAAGGGCAACCAGGAAGGCACCAAATTGCTTGTCCATGTCTCTTCATTGTGGTCAACAGGGGATAGGACACGAAGGCCATGGCTTCTTATCAAACTCTTTCCAAGTTCAAGATAAACGTCTTCGTCGGTCTTGTTGTAGGCTGGCTGAACGATCAAGTCCCCACTAGGCTCAAGCTGAGCTAAAGGGTGTCCTAAAAGGGCGTAAATGTGGTCCTTCTTCAGACGGCATGACAGCCATCGCGAGTGGTTCATCAGACCCAAGAAAGTCTGGCTCGGATCCGGAGAGCTTTCTCGCCAATTTGACGACCAATCGAGCCAGTCTGTGTGAACCGTGGCGAAAGAAACGTCATGTCTGAATTCAAGGTGTGGTGCACATCTCGTCGTCCAAACAGCCAACCTCATTAGATCCCGATAATCAAATCCTTCATTCCCGTATAAACAGAACGGTTCTCGTGCTAGTCCCACCTCCTGAACAACCCATGCTCTGGTCCACCATGGCAAGTGGTGAAATCTAGATAGTGTTTTCCACCTTGGATCATCAAGTGCCGGATCTTCGGCTGATAGGATTGGCATATCGTGCACAGACTTGTATTTCGATATCAAAGCAGCATATTCTTTCACAAGAGAGGAGACATTTACTGCATCTCCATCTAAATCGTCACCAAAATGCACAAGGACTCTTTTCGCATAGCTGTAGACTTTACCCATAAAGGCAACATGGTGGCTTCGCTCGTCATCATGCCATTGGTTGATACATACAGCATCGGCCCAAAGGATTCGCGATCGGTCTGGGTATCTAACTCTCTTGAAGACGGCATTGAGACTGACGGTGATAGCAAGCGGCCTTCCGTTACAAAGGACAGAGACAGTTTGGCTTGGATCACCCCACACATAGGAGATGGCCTCGTACTCGGGATGATGGCCCAACTCGGCGATCAAAAGTCGAAGCGAGACAGGATCGTCCCCCTCTCCTGGTAGCAGGTCTACCAGCCTTATTACCTCGCCTTCGAGAAGCGGCAGATACAGGGGTTGGGCAGCGGCTGGTTGAAACATTGGCAATCAAATCTCGTCCCTCTTTTAAGTATTTCGACGATGACCACAGCAGACAGAATTGACGGGCTCATGTGCGGCACGTTGAGAATTCTGAGGCGCTGCATTGGGCTCCGGGTTGGGGGTTTGTCTGGCACAGCATGCAGGGATCCAGAAACACCTCGTATTATTGTCATGCAGCCCTCGTTCCACGTTTTATGTCGTGTGCCTAACCAAGGTCAGTGTCTTCACCAGTTGTAGCTGGCTCCTAGCAGAGCTGTCCCTATGGTGTGATGGCCATGGTGCATTTTGATCATCGACTCGCCTGATTTGCAAACCCCATCGCCTGTCGCACTCGAGAGCAGGCGTGCTGACATTCATTTTGCGGGCTCCCACGGGCAAAGAGCAGTGTGTCACAAGAATCATGTTGAGGCTTGCTGCACGATGGCAATGGCGCGAGACGTTGTATTGGGTCGGTTGGCCCCCGTCGTGGCTTTAGCGCAGGCCTTTCCTCTTTATCGATAACCAAGCGCAGGGGTCCTCGGTGCCTATTCGGGACGCTTGGAGCCTAACTCCTAGGCACCCCCCAGCACCGAGCTAGGGACCCTCAGCCTTGGAAAAAGAAATCGTTGGCCTGGTGGAGCGCTCTCTCCCCCACTAAGACTGCTAACTAGCGGGCAGTCAAAGATCAGCTGGACACATTGACTTCAATGGGCCTCACAGGCCTTTCCCATTATGACATGTTCCTGCGTCACGCGAGATGTTGAGTCGACCAACATTTTGGCCGAATCCTTTTGCGTCGAGCCCACCACTCAGCAATTTTCCAATCCAAAGAAGAACTAATTGCTTTTGATCCCCTCTCCTCGCGGCTGCCCAGCACTGGATGCTGTTGCCTTCTCGTCCATCTTTGTTTCTTCGTTTCTCTACACTCCTCGTTCCCTTGCAATTTCTCTCGGCCGTTCCAAAGCTCAACAGCCCCGTCACCATGGACGGGCTCCGGGTGAAGATGTCTGGTCTGACACCTTATGCAAAGAAACACAAGGTCACCGTGATCGGCTCGGGAAACTGGTAAGGACTACGCTTATTCTTCAAGATTCCGACTGACTCAACTAGGGGATCGACTATTTCAAAACTCATCGGAGAAAACACACTTGAACACCCCGAACTATTCGAGCGAGAGGTCCAGATGTGGGTTTATGAAGAGGAGGTCGAATTGGACAAGAAATCAAAACACTACGACGAGAACTCCGAGTTCAGCAAAGGAAAACACAAGCTCTCCACTCTCATCAACACCTTCCACGAGAACGTTAAATACCTCCCGGGAATAGCGCTTCCTCACAACGTCGTTGCCAATCCTAGTCTCGTCGACTCAGTCAAGAACTCTTCAATTCTGATTTTCAACCTCCCCCACCAGTTTATTCTCAACATATGCAAACAACTTCGTGGCCATATCTTACCTTTCGCTCGAGGCATCTCATGCATCAAAGGCGTCAACGTCAACGACTCCTTCATTAGTCTGTTCTCCGAAACTATTGGAGAAGAGCTGGGTATATACTGTGGTGCCTTGTCGGGAGCAAACATCGCCGGCGAAATCGCCCAGGAGAAGTTCAGCGAGACCACAGTTGCATATGACCCGCCATTGATAGACTCACAAGCACCGACACCCGCCACATCTCAAGGTCCCAGCCCGGTTTCGAGTCATGTCGATTTAACAAAAATCGTCCATAAAGATGTCTCTGGCAAACCATCAAAGGTCCAACTCAAACCGCTCCCTGCCGAATATCATCCAATCGACCATGACACGTGGAAGAAACTGCTCCACCGACGGTATTTTCACGTCCGAGTGGTTTCTGATGTGGCTGGCGTGTCTCTGGGCGGTGCTTTGAAGAACATTGTGGCTGTTGCTGCCGGCTGGGTCGACGGTTTGGGCTGGGGAGATAACGCTAAGGCAGCTGTTATGCGAATTGGTCTTCTTGAGATGAGAGAGTTCGGAAACAGATTCTTCCCTCACACTATCCAGTCTGACACTTTCACTGTCGAGTCGGCAGGTGTTGCAGATTTGATCACCTCTTGTTCTGGTGGCCGCAACTTCCGGTGCGCCAAAATGAGTATCCAAGAGGGCAAATCAATTGAGGAGATCCAAGACAGAGAGCTTAATGGGCAGAAGCTGCAAGGAGCATTGACAGCTCATGAAGTAAACAGATTCCTCAAGCACAAGGGAATGGAGAAGGACTTCCCTCTCCTTACTGCTGTATACAACGTCCTGGAAGGCAAAGAGAAGGCAGAGCATCTCCCCGATCTGATTGAACCAGAAGACGAGTAAGTCAAACACAATTGTTTCTGCATGTGTTTTCGCTCGAAACTGGGCAATTTGTTTTGCCGAATCTGGCAGAACTTTGTTCGGCAACACCGGAGGACATTGGCATTCTCCTACAAGTATGATACATGATACCCAGCGACAGTGAATGATGGGATGAGTGGTATGATCCATTGTCTATGTATGAATAGAGCCACCTCAGGACAGACGGGTGTTCCCCCTGCAGGACGACAATCGCCCAGATGTCAGCTGATGAGATGATCAATTGCTGCTGGGAACCAGACCAGAGACTCCATAAATGAACACTTTTTGTTCTGATTTTGCGGTCTTTATTCGAACCTTTTCAGCAGATCGTTGACTGAATCGTAGATAGGTCTATTTCCTCGTCCCACAACCATCCGCCGCCACCGTTTAATGATCAAGCTGCGGATATATTGGACATAAACGGCGGGGAGATGTCGGATCCCAGTCACATCCCAGATTCATGTTCAGAAGGAGAGCATTATGAAGAACGATCTACCTCGCTCCCATCCAAACCGAAAACCCAATCAGCACCTTTTCTTCTCCTGCCTGCTCCATCCCTCGCTTCCGGCAGATACAACCGCCAAATGCTCATCCCCCAAGTCCGACTCCGCGGCCAAGAGCTCCTGCTAGCCTCGAAGGTCCTCATCATTGGCCTGGGTGGCCTCGGTTCACCCGCGGCGCTGTACCTAGCTGGGGCCGGAACTGGTATATTGGGCCTTATGGACGGCGATAACGTGGAAACGAGCAATCTCCACCGTCAAATTGTGCACACCGACTTTGCTGCACGCTTGGGGCAGAGCAAAGTCCACTCGGCGGCCGCGAGATGTCGAGAGCTGAATCCGGAAATCGCGTACGTTTGTCATGAAGAATCCGCCAGCGCGAGCAATATTCTGGACATCGTGTCCCAATATGATCTGGTACTCGACTGCACAGATAATCCCGCAACCCGGTATTTGATCTCTGATGCGTGCGTGGTGCTAGGGAAAGTGCTCGTTAGCGGTGCTGCGCAGAGAGGTGAGGGTATGCTAATTGTCCTCAACTCCCCTCCCACTTCTTCCTCCGACGGGGACGAAAAGGGCCCTTGCTATCGCTGCGTGTTTCCTCGTCCGCCCGCTCCGGAAACAGTGCAAGGATGCAGTGAGATTGGAATCCTAGGCCCTGTTGTCGGGGTGATAGGGACCTTGATGGCCGGAGAGACCATCAAGATAATCACGAGCCGTGGACATCTCCCTCGTGAAACCACGGCAGAACAGCATGTGAACAGTACGGGAGCTTCCTTGGAAACAGAGAGAGAAAAGAGACAACACACAATGCTCCTGTACAACACCTACGCCAGCGATCCAAGAAGTATGTTCCGCACCATCGGCTTGCGCGGGCGGCGGAAGGACTGCATCACGTGCGGCGACGACGAAACTCTTGCGACAAAAGGTCTGAGCAAGGTCACTGCCGAAATCATCTCACATGGCAGACTGGATTACCAGGCTTTTTGTGGCGTTTTCGAGGATATCAAACTGCTCGGCGAGGACAAGAGAATTCACGCAAGGGATTTTCTCCAGAAGCACGCCGGAGCGGAAGAACAAGACGAAAGTGGTAAACAGAAAACCAAGCCAATTGTGGTCGACGTCCGCGAAGAGCATGAGTATGAACTGGGTCCGAAAGTACGGGGCAGTTTGAATATCCCAATCTCACAGATTCTGAGGCATGGAAATAGGGCATTCGATGTTCTTGGGTTTGGACCGGGGCCGGAATCCGCTCCTGAGATGGGACCGGATGGAGGGATGGTCGATCAGGAGTCGCATATCCCCGTTGCTACAAGGCATGATAGCTTCCCACTCAAACCAGGTGGTCAATCTGATCAAATACCACCAAGCCCAGCAAGGGAAACAGAAGAGAACGCAGGCGAAGAACCAAAATATCCGAGCATATACTTCGTCTGCCAACGTGGGAACGACAGTCAGATTGCGGCGCAGAAATTGATGGAGAGAATTGAAGCTGAAGCAGCAATGGAACAAGAGACAGCGCGGAAGAGGAAGTGGGGATGGATCGGAGATGTTAAAGGTGGCTTTCTCGCGATGGAGAGACACGCAAGGACAGGTGTATGAGCCCTTCCTCCGAGATTCAGAACAGGATTCGGATTCTGGAAAGTTGTACTTGTATGAGCCCTACTATTTGAAAAGAGTCAGCAACATTGAATCAGCGATAGCGATGCTCCAAATTGATCAAAATTGAAGGAATCTCAGAAGGGGAAAGAAAGGTATTCGCATTGACCCATTAATGGTCTCGACCAAAATAAGTGAATCAGCTATTCTTTGTGTCATCATATGATTACTTCTTTTGAAAGGATTTTGTGCAGAGAAGAGATATTGGAGGGTGGCAGTTAATAGAGCTCTACACGGACCTTGATCGGGATTGAGACATGGAATCCCAAGGGGGAAGATGGTAAGTCTCTCTGCAGGCAGCACCAACCGGCCAAGTCTCACTGCTGTTGTTAAGTCAATTTTGAGTCCAAGAAAATCACACCATTTTCATTATACTGGTGATCGAGGGTTGCAGTTCAGAGAGAGAGAGAGATGAATTTCCAAGAGGAAAGCGGAAGGTCGAGCTCGAGGGGAAAATTTATCAATCTTAATGTCAGCCTTGTCCCGTTCTGTCCCGCTACACAAACATTCCAAAACAGCCAAGAGAGATGCTTCTCCGATTGGCTGCCTAGCTGGCCTTGCTGGGTATACGATGAAGCGGGAGAACGCCAGATGCAGTGAGCCAGGTGCGCATCCCATGCATCATATCAAAGCTTCCAGAACCGCACCTGTCAACTGTTGAACAAACACTCTCCTCAGCCAACCCCTACGCTATGCGTCTCTTTCGGCTGTGCGCTTTGGCGCTGGCTGCTGAATGCGCCCATGGCTATCTCGATACCACGCCGTTCTTCATGTTCTCAACCTCCGAGTATGTTTATATCCACACTCAACTTCAGGCACGTCTCGACTGACCAGTGTCCGCCTCGCATGTAGACTTCTAGCAACGACCTCCCACGTTCAATCCGCGCCCGTCTTGACCTCCGACGTCGCATTAACTCTCTCCTCGTGCCCTTCAGACTACTACATTATTGTCTCGCAACCGGGAGTGTCCACCAAAGACTACTCCAATTCTCAGAGATCCACACCCTTTCTCGCAAAGGCGTTATCGCCTTCCCAATCCAGAGGATCGCCTGTTCGGAGTAGCCTCACTGTTCCGGACGTTTTTGGTCGCCTTGACACCTCTGCATGGATTGATGTCTTGACAACGAAATGCGGCGTCTTGGTAACTTCCATCGACGCCTCAAGGGAGGGAGGAGGTATTCCGACGAAGGATTTAACCTCCTCACCCCGCCTGCTCGAACTCGTTCTTCCTGCGCCATCTGCTGGGTTAAATAGAGCTAATGATCTCTCTTCAAACGACGCATTCTTAGCCTCCGTGATAGATCTGCTGCCAACGCACAACTATACTGTTTTGTTCATGACAAGCCGGTCACAAGACGGGATGTTGGTTGCTCAAGGAGCAGGTGAAACGGAAGCCGCCGAGTATGACATGGACTCCCAAATACAAGAGAGCATGCATCTCGATCTGAAGAGAGATCTCGGTGTCCATGCGGCGGCCAACAAGACTGCGAGTAACCAGACCATGATTGATGGGCCGTTGTTCGATAAGTATCAATTTTTCACCCCCGGTGCGTTCTCTCTTTGGGCTTTTCTCTTCATCTATCTCCACCGTCCAAATTCGGCACTGCTATTTACTGACGTACTTCACAGGGATATTCATGGGCTACCTCGTCGGCTTTCTTCTCCTTCTGATCTTGTACGTCGCCATTTCCGGTGTGGCTAGTTTGCAAGTCACGTATGCGGCATTCGACAAGGAGCAAGGACAGCTTGCGACGAAGAAGCAGCAATGAGGGACCGAATTGTCTTTCTTGTACGTTGACGCACATGAATAGATCACTCGCCTCGGATTTATTGGTTCTTGTGAGGCATCTATGCGCCAGTCACCGAGAAGACGCCACAAATGAGGTCGAACCGATGATTCTTACCATGTGCAATTCAATTTTTTGCGGCCTCAGTATAGGTTGATGGGGGACCATGACCCAGCGGGAATGTATAGCTATTAATGTCATACATGTTTAGACAAGACGACCACAGAATGATCTACGGTGAAGCCGGATCATTCTCTTCCTGCTTCGAGAGTGATCCCCGCTGTCTTTACATCAGCAGGTTTAGCAGGTGAACGTCAACAGGGAGACAAAACTCAGGAAGACTTGTGGCGTAGTCGCTAGCAATTCGACGGAAAGCAAGTTGAGCAGCAGAGATTTAGAACACAGCCCCTTGCTACGTACAGACTTCTTTTGTTTCGTCACAGTTTTCGTTGGATTGGCTATCCTGCAGACCAACGTAACAGAATCCCCTACGAACTGATGTTTCTCTGCTTTTGGAGCTTCTAATCTGAGCCCTTTCTTCTTCCTGTCATACCCGCAATGCGGCGCGAATCCGCCCAAACCTACGGTAAGGAGGAAAACATACGAGTCCATCAACGGCGCCTCTATATTCACCAAGCTAGAGCCTCTTAACGACGTCATCCACCACCTCCTTCGTCGTTGCCTTCCCGCCCAAATCCGGAGACACAAACTTGCCCTCTTGCAAAGACGCATCCACTGCATTGTACACGACCTGCGCAGCCTCGGGCAAGTCTAAGAACTCCAGCATGACGCCCACGCTCCTTATGGTCGCTATCGGGTTGGCGATGCCCTTTCCCTCTATATCTGGCGCGGATCCGTGACACGGTTCGCCTATGATGATGCCCTCACCGACGTTGGCGCTGGGTACGAGACCAAGTGAGCCGACCAGAGCGGCGGCCCCATCGCTGAGTAGATCCCCGTACAGATTAGGGGCGACGATAACGTCATAGTACTGTGGTTGAAGGAACAGCTTATACACCATGCTGTCAACGATCTGCTCCTCGATTTTCAGGGACGAGAATCGTGGCTGAGAAAGACATTCTCGGGCGGTGGAGCGGAAGAGACCGTCCGTTTGAGAGAGGACGTTCGACTTGTGGGTGATTGTGACCATGCTTTGCTTTCTCTCTGGCGAACCCTGCTGATCCCTCATCCGCTGTCGCCGCAACGCGATTTCGCCCGCGATGTTTGCGATCCGCCAACTCGCTTTGCTCGATATCCTCTTGATCGCCTCGGCGATCTCCCCTCCTTCGCCATCGCTATACGTCCTCTCCTCCTTTACGTAGAGGTCTTCAGTGTTTTCGCGCACGATGACCATGTCGATGGGATGCGGAACGGCCGATGGAAATGCAGGGGAAAGAGTAGTTTTACAGGGGCGGACATTGGCGTAAAGGGAGAGTTTCTTGCGGAGGGCCACGATTGGCGAGGTGTAGCCTTGGACTTTGGTTGTTGGGGAGCTGTTTGGCAGAGAGGAGGGACAAGAGTTAGTCGGGTGGCTTCGAAGTGAGAGTTGGGTGCGCAGAGAGTGTGCGATTTTTGTCTCTCAACAATGCATATGTATCACCCAACTCTCGCAATTACGGTATATGGGCTCACCTCACAGCCCCAAATAAGGCGCCGTTACATTCTTTTTGCAGAGTCTCGACCGTTTTGTCTGGCAGCGCCGTTCCCGTGCGCTTAAAGCAATCGAACCCGGCATTGAGGTCGACAAAGGAGACGTTTAAGCCCAGAGACGAGGGAAGCGACTCTAGAATGCGTCTACCGGCCTGTAGCTTGAATATTAGGAACACACAGAGCTAGAATCGAGTGGGCAATGAACAAGATTGGAACTGCTGTTACTCGTACCGGAATTACTTCACGACCGATACCGTCGCCAGGAATGAGGGCTGTTTTGGGAGGGCACGTATCAGCATGAAGCCCTGAGGACAATGATGAGAGGTCGTACCTATCCGCAACGTTCGGCTTGCCATGTCTACAACAAGACCTCTCTGAGAAACAAGGGCTCGTTTGCGAAGCGGAGAAGAAAATAATGACAGTTGGAGAAGATTTGACGCAAGGCTGAACCGTCTCCGCTATCGGAACCATCTCAGCCTCGTCAAGTATCGAGTCCAACATTCTCTCCACAAGGCTTTGCGACTGGGCAAAACAAAATCAAGAATCAGCTGTAAAATTTACAAGACGCGTACCATATCACCTCACTATGTCGCGCAGAGCTTCTGCAGTGGACTTGGTCATTGTCATTCTTGAGGCCGATTTCAATATATTATGATCAGGACTCCGTATGCCCTACCTGCCACCCTAGCGAGCATGGCCTCCAGTGACTGGCCAGGTACCAACCCAAAATTACCGTCCAGGATCATCAGTCGTCTCAGATTGTTTACCTCATAAACTACCAACAGTCAACAACATCAGACATTGCTCCCCTCAAAAGCCGAAGCCATGTTTTCCAACTGGGCATTGAACGACTTCACTCTGTCCAAAATTCCACCATTTCCAGATGCACTGCTAATTGCCGTCGTTACGCTTCGTATCAGGAACTCAAATCCATCATGATCTGTTTCCATATTTCTGCCCAACTCCTGCTCGACGCGTCGAGCCGCTTCACTGAGCGTCCATTTCTGTCTTGTCGCCTCTTCATGGTCCCAGTGCCGTCGTCTAAGCGCGTCACATTTCAACGCAACTTGCTCCCGCTCCGTCCTTAACTCAATATATTCAGCTTGTAGAGCTGCTTTCTCCCGTTTAGTCTTCCGAACTCGGGCTTCCAGGTTGATGCGGTTCTCTACAGCTTCGGACATGGCGAACAGTTCGTCATCGAGATCTTTTCCGAATGCTTCGAGAGCCCGCCGTTTGTTGTTCAATGCGCTTCGTTTCCCGGGCTGTGTAGTTTCAGCTATGCGGTCAATCGTGTTCAAAATTGTTTCGCGACAGATCTGGGCTAGCACATCCACCACGTTGGGCTGAGCACGATCATTCGTAACATCAGTGAGTGTATCCCCGAATGGGGCTTCGCCATCTTCGTGGATTGCTGGTAATGTCGGCACACTGTTCAGTTGGTGTGTGAGGATAGGGAAGGTAGATCTGCCTTTTTTGCCCTCGGAAACTTCGGCTGGTCCATCTCGGGAGATCCGTCGGCGAGTCGTTCTCTTGTCATTCATACCTGCAGCCGGCGTCTCTACTTCCGGAGAGCTCTGTTCCACGTAGGAGTCATCCTCCTCTTCTCCTTGGTCAGGAGTTTGTTCTCGATCGGAGGCAGGAGTCTCTGCTCGTTTCCTTGGTCTCGTAAGTTTGCTATACTTCGCGATTCGGTCTGCCAAAGGCATGATCGCAGCTGATGGCATATGCTCAGACGTGGTTTGAGAAGAAACACCTGGCGGCGAATCCTCTTTTGATGCGTTCACAGGCTGACTCTGAGTAGACGAACAGCGTCTTCTGCGCTCGAGGGTGAGGGGCCTTCGTCTCCTCCGCTTTTGCTGTTTCGAAGAACCGGGCAGATCCGAATCTTGTAATGTATCATCTTTCCCCAGCGTCTGATCCGTCCCTTCGTCATCCAGTCCGCGGGTTTCCGAAGCGGATTCGGTGATAGCTTCGTCGAAGAAAGGTGTAAACAGAATTCGCCCGCTCTTTGTAGTTTGCAAATCTGAACCCACGAGGCTCTTCGATCCTCCATTATCGGGCGTCGCATTTTCCTTTTCGTGCTCCTCCTGTGGGACGAATAAGGGAGATGTCTGACGTTGTTCTCCTGCCTGAATTATGGATTGAGACAGCCCGGCATCGTCGTCTTCAGCGATTGCAAATGTCCGACTAGACCTTCTCAGGGAAGCCCGGCTTGTGGGCTTTGACCTAAGGGTTTCAATGAAAAGGTGAGGAGTTGGTGTATCAACAGCCGGAGACATTTCCCTTCTTTTTGTAGAGCGAGTGCTTGTTCTTGTATGCGCAACATCTGACTGGGGTTCCGGCTCAGGCGGAGGCACTATAGATTGAGTCGAGTTCCGTTTGCTCGGTCTTTGTCTAGTCGACCTTGTTAACGTCGACTCTCGGCTTCGTCTGGATGGTGTATTTGATGGCTGGCGAGAAGTAGACCTTGGAGACTGCGGTGTCTTCGTGCTTGAATGCTGTGCCGGGGTCGGAAAAGATATTCCAAAGTCGACATTAACAATCTTCCGCGACCTGGACAAGAGATATGAGCGAGGTTCCAGTCAGATAGAGGTTTAGCATACCCGGCACCCCTCTGTCGCTTCTGGCGACGCTCCTGTCTACTGTCCCCCAACCCAAAATTGATACCAAAGTCTGCAGTTGTGACTGTGCGCGATCTACTATTGTCAGCATTAGGTTCTTTTGACGCTCTTTCAGCAAAGTAAACAAACCCAGCACCACGTTGGCGCATCAGCGCCCGATCTTGTCGAGTGTAAGAAGCCATGACAGGCTGTGGAGACCATTTGAGACCTCGAGAGCTTGTGGCGATAATGTATGTGCGACTCGAAATCCGTGGTCTTTGACTATTCACGAAGACAATACATGAACAGTCGTCACCGGATGAGTCAAAGGCGACGCGTCGAGTGAGGGGAGAACGCGACAGCCTACAAGTAGTGGTCTTCAGCGGCGGACAGGGGTCTGCCTTGGCGCTGAACTGCGGAGAAATGATTTCTGAAGATGAACAGTCTTGCCGTGACACCCCAGCTGAATTATGGGCTCTCGTCTATTGCGGCTGTTTTGAAAGAGCGCGGGCAATCCTCGAGAGAGATGGGTTGGTTTTGGGGAGGGAAAAGCAACCAAAATGACCCTGCAAAAGACCTCGACGACGACTTAAAGCAATTCTTGAAGGAGCAACAACCCCGACCATATGTCCCAGCCGAAGCTCCTATAGAACCGCCGCAGCCTTCAGAGAAGCTCAGCCCTACTGTGAAGCAGTCCGAGCAGATTATTCCGGATACAATAGCGCCTGCGGAAGAGAGGCCATTGCCAAAAGAATCGCTGTTTCAGGATGGCCGATACAAACACATCTGGAAGACCTATATTCCTCAAGACGAGATCACTGCAGCTACATCTACGCCTGTGGAAAGAGTGCTTTCGGCAAGAAAGGACAGAAACCAGTCCATACATAAGGCCGCACTGGAGAACTGCGCATTTGAGGAGGAAATGCAACAAATTTGCTTCAAAGGCGGCAATTTGACGGAAAGATTGCGTGGGAGAATGACCATGTGTCATGAAGAGACAAAGGCATTCAATCGCTGTTATACCCTGCAGGCCAAATTCCTGCAGGCTTTGGGGTATATGACGAGCGCAACCAGTTCAGCCGAGGACGATGAAAAGATTCAAATGCACGCCGACAAGTTGTACCACAGAATGATGGACTATGAGGCTGAGGTAGACGAAGCAAAAAGAAACAACCAGCCCATTCCACCGCTATCATCGCTGTTCAACCCCAATCGACCCGCCCCAACACTGGAGCAAATGGCGCTACCGAAAGCCATGGAGGACAAGATGAAGAAGCCCCTACACGAATATCCACCTCATGAGCGAGAGCTAGCTGCAAGAGCAGCCCTGCAAGAAGCGAAGTTGACAGACTTGTACGCTGAAGATCTCTTTAAGTATAGCGTCACGATGAACGAGGACCGGAAAAATCGACAGGCGTTTCTTACGAGAGTGTTCGGTGAAGTCATTGGGAAATTTCTGATCCCTGATCCTCCCAAAGATCCAAATATTAAGCCTTATAGCCTTCAACAGGTGGAGCGGGATATCTGGCAGGAAGAACATGCGTCTTCGACATCACCGCAAGTGCAGAAGCAGGAATCTGTCGAAACGAGAAAACGGGGCTGAAGGCGATAGGTTTGAGAGCAGAAGTGGTTTTAACGGCCTTCAACCACAACATGATGTGAACTCTAGGCTGAGGAGGAGGCCGCACTGGAGCTAGGCCGGGACACCTTGCGCTCAGTCGTTCCGTGTCCTCAAGCAAAATTCTGTGGCCAAGCACAGGCGGGCGAGTGACGGCTCGAGTGGCTGACGCTGCCTCCTCGTTGTTCGCTTCCAAACTTTGTGGCTTTGCGGATCTCGGAATCGCGACGGCAAGTTACCATGATGGATCAGACAGTATCCATTACAGGATCCCTCCATAATACAAGCAACCCGTCCTGAACCTGTGAGTTGGTGCTCCACGGAATGACGGCGATGGGCTCGGTCGGGGTGTGGCCCTAGGGTGGAATTGAAGAGAACGCCACATAGGTTTTTCCACCTCGATGACCAAGGGAGGAAATATCGAGCCATCAGTGTTGTGAGGGATACTTTGTGTACGAGATTTGTACTTGGGCAAGCTAGTAACCTCTTTGAACAGGTAGGCAGAGATCCTTTGTCGTATAGCTCGTATAAAGTCCTCCGGCATGACTCCTCCTCCCCTTCCCTAAGTAGCCTTGATACTAGATAGTATTTTCATGCGGGGCCTCCCATACAAGCGACATCGACAAATGGCCCGCTTGATTCTCACTTGTTCTCACCTTCCTGATCAGTCAAGGTCTCGAGTTCATCGGCTGCCTCTTCCAATCCAGATTCGATTCCGCACCTCTACTAATACGATCGCGTGCTTGTCAGCTCGTGAGCGAAAGCGCCCATGGCTGCAGAAGGAAGCTGGGAATTGGTAGTACGTACATAAAGGCGAAAGGCGGGGTGGGCAGATGGCAGATGGAAGATCCTTTCTCAGCCTTTTCCTTTTGATTGCTTCTCCGAGAATCCCAGTGTTTAAATGTTATGACCGCATGGCCAATTCCCAACTCCCCCCAAATTCTCTATCTTCCTAGTTCTTCCCACTCCCTTGTGTTTCCACGCTGGCAATATCATTAATCTTCGCCCTAGGTCTTTGGGCTCTAGGCCATGGGCCTCTTCCGCCGACATACCGCCGACGATATCGAGGAAATGGCTCCTCTACCGCCTGATGAGGCCACCTCGATGACAACTACCAACTCGGTAGACCACCAGAAAGCAGCGCTGGTCCGACTCCCTTCCGAGATCATCTATCAAATACTATGCTATCTGCCATGTCAATCACTCGTCTCACTCTCTCGGTGTTGTCGTCGGCTACGAGGACTGGCCTCCAATGACCTTCTCTGGGCCAACTTACTTCGCCCGAATATTCCTGCAGAAGACTTTCCGTCGGATCCGTATCCTTCATCCTCGCATCGTGATTTATACATCACGCATCATCCCTACTGGTTCGTGCCCCGAAACAAGATCTGGATTTCCGATGAACCGCACATCGGCCGCGTGATGATCTGCCGTTTCGACCCGCGGCGAGGCTGTATTGAGGGATACCGCCTTCTGGCTGAGAGGACTCCATCAATGGGTCTTCTCTGGCCTTATGAACCCAGTGTGGTCATTCACAACTTCCATCCACGCGTGCACCTCTGGTTGGATGACCCGATCCTCAAACTGCCGCATGACATCGTCCCTTTCAATACCCGTCAGGGTTGGTGGGAAGCCGAGATTAAAATGACTGTTGGACGGCCCGGACACAACACGTCTGCCTCTTTCTTCTTGAGCAGAGACATTCCTCTACATTTGCAGAACAAATCCATGGCTCTCTGGCCACCAAGAACAATCCCCGATATGCCTCGCGTGCGCGCCGCCAGCGTGGATAAGTTCCGCGGGTCAGGACATAAACCGCAAAAATACGATCAGATCTCGCAGACTACCTTTCGCCTCAGGCATTGGAGCCAATTTTCATCAGGCATGGCGCACTTCGGGATTAGGATAGGTGAAGAAGTCTCGACGTGGAGTACCATTGATCCGGTGTTGTACACCCCGACAAAGGAAAAGCCTTACCAAGGTATCTTTGTGGGCGATTACGCCAGCCACGGATGCGAGTTTCTGTTGGTCATGCAGTCGGAAAAAGGCCCTGAGATTCCTGAACGTCGACCCACGGACGCCTATTTGAGAGGGCTAATTGACTTGCCTGCCGAGAGCGAGGAAGATGAGTTGGACGAACCGGTGCTTGCCCAGCAGACAGACGAACAGCTTTCTCAGTCCCAGTCGCAATATCAACGCGACATGATGGCAATGTATGAAGACGAGGGCATATACAAAGGCTCCATCGAGGCGGTCAAACTAACGGGAGATCCCCACGTTCCGCGAGGAGAGTACACTTTCGTGGCGGATGACATTGGACCTGGTGGATTGATTAGAATTGCAGAGGAACATCCGTTTAGGGGGGCGAGGGTGGTGAGAAGCAGGGGGCACGTCGCTGCAAGGGGATTTCAGAATGGTGAGTCCAAAAATGTCCGCCTTCCTCCTCCTTTCTTCCTGGACCATATATCTCATCCGGGTTTCCTATCCATGGCCAAGTCCGTGCCTCTTCGCCGACCCTTTTGTAGCACTGTTTATTCCTGGTCAGACAGCCCAGCGCTAATGCTTGTTGATTTGGTGCAGACGAATTCATTCCCTCCCAGCTTATCATGATTTCGCCCAATAAATTGGCCCAGTATTGGGTGCCATACGGTCATATCTCCTTCTACGAGAGGATCGATCTCGACCAGTTGATAGATGATACTTTCCGTGGAGGGCATGGATAGTGGTAAGAGACAGAGCAGGAGGAGATTGCAATAGATTTCGGGACAGATGGGTGTATACCAACACAGGATGTGCTGGTGTGGATCGGCTACTGTTAAATATGACCATGGATAATGGTATGTTGTTTCATAGTACGGACGGCGTTGACGGCTGATGTCGCAACTGGTGATCGAAGTCGGGTTATTCGCAGTCGTCTTCAGCGTAAGAGAGCCTGAACATGTCAGTCCATCTTATAGGATTTGCAAGAAGTTCACTATGCGCATTTAGATTCGGCGTGAATTTTTCTGATGCAATAGTGTTCTGGCTTTGTTGTGAGGTGCGAGGTGTACGCTGAGAAGATCTCGCCCACGAGCACAGTGACAAAGCACGATCTCTTGCGCATTCGGCCAAATGGAAACAATTCCATGACCTGAGGAGTTGAGTATATCGCCACACGATATTCCAACGCAGAATCCTCCCCTCCAGACAGATATGCACTCCCACACCGCGCGTCCCATTCTCTTCCCAGGCCCGGAAGGATAACACCCCCTTGTCCTTTGACGCCGGATAATCATGCTACTTGCCGATTCTTGGAACCTCCTCTGTATATTCCTGAAAGCGTTTCCAGCCCCTGCGTTCACCTGGACAAGAAAGTTCTCCCTGTACACCAACTCTGTGTAATTTATCGCTCGGGAGATGTGTTTTGAAACGTGTGTTGTTTTCATCGCCTTCGTTCAAACCAACTACTGCTGCCCATGAAGGCAACACTCTGGTCCATCACCCATTCGCCCACTCCGAGGTAACGGTCCACCCATGTCTGCAGTTCTTTGCTTTCGCCGAGCGACGAGGCTTTGACACTGGTTGGTCTGTTGTGTCAGATATCAGAATCAGTGAGTTTTGAGGTATAAAGGCGAGAATGCGAAAAGACATTGAACAAAGAGCCAGCTCGTGGGACCACTTTTGCAGGTTTCGTGCTTGCGTGTCGCACTTCCCATCACTCCAGCTCAACTCTCCTCAATGGACCACTCTGTACAGAGGAAAAAGAGGGAGTCGGAGGAAAGGCCCAAGGGTGCTGGTGTACGTACGTGAGACCAGTGCTTCTCTTGATACCAGCGAGAAATGCAGATATGAGGACGGCGTCAAAGGCGTAGTGAGTCAGGCGTCCGAGCTGTACATGTTATTGGTCCACATGTTCTGAGATTGGATGCAATTGATGGAAACTTACCACCATGGCGAAGGGGATTGGGAAGGGTTTACTGTGATATTGGGAAGGAGGATGAGCAGCGAGAATGGAAGAGGACGGGATGCAGTCTGCCTGTTGTTCACATGTGATGTTCAGACGCAGGTGGAGGCCATCTCCCCGGTACCCGAGGAGTTAGTAAGTGGCAGTGCCGGATTAATGTTGTTACGGCGCCGGAAGTCGCGTATCTTATCAGCTCTTGGCTGCGACTGTTGGGTGACTCCTGCCCCTCACTTGCTGCAACTTTGAAGCTGGCGGCCCTTGCGGCCCCCTCTCTTCAGCTCCCGCAAGGTTTCAATGGGGCCCGACGGACCTCTCTTGACCTCGCCCCATCTGCACTTCCGGCACCAACCAAGCCCGACAGAGCCCCCATCGCAATTGCTGAGTTTCACTAGCCTATAGCTCGCCTGATATTTACAGCGTGTGAATGCTGCCACCCCCATCCTCAAACCCTGATAAGCGGTGACGTGAGAGCTCCATCCTTATTCAGCCTGCGACTCGGCGACCCAGCTGCTACTGTAACTAAGCTGGGTTGAGCTCAACCATTGCCCGTCGCGAGCGGCTGCCGTATTTTTTTATTTTGCTGAGCGGTGATACCTTCAACCGCTATTCATTCGTTACTGAATCCCTTCTTCCCGCCATATCTCTCATCGAGTCAAGAGTAAGTGACTTCTCTCTTGTGACAACCTCTGTGACTGTGTCCTGCGTTTGCAACGTTTGTGACTGACGAAGTTCCTTTCCCTGACTTTCAGCCCTTCGGCGGCCGACTACCGCTATTTGAGACACTCTCAACCGCAGTCCTGCGTTCTTTGCCCAACCCTCACCGCTTGAAGTGTATATTCAAATCAATCGGACAACATGGGTGACGCTTTGGACCATCTCGCCAATCGCACTAAGCTGGAATGGCAGTGCAACCTCAACATCGACTACCAGCCCAAAAAGAACCACAGACGGACCAGTATTATCTGCACCATTGGTACGTTTTCCCATAGGGAGCACCAACAATTGGGAGAGTGGGAGCTAATTGAGATCGTCTCGGACAGGTCCAAAGACCAATTCTGCTGACAAGATTACCATGCTGAGGAAGGGTATGTGGGAGGGACAATACTTTCAAAAGGAGGAACATAAATACTGAACGGGTCACAGCTGGTCTCAATGTTGTCCGAATGAACTTCTCTCACGGCTCATACGAGGTACACAAAACTTGTTACGGGAGAAGCATATGAAGCTAATACTGAGAAGTACCACCAATCCGTCATTGACAACACCAGAAAGTCGGCCAAAGACTATCCAGGTCGCCCCGTTGCGATCGCTCTCGATACCGTGAGTGGCGCTATAAGCTTTATTAGAAAGGCCAGGACTGACTTCTCCAAGAAAGGACCGGAGATTCGGACAGGAAACACTCCTGGGGACGCAGACATTGCCATCAAGGCTGGCCTTGAACTGAATATCACTACTGACGACAAATACCAGACCGCCAGCGACGACAAGAACCTGTAGGTTGAAGCAATGCCAGCTGCGTCAACAAGACTAATTCGCATCAGGTACGTTGACTACAAGAATATTACCAAAGTGATCGATGTCGGCAAGTTGATCTATGTCGACGACGGCATTCAATCCTTTGAAGTCATCAAGATAGTCGATGACAAGACCCTTCGCGTGCGGGCTCTCAACGATGGGCAGATCTCCTCCAGGAAGGGCGTCAACCTCCCCGGAACGGACGTTGACCTTCCCCCGTTGTCCAAGAAGGATATTGCCGACTTGGAGTTTGGTGTCAAAAATGGGGTTGACATGATCTTCGCCTCGTTCATCCGACGAGGAGATGATATCAAGCATATTCGACGGGTCCTGGGTGAGAAGGGCAAGGAGATCCAGATCATTGCAAAGATTGAGAACCAACAGGGAATGAACAACTTTGACGAGATTCTCGCCGATACTGACGGTGTCATGGTCGCACGTGGCGACCTGGGCATTGAAATTCCGGCCGCAAAGGTGTTCATTGCCCAAAAGATGATGATCGCCAAGTGCAACATGAAGGGCAAACCTGTCATTTGCGCGACACAGATGTTGGAGTCCATGACCAAGAATCCTCGACCTACCCGAGCCGAAGTTTCGGATGTTGCCAATGCTGTTCTCGACGGAGCGGACTGTGTGATGCTGTCTGGTGAGACGGCCAAAGGTGATTATCCCAAGGAAGCCGTCACCATGATGCACGAAACTTGTTTGTTGGCCGAAGTTGCCATCCCCTATGCCAATGTGTTCGATGAGCTGAGGACGAGCTGCCCTCGTCCTATTGAGACTGTGGAGTCGATTGCGATCTCTGCCGTGGGCGCAAGCATGGAGCTGAACGCAGGCGCTATTCTCGTCTTGACAACCAGGTAAGTCCTCCTAAGCCGTAGCTCTGGGTTTCTTCAACTGATCTTTATAATCAGCGGTTCTTCAGCGCGACTTCTATCCAAATACCGTCCAGTGTGTCCAATCATCATGGTGACACGCAATGCCATTGCTTCGCGCTATGCTCACCTGTATCGTGGAGTGTACCCGTTCCTGTTCCCTGAAGCAAAGCCCGACTTCCGTGGAGTTGACTGGCAACAGGATGTGGACAAGCGATTGAAGTGGGGTATTTCTCAGGCCATCAAGCTTGGTGTTTTGGCCAAAGGTGACAGCGTTGTCTGCGTCCAAGGCTGGAGAGGTGGACAGGGTCACACCAATACCATTCGTGTTGTACCTGCGGAGGAAGACTTGGGTCTCAAGGATTGACTAACCGTCGATGACTTCTTCACCGCACCTGCGAGACAGATACCTGTCATGTCGTCGTTTACCCCGCCGCAGTCTCCGACGAGGGGCATGAGGCGATTTTGAAGTGACAAAGCAAGCAGGGATTGCTGACCGGACAATAGAGGAGAGCAAGCAAGGAAAAAGGGTTTGTTGCCAACTTTACGTCGAAAGGCCCGGCAGAATTCCGTGTGTGTGTGTCTGTGGAGGTCGACGGGAAAAATGAAGGAAAGGTACTACTATCGTTTATGGACTGTCGGTTCGAATATTCTTACGAAAATGACCCATGAACACTCCAAACACCAGTTGACCCGTTTGATTTGCATTTGACACAAGACCATACCTGGGAGTACAGCAGGTCAGCAGCTAGTCGTGATATGGCCACCATGGCTGTATTGGGGACTCGGGAGAAGACTGAGTATATACCTCGTATCGTAGGCGAGGGCCACGAGGCGGAAAAGCTTGGTGCATTTCTAGCATTCAGGAGTCCTGACATGTGCCCAGCGCCCACTGACCGTGGCGCAGTTGGCCAGCGAGCCCAGGGCCCCTTTGGGTAAATATGCCCTGTGGACAAAGGCCCGGGAGGATCAGCTGCGCTCGCTGGCACCTTGGGTTTGTGGCGCTTGTCCCCGCTCAATAATGTTTCAGAGGCACAGCAGGTGCTATTCCTGGCCCCAGACGACATCTTCAATTTCCGTTTCAGATTCAGCCTAACTGCCATGAATTTATTCGAGTCGCTCAAAAATACGCTGACAATATCCCTTAGCTATCCCTAGATCCCTCTATCTCCTCTTTTCTCCACGAGAGTGACGGTCTGTTCGCATCTCGGGCGCGCTCGCGGCAACCGTGTACGAACCTGCGTAACCACCCATTTCAACCTATCCTACCCTCCGTGCCCACGACGTTGTTCAAGGAACCTGCGCCTGCGCCTCCAGTGCCCTGACGAACTTTGCCAGCGTAAGGCGACGTCTTTCTTCCAAGCCAGCAATTGATTGGATTCGTGTGAGGGTCAATCACCACACATGGGGACCGAGAACCCTCCAGCTGGGAGGCCAAAGGTGCCCGGCTTCACCGATTCCTTCTGGTCCGCCGACTATGCCGGAGGACTGGGAGTGCTCTTCCAGAAGCTTCAGCAGGGCGTGGTGGAGAACCAGCAGGTGCTCACAATTGCGAGCATGAGAGCAGACGCGGAAGAAATGTACAGTGACCGCCTGGGAGATATCGCACCAACCATTGATCGGATGACGAGCGGATTTGCAAGAGATGACGGCGCGAGTACAAGAAAGGTAGATGGTCCACTGGGAGCTCCTCTTCAACGGTTTGCTAACCTATTTCGCTTCGAAGGCATATGAAGGCGTCCGGGGCGAGATGGTCGAAGCCTCCAAAAACCATCGAAAAATCGCTGACAACATTCGCGAACTCGTCGTCAATCCGTTTTCGAGATGGTGCGACTCACACGCTGCACGGATACAAAGCTCGCAGGACGACCTACAGGCGAAGATCAAGGCACACGATAAGCAAGCAGAGGCGGTCAAGAAGCTAAGAAGCCATTACTTCAACAAGTGCAGATTAGTGGAGGATCTCGAAGAGGAAAATAAAATGGCATTCGCGGGGCCGGCGAAGGAGAGTCCTAAGCCACAAAGTCCCCCGCCGCCTAAGATTGTTCTTCCAGAAGAAGAAATCGACGAGTTACCTGTCGAGATTGGCGATGAAACGTATCCGCCCGAGAGACTGAAATCGCTTCTTACCGATATGCTCGAGAAGATCCCCTTGGGCGAACACAGAGTCCCCATACTGGGACTGTATCAAAATGTTTCCGCTGGCACTGATATTACTGACTACATCCAGAAACACATGAAGGCGTCGAGTGTTGGGTACGCAGAGAAGATTGGACAAGATCTCATTGATCGTGGGTTTTTGCGTCTGATAGGAAACATGGGCAACACGTTCGCCAACAGTTCAAGAATGAAATACCAGTGGAAGCCGCGGACTTTTCAAATAACGGGTGTGCCCGAGAAGAGAAAGCCGTTGAGCAGGTCAACTACTGGAGCGTCGGTAGATGGACTTTTGGAGTCGCCAACAGTTGGGAATATCACTGAGACCTTGTCGAGCTGGAATCCCTTGAACAACCCATTCCCCAACGAGACGCAGGCTGACCGGCTGAAACGCGAGGCTCGAGAGGCAGACGAAAAATACAAAGCCGGCGTTCGAAGACTTGACCTGCTGAGATGCAACCTCGAAGAATCGATGATGGATCACCTAAAATTCCTGGAGCGATGCGAAACAGATCGTCTGAAGGCCATCAAGTCTGTAATCCTGGACTTTTCGGGCGCCATCAGCAATAGTATCCCATCTTTCCAGAGCCAGGTTGATCACATGATGCTTTATCAGGAAACCATCCAACCATTAGGAGACTTGCGATATCTGCTTGAGAATTACCGGACAGGCGCATTCATCCCCAAAGTCGTACCTTACGAAAACTACTACGGAAGTGTGGATGACCAGACTTTTGGTGTTGACCTGGAAGCGAGAGCGAGAGCGGACCGGAAGAGAGTCCCTATCATTGTCACTTCTATACTCACGTTCCTCGATAATCACTACCCTGATCTGGAAGGGGATGAGACCAGACGGAATATCTGGCTTGTGGATGTCCCTCTGGCAGCAACCCATCACCTCCGAAATCAGATCAACAATGGTGCTCCGGTGGCCCGAGAGATCCTCGAGAAATATGAAATGCCTATTATCGCGAGTGTGTTGAAGCTGTACCTTCTTGAGTTGCCAGGTAAGTCTATGGAAACCTGCAGAGGACATAACCGCTGACTTGGAACAGATTCGCTTGTCTCCTCACAAGTGTACGAAATCATCAAGACGATCTACGCGACGACTTCCGACGCAATCCCAAATCCCATATCCACCGACTCAGTCGATGCCTTGCCCAGAATCAAAGTCCTACAATCTACCCTTGGCCAACTTCGCCTCAACAATATTGCCACTCTCGACGCCATAGCTACACATTTCACGCGTCTAATCGACTTGACATCGGCAGACGAGGCATATGTTTCGGCACTTGCTAACGTTCTAGCTCCATGCATCTTGCGTCCACGGACAGAAAACTCTTTGACACTAGAAGACCGCCACGCGTATCGTCTGATTCGCGACCTGTTCGACCATAAAGAAGCCATCTTCGGTGAACTTAAGCGCCAGTCATCTACACTTTCAGGATCAAACAGTCTCTCCAGCCGTCAACGTGCCGTCAGCACTACAGATGAGAGCTCTCGACGAGCGAACATGGAAGCTCGTGCGCGGGCTATCACGGAACAGAGAGAACAAAGACAACGAGAAAAGTCCCCGGCACCAACGAATCGACATAGGCGCGATAAGAGCACGGATGGGAGTGTGGGACGATTTCCGGTCGTCGCGAGCCCCAGGCCTGATGGAAGTCATGGTCGGAGTGTGAGTAGTGTTGGATTGCCGTCCGCAACGAAGCGAGGAAGTCTCGAGGTTCCTGGAAGCAACGAGTCCTCGCCCATTCAGGCGCGGAATCAGAGTGCCGTGGAGAGGAATGCAGCATCTCCACCAACGGCAAGAAATCTCGAGGGCGCATCGGCATATCCAGTCACCACAAACGGCCAAAGCCATGGACAAAATCAAGTGCTCTCTTCGCCAGATTCCATAACAAGTGCGAGCTTGAATCTACCTGGTACCTTCAGCGGGGGAGGGCCGGGCCCGCACATTCCCCCGCCACTAGACGACGATGACCATGACCAGGAATCCGACACTTCGCCTGTTCCTGCATCTACAGGCTCCAATGCTGGGTCCCGGCCGGGCTCACTCAAGAGAATTGCTGCGACGAGCGACCGCAAGCCGGTGGGTGTGTCGAGATCAGCTGTCTCAGGGAGTCTGAGCAGAAGACTTGCCAGCTCCGGGGTTAATAGTGGTGGACTGAGTGAGGATGCCGCCTCGAGCCATCCTTCCGCGAGTGGTCAGGCTCATGGTGTCCAGTTGGTTGATAGGGCTATGGATGACTTTTCCTAATTCATATTATAATGGCGACATCGCTACATGTGGTATGATGAGTCTGGGGCTTTAAGAGCGCAATGCGGGCAATTTGTCTGGGATGATCAATTCAATATGTAACAGGGACGAACACGTTTTGCGGATCAGATGCTGCAACAGCGCACTGGATGAATTCAGTCTACCATGTTATGTCGGCGAGCGTGGAATGTATCGTCTTGAGGCTTTGTCAAGGATGGATCTTCTCATCTTCCGGGCATATCTACAATGAAAGCCTGCAGAAACGACTCCAAGACACGGATTTGACAAACACTGATTGTACTGGGGAAGCACCCAAGTTCAGTTTTTGAAGACGAATGTCATGTCACAACAGGCCTTCGAACGGCAAGAGACACAGCGGGAGAGATAAGAGTTTATTCTTATTCTTGTCCTGGCAGACACGGAACGGAAGCACGGACAATCTAGACATGTGATAGCAACGACGCTATATCGCCATGTGGCGAAGACAAGGCATCACGATTCTCAGCATCGGCCCATTCCATCCATGATTTCCACTTTCTCAAGTCCCAGCACCGTCCCAGCGTTGTCTCGATGTAGCAATAGCTAAAACCCAGGTCTTGTCGCCCTAGCAGGCCCTTGGATTGCAATTCCTCGTGGGCGAAGACACCATTTGGAAAATCCCCTGCTTGCGGGTGAATGGTGTCAGCAGACTTAGATCCCTTTATTTGAAACTTTTCGTCGTCGTCCGTACAAGGACCAAATACCACTGGGTATGTGACAAGAGGATACCTAGGGATGCTCTCGTTCAAGAAGGTCTTGCAATTACTTACGTCCTCGCTAATACTAGACCCAAGATATCTATCGAGTTTATCTTTTTGCGACAAGCCCAGTTCTCAATTCCGCTTAATGCCACCAGAAAGACCGAAAAGAGACCGAGAGAGAGAGAAGGAGAGAGAGGGGAAAAAAGGAAAGCCCGAGGGGGGAGTGATACATCATCCATCGTCATCCTCCAGTAATGCTCCTTCTTCCCTGCAAGCTGGCCGGAGAGATTCTGTTCCGTGGTCTGAAGTCGTACGTGGTATGTCCGACACGCACGTGCAGAATTCCAATTGCCCATTACCCCCTACAAATGGTCCCGCAGAATTATGGAAATTGCCAAATGAAAAAGCCTTCGTCGAGGCCGTCGACTAGCTAAAAAGACTCAGACATGGCTTTTCTTGTCCTTGTCCCTGTCCAGCACGCACGTCCACGTCAATGCATCCATCCAGGCCCAAACAACATCACACTCTGAGGCGCAGATCATTCTCAGTGTCGATATCATCACCTTCCGAGCTCAAATCCGGCGTCATGACACCTCGGTGAGCGTCAACTTCATCCTCGGCCTCGCTCAGAGAGTCCATTCCGATCCCACTGTCATATCGCCTTCTTCCGTGGGGCTTCTTCAGAATGCCGGCACTGGGAAAGCCCAATGCTGAAGGTAGAGTCACCGACGAGCGGCGACGGTGTTTCTTGCCGCGGGACAATTCCACTCTGCCCTCGACGTGATCGTCCGCATCGTCCGTGTCGCCTTCGCCATCCCGATCCGTGTCCTCGACTTCCGAGTACTCGGAGAATCTGACCACGCTGGCCGGCGTCATCGGCCCTTCTCCGACTATCTCGTCGCTCCGCATGTCATCGCTCTCCAGTTCCCAATTCGCATGCCGTACTTTTGCGCCCCGGATGTACTTCTTGATATCCTTGTCAAATTGCATGTTAATTCTGAGCTGGCCACGATACATGCTCTGAAGGATTTCAGAGCAGAGTGCGAATTCAGCTTTCCATCTCGATTCGAGATTGGTGTTCGTTTTCTCGAATTTGTGGATCCTAGCATTCAGGGCCTCAACTTCTTCTTCGCGCTCACGCTGCGAAACAGAACACTGGGTCTGCAGTGTCTCCAGCTGCTCCTTGACGTCTTCCGAGTACTGGCGAGCCGTGGCCAAGGCCGATTCAAGTTCATTGATCTGCCTCAGCCTCTCAACAGCAGAGTCCTCGGCTGCTCTTCTTCCCCGGGTTTCTGCTGCAACTTTAGCGTCCATGTCTGAAAGCTGTTGTGTGAATTCTGCAGTTGTGGCGGCTCTCACGTCCTGAAGACGGGATGCTTGTTCTGCTTCGATCAATTCGACCAAGGTTTCGAGGCGTTTGACTTCTAGTTGGTACTTCTGAATGGCGGCAATGAGACATTGGTTGTTGGCTTCATGCTCTTTGGCCTCCCGCTCGAGGGCCTGGGCCCGCATGCGCTGTTCAAGCATCTCTTCGGCATTCTTGTCAATCAAATCCTCTAATTCTTTGATTCTGTTGTTCGCTTTCTCTGCTGCAACAAGCGCATGGTCGAAGTTTCCCCTCAAAGAGCGCTGTTGTTCCCGCATGGACTTCAACTCTGCCTCACGGTCACGGACCCGAGTCGCAACTGCCTTTAGTTTTGCGAGCATTTCGGGCATCAGGCGAGTATAATCGAAGGACATGACTATTTCTCCTGGGACTACCCGTTCGAGTTCGAAGCGCATGCTGCGGAAGTGGGTCTTGATGGCAGCGATACAATCATTGGCGTCATCGTTGTTGCAGGGAAAGCCGAGGGATTTGATTTCGTTCGTCATCGCCTGCAGCGCCCGTTCGGCGGCTTCAGCTCGATTGATGGTGGCGTTGAGTTCTTTCGATAGTTCATGTGTAGGGATCTCAGGAAGATCAGGCACTGTCTGTGATGCATCGAAAGAACGGGCTGGCGAGTCTTCAAAGTGGATGATGTTTCTCGAAGAACCCTGGCTGGAACGGAAGAGAGCTTGCTTTTCTTGTCGTGCAGACCTGAGCTCCACTTCCACGATGACATCGTCCTCTGCGTCAGTGGGTTGATTCTCGTTGGAGACGTGATCGTCCTCGTAGATGTGAAAGCCATCATTATCACCACAAAAATGTGGTGAAATGCTGCCGAGTCCGAAATCGTCGTCGTTAGATCTCTGGGTCAACTCTGCAACTTCAGCTTCCAACTGCATGATTCGTTCCTGGCTTCCAACAGGATCACGTTGCAAGAGGGAGACTTCACGGAGTCTAGAAGCATCCAATTCGTCCTTGAGGATCTGCAATTCCTTGTTCTTCTGGTCAAGCTGGCGTTGCAGTTCAGTCTTGGACTTCTTCTCTGCATGATACCGATTCATCTCGTCACTCAACCCATATCGCCTAATCCTTCTGGTGGTCCTGGCGTCGAGGACTTCACGGAATGGGGTAAATTGGACTTCGTCGAGGTCTTGATACCTGGTGATGGCTGGAGTGGAGACTCTCCTGAGCTTTGGGGTTTTCAGGGAAGCTCTGCCCACGGCGGGTGTAAGACCAGTCGTTCCACGAGACAGGAGTGGTTCAGAAAAGCGAGCTCTTTTTTGAGGTCTTTTTCTGGACGGAGTTGTTGCCTGTGTTGTTGGTTTCATGGGAGAGATGGCAGCGCTTGATCTCTTGGATCGCCGAACTGGGACGGTCTCTGCAGAGTTGTTGTCGGCCATGGTGGTTTTCTAGCGAGATCATGCAATAGTATTAACCAAAGCAAGCAATCAACCTGTTGAAAGAAGCTCAAGCTTGTAGAGGCAAGAAAAATTCGATGTGGTCGGGAAAGCGGTTGCATATAAACAAACGGCGACCGGAAAAGGCAGTGGATCAACATATTGCCGAAAGCGGCTTAGACTCACTGCCTGCATACGCCAAGACGAGGCTGCCTAAGCCCGACGTGTGAAGCGTGTTTCAACCTGTGCTGAACAACTCTGCATCATTGGTCTTGGACTGCCCGCCCCATAAACGGCAGTTTGGGGCCTCGTTGAGCTATCAAAGACAACGACCTCACCTAGACGGCAATCCCTGTGCTTGTCTTTGCTTGATAGGGCATCGCTTAGCCCATCAATTAGGAAATGAGGCCACCGCCGCCTCAGACTCTCATTGGGGCTCCTTATGAATGCATATGAGAAGACTCAAATGTCCGTTCCTCCTGGCAACAACGAGAGGACGGTGGCTCGCAGTTACATAGGCTGGATCAGCCTACCGAGACTTGACTCAGCCTTGCGGCAGATGCCACATCAGAGAAGGGAAACGGCTCACGTGTTGCCTGCTGTAGTCGCCGAGGCGAGCGGTTGTGTCTCTGCTTTGACTGCAATTGTAGGAATTTATCATGGTTATAGCTTTTTTGATGAGAAGAATAGAATAGCTGTTCCAAAGATGGGCCATGGAGTTGTTGCTGATGACTTTTGCCCGCCTTCCAAATAAACCATTATATCCGTTGTCCAAGCAGAGATATATATGTCGAGTAGCCCATGCTCTCCTCACCGTGTTGCTTTAGTACGCCGGAGGGATGAGAATCAGCACAATCACGAATGTAGTAGGAGTATATTCCGTCGTGAGAATGTCAAAGAGGTACGAATGAACTCAAGTTGTGCAACGGTTGGTGGTGATAGTTTAGAGGCGAACGCGATTGACGTCACTGACACCTTCCAGCCTCGTCAGCCGATGGAATAAATTCTTTTCGGTAAACACTGACTTTGCCTGCGATCTAAGCCCGTATTTCTCGACCACGGAGCCCTCCTATCGAACAATCCTACAGCACTGCCTGTCATCATGGGAGACTCTTCCTCCCCTGATCGGTCGTCGCAAACCTCTCACCATTCTCAATATCGCTTGCGCGTCACAGCTGGCCCATCCTACGATTCCGCCACCCATAAAGTCATCCCTGTCAACGCCCCCGAAACCCTCACGTTCGAAACCTCTTCCATAATCCTCTCTGTATGTGTTCGCATTCGGCATTTTACAGGCTTCCCGCCGGCCTCACCCGTCACTGCCGAGAAATACTTCACCTCGGACCTCCATAAATATGATCAGTACAGCATATCTTTCAGCTTCGTCCCGAAGCAGGATATTCCCGGTGAAGAGCTGGTGTTTGGGAATGACTTTGACAGACCTATACGAGACAGGTTGCCACCGGGCTTCAATCAGGCATTTAGGATTGTGAAATGGTGGATTGACCCAGGGTTGGACGGGGATGTTTACGCCGATAGACCGTACTTGTATGGCCCAGCCTTGAGTAGTTGGAATATCTTGAGGATAGGGGATGAGGTCATTCCGAAGGAACAACTTCCCTCCTCGTCTTCTTCATCGGATGTGGAAGATCGGGACGATGAAAACCACGCATGGAAGATCCCTCAAGAACATACCCAGAATTTCCACGACGCCATTGTCGAAGAAGGCGGTGAAGGCACAGGTCTCACGCTTCGCTCCGAAGCCAACATCCCCGCAGACCCTCCTGGCCGGCAAAAGTATTTCCTCAACCGCACAAACCTCTCGTCGTTTACCTTCGAGCGCGGTCGCCTCTACCAATCCGACTTTGGCAACCCGTACTTGGACTTCAACGACTTCTCCCTCAAGTTACCCGGCTTCTCATTGAATGTGATTCAGTACGTCGACTCCAAGACGCACGAACTGCGGTATACTCTGAAGAATAAGCGGAGCGGGGAAGTTTACGGTGTCGTGGTATTTACATTGCTGTTCGGGGAAGAGCTGCAAGGAGTGTCAAGAGAATATGGCTTCGAGAACAAGGATAGCGCCGAGGGCAGGGCTGACCGGGACGGAGAGAGGGAAAGCATACCGTCTGATGAAGACGACGTCGATTGAGTTGCATGTAGATAGAGCACCTGACGCAAGCGAACATGGTAGATGGTTGATACCCAATGATAGAGAGCACGTTGTCTATCATCAATAACACGACATTCCACTCTATAAATACCACCAAGACCAGGAAGCAGGATCGACTGTTTGCATGTTGAATTTTTTTTTTCTCTCTCTCTTTCTTTTCATTTGTGCACGGTGTGCTCGCTAGCCTATCTTTTCTCCAGCATTGCGCTGGGCGCGATCTCTTATCTCATTACGTGCCTGTGCACGTTTCTCACGGCAACAACGGCGACGACCTCTTCGCGGTCGACCGCCCACCCTCTACCACACCTCCCACCCCCCCACCGCCCATCAGAGCGTGGTGCCGCTGACGCGGTCCTCCAGCTCAATGTCTCGCTGGCCGGGACGCCCGCCCATGCCGGCGCGCCAGTCCTCGGGGATCTGGCCGCGGCGTGCCCTCATCCCCAGCTCACCCTTGGCCACCTTTGTGACCAAGAGACAGCTGCTGACAATGCAGGCGGCAACGGCGAAGCCCACGAGGGCGACGAAGGACCAAGCAAACGCGTTCTCCGAGGCGGCGATCGACGCCGCAAAGAGCGACGGCGTCACCTTGCTGTCGACAAAGGTATAGCCGAGGAGGAGGACCAGGGCGTTGTCGGCAGTGGCCGGGTAGGCGCCGTCGTCGGCTTGTTCTAGTAAGGCGAACTGACCACGGGGACCGACGTGCATGAAAATGTTGCCCGTGATTGTCAGGGAGACAGCGGCGCCGAGGTACATCGCGAACAAGACGAATGCACGGTTGTGGAGCGGGTGCTTCTGGCGTGCGTCCTGGGCGCCTCTCGCGAAAGGCGATTGAAGCAAGTCCATGAGCTGGTGGGCCATTGACAAGGTAATCGTGGACCAGAACCCGATGCAAGCGAGGGAGAATTCTTTCGTGATGGTCGGTAGGCCGTCTGAAGCCGGGAACGTGGAGGGCATATTGATGTAGAGCAATACGGTGCCGGCGAGAAGGAAGACCGATGAGATGACGCTCCAGAAGCTGTAGCTTGGGACCACAGGGTAACGGGTAATCAAGCCACCGCCGATGTACACTGGGATGAGCAAGACTGGAATCAAGTATGGACCGGTGGTGGTGAACAAGAGGTAGAACGCCGTTGTGACTGCTGATGGTTGAGGACGCGTGAACATCTGATAGAGCGCAGTGTAGGGGATCGCGGTCTGGAAGATGGCAGCAGTCAAGAAAATGAGCACGAAGAGCGCCATGGTCTTGAAGTGTCGCAGATACTCCACAGGGAATAGCCGAGTCGACGGTGAGTTGAGGATCTTGTAGGCTTGCTGAAGGATAAGCAACACAACCAAGATGATGCCGACGGTCAAGGGAATGTACAGGTGTCCATTTGTCCAAGGAGTCAAGGTGCCGGCGAAGTTGAATGTGATCAATAGAGTGATGATGCCGAAGAAACTCAGCAGCCCACCTAGAGTGTCGATACAGTTGAGGCGATGATTCCAGTTGAATACTGGTCCGCAAGCCCAGGGCGCATTCGCAGCAAGCTCAACCTCTGTCGGAAGCAGGTAGAACAGGAAAGCCAGGACCAGGGTGAGAAGGACGAAGGCAGTGTAGAATCCCCAGGACCAGTTCTTGTCTCGATGAGCAAAGATAGAGCCGAAGATGGGACCAATGATCAGACCCAAAGTCGAACCGACGGAGAGGAAGAAGTCACGTCGAACTTTGTCTGCGAAACTGCTCTTGTGTTCCAAGAAGACCAGGGTACCGAAGTGCTGACCTGCCAGACCCACACCGAGAAGGATTCGAGTGAAGAAGAGAAACGCCATGTTAGGGGCAAAGCCTGGAGAGATGATGGCGGTCAAGACAACGAGAGCAAAGACCATGTAAATCATCTTGAAAGGGACGACGACGTAGAGATGACCTGCAATGAGAGCTGTGGCAGCCGCTCCGATGGCTGGACCCGCGATGAGCCACTGAAAGCCTTGGACGTTGAGGTCGTAGATCATGGCCGGGATCATGACGGGCATCATGCTCTCGGTGACCATGGTAATGAGATTGACAAGGGCCAAAAGCAAGGCTGTTGCGACCCATTTGCCAGTGGTGGTGTTGTCGATGTTGATGTCTCCCCCTCGTCCAACGTTCACTTCAGGCTCAAACAGGTTTCGAGCGAATTGCGACGCCGCCGACCAGACTGTGGCTTGGTAGTAACCACTGGAGTCGCCGAAGATGGCATTGGTGGACGCGTTAGTGGGCTCAGGCTCGATGAAGACCTCTTCGACGGTAAAGCTGGTATCGACTTGGATGACGCCTTCTGGGGGAGTCGGTGGCCTCGCGCCGGACCAGCCGCCACCCATGATGGTGGTGGTACCAGGCATGATGGAATCAGAGGAGTTGTAGGCAGAGTGAGGCTGGAAACTGGGAGGGCGGCTGGAGAGATGGCTGAAGCTGGGTGGAGGAGATGAATCCGAGCGGTGATGGGAGTGAGAGGAAGAATGAGAAGAGAAGTGAGAGCGAGAGCGCCGAGACCAGCATCGAGTGGGATAATTCACAGACATGTTTGCGCGGTTGACGGCTGAACGCTCCTCTGCAATGACTGTCTGGACTCTGGCGGGTCGGTCGAGGGCGACGTGCGATGCGATGCGATGCTGTGATATATATATCTCTCTCTATCTCACTGTCAGTCCTCAACCCTCACACCGCGCTCAACAGATCGGTCTCACTACTGAACAAGCCTTGATCACAAAAAGAAGACAAGAAGGGGACGATGTTGATGGAACAAGGGGTGATGGGAGAAGGGACAAGGAAGAAACAGGACGAGACAAGGTGAAGAATTCTTCAAAGGCCGTTCTTCTCTTCTGTTTTCTTTCCTTTTGACGTCTCACTGTCCATCTCTCACTCGATTCCATCTGCACAAGCCGAAGAGCAGCCGACTCTGCGGGCAGTTGCTGGCAAACGGTCTGAGCAATGCCTCCCCCGGTCTTCCCCAAGTAAAGCCAAGTCGAGATTCCTCTCATTTGGAGGGCTAGCTCTGTTGTGCGCCTGTTGTTCTTCAATATGGCCGCCAAGCAGCACGGGTGGGAGAGAGAAAATCATGCCCAAGCTCTCACCCAGATCCCGATCCAGATTCAGGAGCTCACAGATTAATTGGCATGTTGGAGCTGTGATGGTGGTTTCGCACGCGGCCAACTAGGATCAGCCCCAACACTGCTCAGAGTCATTGTTCTGCACGGTATTCATCATCTGATCCCATCCATCTACAGCTGAAGGCATCCCAGAAGCATACGCACTGGTGGTGGAGATGGAAAACGCGTGCATCGTTCTCACATTGTGATGGAAGACAAGCTGAAGCTGTCAAAGAGGGTTTAAGAGGCAAAGGCATCGGCCCTCGGCCTTTCGCTTGTCAAGGTGTCTGTCCACTTGTCTGTCAGACACACCGTCATTTGCTTGCCGCTTGCCAAAGCTGCAACACCCAGAGCCCCAAAACCCCCTACACAAGCAACCATCATTCTGGTACAGACCATTCGCGTGCCGAGTACGCTGCTAACATCGAGATTATACCGACGAGCGCGCGCGGCCTCCCTTGCAAGCGTACGGGGAATAGAGGGAGGACATGGTGGGTCTGTCAGGGACTGCGAAGCCTTGTCGACTACCTGCCCAGCTCCAGAGATGCTTCTCCTCTCTGAAATGGATTTGCTGTCAAATTGCGAACGAAACAGAGCACTAATCGCAGTCTGTTCCGTCCGATGAGGGTGGAACCGGGCAGCATTTGGAGGACTGCGGCTAGGGCGATGTCCATATCACCATGTTCGTTACTTCTATCCCTGAGTCAATCGCATTTGTGGATCACTCACCTCAGCCTTGTCTCGTCCAGTTTGTTTAGAACCGGTTCTAGACATGCAAGGTTGATTCTCGAGACAGCAGGCGTGTGTTGGTCCAAACATGGCAGAAGAAAACACCAGGCTGCGCGTGCTCATGTTCCCGGCTTTGGCTGCAGTGAAGCCATGCCTGTGGACATTATTATAGTTGATAGCAGAACCTCTGTTCGCCCTGATCATAACCTGCCCCGCCCGATGTAACCGACTTTGCGGCTTTTCAGCCTCACATCAAGCCTCGATATGCCTTAGCACACCGGCTTGACTGAAGGTTCCTAGTGTGAGAACCCAATCAATCGAGTAGGCTTCTCCCTATTCCCGTGAGACCTCGCCGCAGTTCACTACTAATACGCACGCAGGGTCGTTGCTGTTCACAGACTGAAGGGTCACGCTTTCAAGCCATGGACGGTCAAGGAGACAGGGAGATTCTGGCTGGGAGACCCAGACTTGCTACCAGTACATTTGAAGGAAGCCCGAATTCTGACCTACGGCTACATCGCCGCTGTTATAGCAATACTTGGGAAGCCCTCGTCGGACACGATGCTAGTGATAAAGCCGTGCTCGCATTCTACGCCCGACTCCTTGTGGACAAATTGACCCCTTCAATGCTCTGCGATCCTGACGGTCACCTCCTGGACGCGCTCAGACCAAACTCGGTGATGTTGAGGAATATCACTGATATGTTTGTCCCTATGATGAAGAAGTTTCGCATTTTTTTTTTCCTTGTGGGAACAAGAGAAGACAAATATTGGAGGCAAATATGACTATGTATGTGACTTCCCTCAGCAGGCCGGCATGCTCGCAATTTACCCGATGGGTGAATGTTGACAGCATAGAGATTGTACGCGAATCTTTGCCTGCCCCCATTCTCGATGGCACAGAGCGCCGTGGCCTCCCATATGATCATAGAAACATGTGCCGGCTCGAAGGTCGAACTTTGCCCGAATATAAGGCCATTGTTGCTGCACTTGTGCGGTATGCTTTGGGGGATGAGTCTGTGGTTGCGGGACGATGAATTGAGGCAGATGCCAAGTTGAGAACCATGCGCACAAATGAAGCGGCGGAGTTGTTGAGGGATTACACATGAATATGTGTAGGTCAAAAAGGTGGAACACCATGTTGACACCTGAGGCGATACTAGCACCGCAGTTCTACCTTGTAACCTTCAGTGATGGACATCACGAGGGTCATTGTTTGTTTTTCCACTCCAGTAGGCTCGATTACCTCATTCGAAGGCAGCTTGATGACCGGAAATCTCTGAACTAGTCGCACAATTGTATAGGCAGCCTCGGTCATGGCAAAGTCCACTGTGCTTTAGGTTAGCCTGTCACATCGACATGTGAATCATGTCGAGAACATACTTCCTAGACATATCCAGGGTCCACCTTTGAAGGTAAGGTAGCCCCATTTAGCATTGGTAGAGTTATGGTTTAAAGGCATGTCTTCATTCCATCTCTCAGGGCGGAAGAGCTCGGCGTCCATTCCGTAGAGGTCAGTTCTTTGATGCATCGAGGAGACACTCTACGCGATGGTAGAGCCTTTTGGAATCAGCAGTGGACATTTTCGGTTCGGGCGACCCCCAGTAGGCAGAATCGCCGTTCTGGTCGATATCCTAGAGTTTACAGGGACTGATGGATACAACCGAAGCGCTGTGAGCCCTGTTAGTTCAATTGAACCGAATTGACAATCAAGCTCAGAACGTGGCCACATAATTTCATTGATGATGTTTTGGAGAGAGGTCATATTCCTAAGCGCACGCCGATCCAGGTCTTCCTCGCCTTCACAGATGACTCTGATTTCTGCTCGTAGTCTGTCAAGTCCTTGGGGATGTCGGACCAACGTCAAACTGTATGTCAAAGTCAGCATACTCCGGAGGCTACACAACAAGGCGATGTTATGTCATATAATGTCCATGACAGGAGGTAAGCACTTGTGTCGCGACCAGCAACTAATAGGTTGACAATGTCCCTTCGAAGAGCATCTCGATCTGGTGTGTCCCCTGCTATAGTATCTAGAAAAGTAGATTTGTCATTGTCTCCTTCCTTGCTTCTTGTGTGCGATAGATTTCGTTTAATGATTTAGTCTGCAAGGCAACGCCTAGGTCCCGCCGAAAGGAGCCCAAAGTGACATAAACCGAAGGTGTTGGTGGTGTGTGGTCTCGGTGGCTCTGGAAAGACCCAGTCCGCGTTGAAATTCGTCGAAGACAGTCGAGACCAATATTGGGGCACCTTCTGGGTAGATGCCACAAGTCTCGAGACACTGGAGGCCTATTTTGCCTCTCTCGGCATACCTGTTGGAAAAGGGATTATCATCACCTAGTGCCATTCACTAGTTGTCAACACGTCTGAAGCCATAGCTGCTCGTCTTCGTCAATGCCGACGACCCAGAGATGGAGCTATGCCACTACTTGCCGCCCGGCGGAAATGGTCACATCATGATCACCACGCGAAACCCAGGAGCCAACGTCTATTTCATTGAGGGCGATGCATTAAGCTGAGAAGGATAGATCCAGAGGAGCAATTGTGCTGCTGTTGCGATTTGCGTATCCGCAACCCGGTACTCGGGGTCGGGGTCCTAGAATAGAAACTTAGCTGGTGCGATCGCAAAGGGTCTTAACTATCTAGCTATAGCTTTAACTCATGCTAGGGCTACCATCTGAAGGAAAATATACACTTTGAAGACATATCTCCTCCATTATCTCGGTCATCGTCTGGCTACATATCATGAGCACTCGAAGCACACACGGCCGTCTGTACGCCGATACCATAACTACATGGGAGATCCCATTTCAGCGAATTGCCAAAAGGAGGCTCGAGCACAAAGACGCAGTGGACCTGGTCCACTTATTTGCCTTTCTGCATTTCGAGTCTATTCCGGACCGGATCTTTCGCCGATCGCGGCATAATCTATCAAGTACTGCCCCGGATCCGGAGTGGTACCCTCAATTCCTTCATGTGGACGCACCGAGCGATGAAGAAGCTTGTATCAGATTTGGCCACGCTGTCCGAGTATTGTATGACCATTCGCTCATCGACCATCATCCAGACAAGGAAAGATGCTCCCTTCACCCCGTTGTTCATTGCTGGGCTCATGATCGATTGCCCCGGGAAGTGTAGTTAGTTCTCCGCCCCCGAAGGCGAATTCTGGGCGTAGAGCACGCATATACCCTGTGGTCGGTAAATAAACTTTCAAAGGTGATCTGTGAGAGAAACCGCGGACGAGAGGCAGCGGAAATGCTGGAGGCAATCCTCGAGGTTGTCACCCGCACTCTGGGCGACAATCATGTTGCCATGGCCATGGCTCGGTCCAACCTCGCCCGTGCTTCTGTACTCTGCGAACGGTGGGATGAGGCTGAAACCCTGCTCATCATTCTGGTCAAATCCAGACAGTCAGACCATCCAGACTTAGGTCAACACCCGCTCGGGCTTCGTGCATGTGCGAATCCGAATTGGTAAGTGAGCTGAGGCCGAAACAGGGTGCATCGAGCTCTTCGACATGACGGAAGACAAAGAGTTTCAGGCATATCATTGCGCCAGGTCGTCCTCGAGCTCTGAAGATTCACGAGCAAATGATTGAGATTTACCACCTGCCGAACCGTGCTGCAGAATCGCAGGCGCTGAGCTTGAAGGTGCCAGCTACGAAAGTCCCTTTGGCAAGGGAGCTATTTGATATGCTGCTGATCCAGGGAATTCTTAGAAGGGAGAATGAGCTTGATCGACTTACGAATATGAACGTGTGAATGGCGTGGTGCTCTGCTCGAAATGTCACTTATGTACCGTGTACCCCCGGAACGCCTTACTTTTTGTCCGTGGAGTACACCTTGGCGCCCTGTTTGAAGTGGAAAATCCTCCATCGTATTCTGCATGACCCCTCGATAAAGCGACTGCAAGACCGGCGTCGGTGAAAGGCAAACTACAGTTGGGCGATCCTTGATCAATAGGCTGAATACTAAGTTTTGTAGAGGCGTGATAGCGGTGAACGCTGCAAAGGCAACCAGGATCTACATAGATGGCGCCTATGTTTAGCAACCCATATCAAATCTTGCCCGAGTCCCGGCCATGCCATCGGCAATCGGACTAATCCCCCTCGATCCCTGTCATGACACAGCTCAAACCTTCAACCGCCGTTCGAGGTTCTCAGCTCCGGGTCGTCAATACATGTACATCCCAGGAGCCCATTCTCCCTCGCCTTTCTCCTCCTTCTCGATACCGGCCATCATTCTTTTCTTGATCATTTCTGGGGGTGGGGGTCCTGCGCCAGCCGGGGTCTTGCTGGTGTCCGCGCAGAACAATGCCACGGGCTTCACGGCATCAGCAGCTGATTTGATGGCTTGGACATCTTGTGGCGAAAAGCCTCCGCCCACGATGATGAGCGAAATATCGGACCGCCCAGATCCCTCCGCGTTCGTCCCCAAACCCGAGGAAGGCGGGGTAATTTCGCCCTTGAGAAGAGCAGGGATCTCAGAGACGGCTGTGTCGGCACTGTTGCACACATGGACGACTATAACACGAGAGTTAGTCAATGAGCCACTTCGATTAACCCTATCCCCAATCGATAGCCGTCCTCCAAAATAGGTAGCTGTCCGGGAAAGAGACGCACCCTCGATCTTGGGAAGGAGATTCTTGATCATAAATTCGGTCAAGTGCGGCTGTTTACCGCAGAGTACGGCAGCGACTGGAGCCATGGTGACGGTGTGAGATTCGTTCGCTTCGCTTGACAAGTTAGCCAAATAGAATCGCTGGAAAGATGCGATGCCAGGCATATCAAAGCCATACCGAAATATTAACCTCTTTGGAAGGATACTAGAGTCTGAGCGTCCCTGTTGTTGCACGCACCAGAACGAGGAAGACTTTTAATGCTTTGTAGACAGGACGTCAAGGAAATATATTGAGACTGGACCGTAAATGCGGTGAGCAGAGGGGTATCCAGCCTTGGCAGGCAAGCCTGAAATGCTTGATTGGGGAGGAAGCAGCTCAACGGTTTGAGTCCGCGGTATGGAGCAGATGCAGTCAGATTCCAAAGGAGAGGGAGCTTCTCTAGCAGATTGAGACGAACGGCGACATCAGCACTACCAGTTCAAAACCCTAGCATTTGTGAAACAAGGCGTCCCTCCCCCTCACCTGTACCTGCCAAGCTTCCCACGAGGAAGGAAAAGGATGGATGCGTCTTCCTGCAGGAGGACCAGAGGGCTTCGACTTCCCTTATCCGAGACGGAAGAGGTCAATACCCTCGCTAATTAATTAATGCTTCTGTAGCCAAAAAGCAGCAGGCGTGCTAGGACGTAGACGGAAACATCGAGATAGTTGGAGAGTTCGGCACGATTGATCTCATACCTAAATACCATACCAGTAGGGAGAAAAAGGTCGCTGCAAACTTAACGGCGAAGGTCGGCTACGGTAGTCCGTTGCCACCTGACCTAGATGTCTTGGCTATCTTGGCTATCTTGGCAGATTCTCCAGCCCAATTCTACTCGGTATTGTGTCATTGGCTGCGACCACGACCCAAATTTGGATGTAATTAGATAATCGTCTGTCGTCGAGTTGCTAATCTTACAAAGTTCCCTTTGGGTCTCCAACAGCAAGTCGACACAATTGGAAAAAAAAGAAAAAAAAAACAACTCTCCATCAACACTTCTTGAGGATAGTCTAGCCGGCACCAGAGAACGAGCAGAGCAGTCCATCAACTATCATGTTGCCACACCACCGGCTTGAAGCTGGAAGGAGGTTTGAGCGGAGGAACGCCCGCATACGCGGACGTCAAGCCCATTTAGCCTTCAGAAGAAGAGTTCGTTGCCCATTAAGACAGCAAGGACAAGGCTGCCAACGACAAGTGGCAGATTCAGACAGGCAGCACTCCCGTGCAGCGAGGAACCTCCTGATCCGACGGGAGTGGCTGTGACAGTCACGGTGCCCGGGACAGAGCCCGTGGTGAGCACAACTTGTCCTAGAATTTTCTCCAATGTTAGCTAGGGTTACGAACCTTGAAAGCGACGCCGCCCCTTCCATACAAAATGCTCGAACGTGAACTGAACAGGAGGGGTCATTGGAGGAGACGAAAAGGGGGGGAGGAAATTTTATTTTGAATCGTACCAGCTGCAGTGTACCAGTTCTGAGTTCCGGGGACAGTCCCCGTGCATATGGAACCGCAGGGGCAACAGCCAACGGAGGATCCGACACGGGTAAGCGTTGCGGAATAGGTGCAGCACATGGGATCAGAGCCCATCATGTTCATCGTGTAGTGAAAATTGCTCCCGTCGTAGTTCGGGCACTCATACTCGGATCCCATCATGCCGCTGCCGCCCATCATACCCGTGTGCGTGTGGTGCGCAGACAGGATGGGGCAGAAGGCCGTCAGGCTGCGCGAATCCGTCGAGCCGAGCGGTCGGCAGACTACCCCGGTTGAAGATGATCTTGCTGTTGTCATCATGCCATTACTGAAACTGTAGCCGATGGGGGAAGTGAGCGTGGTCGACGTGTGCACGGTGTCTGGATGATGTGTTGATGTAGCAGTGGAGGCATGGTCGTCTCCATTAACGAGTCCCAAAAAAAGAGGCAAGAAGAAGAGAAACCTCATCTTGCTGGCAGTAGTTCAACGTATTCCAAAGAGGTTTTCTTAAAATTCGATGAAACAGGTTTCGCTCAACTCTTTTGATGGGCAGAAAAGTACACAGGGGGTATCTCCCCAGTGCGTAATTAGACGTTTGCGTTAAGAGTGCTTGGAATATTCCGGAGCTTAAAGGCGTTGTCAGTTATGGTACCAGTTGGAATGGTCTCTTGTTGCCATAATATGCTCTGCGACATCATCCAGGCCAAATAAATTTGGCTGGACATCATACGAATCTGGTGTGAGAAGTAACGTGATAGTATTTGACACCAACTTCCACAAAATACTCCGGACGAGTACACAGCCAGACTGGTAAAAAAGCTTGGCCATTCCAATTCGGTCGAACATTCTTCCGAACTATCCACAGGCAGAGAAAATGACGGCATAACCGGAACAACAAAGCTGGCATTCTTCTGGATGCTTCTTTGAGACTGATCAGGAGGATCACGTCTCCTCAGAGGCATGACTGCATCTCTGTTTTTAAGACAGTGGCCTTGGAGAACTCATCGGCGGCCATCCATGGGACAAGCGTTGCACGAGCAGTGGGTAACGTAGAGCACTTCTGAACAGGTTCCTCGCGTCTCCCCAGTATCGTCCTACACTGTTCGCTGCTTGAGTACCTTGACCCTGCAGTAGATAGCGGACTGAGCGCATGGGCCGCGGTCTGCGCTTTACAGCTCGTCTAGATTTGTACCAACATGCTTCGAGGGTGAACAAAGGCATCCCCGCAGCCATCTCGACCACCAAACCATCTCGACGTGGCCAGCCTAGACACCGATTCTTCCGTATGGGGCAGATGCCGGATTCATCTTGTCGTGAACATTAAGAATTCGTCTCGGGGCCAAGGAAGTGTTGGCCTGCTGGATTGGAGGGACCTATCGTTTGAGGAACCGGATGCTCAAGTAGCTGAAGGACATGAAGGAAGGCTATGTCTGCAAGTATCTGTATGCTTAGTAACTGGCACGCCGGCCGGGCCTAAGCGCAGCAATGGCAAGACCGTCCATCGAATAGCATTGTACCTGCAAAAATCGCTAGAAGATGACCGCCAGGCGAGTAGTTATCGTCAGTAATCTAGTACGAAGACTTTCCCAGAGCATGTTCAAAGCGTTGTGGCTGGCGTCATCGACTCCTGTTTCGCGCAGAACATCAAGAATACAAAGAAAAGAGAGTCGAGCCATGTGAATTTTGCAAGCTGTGTAGGTGTTTGAATGCAGGGATATCGCAGCAGAGGCGCATCGTTCGATGGGTACCTTTGACCGCAAGAAGAGGCTCAGCGGAAAGAAAGTACATCGCAGGACCGGGACACGTGGACTGCCATTTGGGTTGACCGCGCCACGGTTCTCCACGATTCTGCGCAGCTGATCCAGGCTCGGAGATCTGGTGTTATCCGTAAGTAACCGATATGGGGGGACATTGATCTCCATGTCGTTAGGTAAATAGCATCAACAAGGGCTGCAAGGGGCGACGAATCGATGAGAGTTGAGAAGGCAGAGAGGGGACGGGACCTTTGGTCGTCAGCGAGTCGGGGAGCTTTGACGCATGGTACTTCGGAGTGGACAGTTCAGCATACTAGCAACATCTGCAAGTAATCTGCGACGGGTATTATTCGCAGTCGGGAGCCACCGAGGAGCAGAGAGCTGCGGCAGGTCATCGTCGTGGCATGCAGCAAAAGCGGGTGCCAGGTGGACGGTACGGATTGGAAGAACTTTGATCGAAGCGAAAAGGGACCAGATGCATGGCCCTTTGGACTGCCACCTTTTCACGAGGTACTTACAGGCCAAGACAGGCACAGGTTTGCACAGTTGGATGCACGGCGGCATTCCGGTCTGGACATCTGTGCTGATGTGTTCGCCGCAGCTGCGATACTCGAGAAGAGAGATACCATGAGTGAGAAGCGGCTTGCTGATACAAAAGTTCCGCCAAGTGAGCCCTGAGTCCTTTTGGTCCGGACCATGAACCGGCTCGGAGGGAAATTTCGGAGCAGGAGCGGCAAAGCTGCCTAATGGTCATCGTGGAAACCTCGCCCACCTCGGAGTACGGGCAGTATTGGGGGTGCCCGTCTTGCCGTAGGTACAGTATGCCCATTGCGCATTGCTCTGGGGTGCTAGGGCCCTGAGGCTGGTGAGGCGTAAGTGGACAAGTGCCGTAGGCCCTGAATCCAAAATTGCAGGAGCTTTGCCCAAGACTCCAGTGGGCAGTGGCCCGCCTGGACGGGTGTAACCATCAAATTGGGAACCATCCGCCCACCTCGATTCTGACTCGAGGATGACAGGATGGAACTCTCTAGGCTGTGTCCAGTGCCCACAGAGCCCGCCGCAGCTAGAAACAAAAGCAGCTAAGCCGCCGCCTCACCCGTCACTCTTGATTGGGAGGTCGACCCAGTGTTGGCACCATTGGACGCTCTGTATGACGATCATACTTACTTATGCTTCCGACCGAATGCTTTCGGGCGGTGGGATCGACATGGAAAGGAGACGTTACGAGGCGGGAGGAAACCCTTTGTGCTGCGCCCAGCGCAGGGTTGTTGGTTGTATACAGCAGTGAACAAGCAAAGGAGGAAGGCAAAAGGACTGTGGCGGCGTGGAACGAGGTGGATGATCATCATTGTTATCGATAGGCTGGCGATAGTATGATACGACAATCGATAAAGATAGACAGACCATGATAATGCTTCTTCCACTTCGCCGCGTCCATAGAAGACTCGCGTCCTTGGATTTCTATCTGAAGTATTGGTGACATTGCCCATCTGATCCACAATCAGAGACAGGAGGTCTGGGAAAGTAGCCAGGACCTCGAAAACTAGTACAAAAGATGCATCGGAAGAGCAATCCTTGACCGATAACAAAGGAAAATGTTCTGTGCGACAGTCTTCCCGAATGCTCTTCACGAGTAGTGATGATGCATCAACGCCCCCAAAGAACCCAGCAAACTCCTTTTGTGCCCGTTCGCAGCATCCATTGTCCCGGACTCCTTCCGCTTGGTATCAAATTCCCGTTGTTCCGTATGATTCGTACAGGCGTTGCGTTTCCCCATGCTTGGTGGTGTCTTGGACTCTCACCTCCATCTGTTGTGGCTCATGTCGGAGGATCTGGTCTCGTCACGGGTGACGGTGTTGTGGTGAATGACGACGACTTCACGTTTGACGGGTTTGCGAGGCTCTTTGCGCTCTCGAGGTTCTCTTCGCGAATCGTGGTAGATTCTCTCACCGGCGCTGCTGGAGCCAGATGAGCTATGGTATTGAGGAGCCATCTTGTCCGTTGGTGACCGAGGGTTGGATTGTGTCTGCGACAGAGTGCTTTTCTCTGGCGGGCGGGGTGATGCCTGGAGGGGCGGCAATGGACAGGAGGCAGACCTCAGCGAGGAGATGCGTTGGGATTTATACAGTAGGTGCAAGGATCAGGTTCACAGCCTGGGTAAGATGTTTTGAATTTAAAAAGGGTCTGGCAGGATGGTCGCGCTCTGGGAATTGGGACTCTCGTGGCGAAGGTTGCTAAAAGTGGTGACAGTTGATGGAGGTGGGGGCGAGTTCCAAGAATGTTGCTAAAGGGGTCGAGGGAAGTTTGTTTTTTGATGGGCGATTGTCTGTGGCTTCAGAGTGCTGACTGATGGATTCTATTGACAGGAAGAAGAGGGGAGATTGAAGAGGAATTAGGAGCGGCTTTATAGCAAAGGCAGCGCAAAGCTGAAGAGTCACAATTGAAGGAATCAGCAGTGCAGGCTTATTTGGATGTTGAAGCCTGGTGAGAGGATGGGGTCGGCATCAGGCAGAATGCCAAATCGGGACCTAGCATCAGGCAACTGAAAATCCTAAGCCTTGCTGGCGTGTTGCCAGTGACTCAGATGACGAGGAGCAGGGAACTCGGGATCCGGGTAACCAGAAAGAAAAGAAACAAACGGCAGCATCCGCACCAGGGCGACGAAGCCAAAGGGGGGATGGAGATGTGGATGGGATGGGAAACCAGAAGGCTTTGGAAACGGAAAACAGGTTGGCAGGGCTGTGAGCTGCGGGTTGTGAGTTGTGGGTTGTGGGTTGGCATGGAAAGGTGGAAAGGGGACTTTGATCAAACAGGCCAGCGGCCAGCGCCCAATGGAGCGGTGCAGTCGCACACTGCCGTGAGAGTGACTGGGGCTCGGATTGGATTCGTGTTGGCACAAAAGATTGGCAACAGCCAAGTGCAAGGTGGTGGGAATCCCCCTGGGAATGTGGACTAATTGGGCAGCCAACCCAATTGACTTTGGCTGGAAATTGAGACAATCCACTGGGCACTGGGACTCTGGGAAGGGCAGCAAGAAGGGGCAAACCCGGGCGCCCGAGGGAGTGTGTCGGTACGCACTGCAGGCATTGGTAGGCGAGCTGCGTGGTGCGGCATATTCGTTATCCCAGTGGCCAGAGGCAGAGGCGCGCCCTCGTTAAGCCCCGACCGCGAGGGTGACGTTGCGCGGAGACACTAGGTGGCTGCTATGGTAGGTAACCTGCAGGGCTGGGGGAACAAGCTTGCAGGTTCGCTGTTGAAAGGAAAGGGGGGAACTTGTGGTCTCCGGGGGCTCTTCGTACCTACTTCATGCATGTTTAGTTCAACTACGGCTGGGCGGGGGCTTCTGTTTGGCTCCTGCTTTGCCTCTCAGAACTCAACCCACCACAACCAACCTGCAGCTGTTCATCATTCTTCTCTCCAAGCCTATCGTAAACCACCCGTTCCTGCAGCAGCTGCAGCAAAAAGGAAAGGGAATCGTGTCTTGTACTTTTCACATCCTATCGTGTCCAAAGACCCTTTGGTTTGATTTTTGCCACCCTCCCATTGTCAGTCCCCAGCAGTCCTGCAGCCTCTACTGTGAACGAGAGAGCACTCTATGTACCCCGTCACCCTCCTGATTCGATTGCTCGCATTTTGCGTAGCGCTCCCTCACCACTCTCAGGGGCAATTTCTCAGACGATCACAGCGAGTCGTCTCAGCATTGGCGCCTTTTTGTGAAACCAATGCGCCTCAGCTTCAACTGCGGCACAACACCTCCAGGCGCATCCACCGAAGCCTTCAAACGAGCCGGAAACAAACCTGTCGATGATGGGACTCCGGTTAACCACCACCACGTTCCTGAGGGATGTGGTCCTCTTTTCGAGCTGGTGAAAATTAACAGTGACAAACTGAAAGAAGTCAGCCATGTTTGCTGTACCGAGTACCTCGTACCTCCAGGCACCAAAGTGCCCCCAATGCGGTCTCTACGGAGTACATAACCGTTCGACTGATAACACGAGAGCGCCTCATTTTATCCTGTCCCTGCGCCACGGTCTCCTCAAACAATTCGGTCATCTTATCTCAGAATTTACTCGTGCCATACCGCTTTACCCTGACCTAAACATAGGATTCAATTATCTCCCAGACCACGGCTACCCACTCCCCGTTGGGCTCTTCAGACAGTCTCGTAATCAGCACTTTGCTTGCTCCCGCTTTGATTCTCCTAAAGATTGGTACCCTTTTTCGCAGCCCAACTGTGGATGCTGACCCGCCGCGGCATTTGCTTCAAGATCGTCGCCTGTTGAAGAAGTCTCGAAGAGGCTCCGCCCAGCTAGACAGTGTTCGACGTCGATATTCGCACATCTCTTTCCCAGGTGAGGCGGCCGACAAGGGTGGGTTTCGATTGGGCGCAGCCAGTGGAATGACACCGTCCAAACCAAAACCCCCCAAAAAAATAAAAAATAAAAAAACAAAAAAACTAGCGTGGGTAAAGCCATCACGGGCGTGCTTGGAAAACGCGTTCAACCCCGACAATTTACACGCGTTTCATTCAATATGGCCAGAAGAGCTATCGTATGGTGCCTTGTACTTTCCGCTCGGACTACAACGGAGATGAGAGAGCAATGAAGTCAATTCGTGCCCAACCGGGGCGCAGATCGACCTCGGCTTGGACTCCATGACCAGAACTACAGAACCATGGATCGACATTCAGGCTATCACTTTCCCTTCCAGGTCTCGGGTAGAGAGCGCCAGTGCATGTCACGAGCATTGAACGACACCCTCCCAGCCAGCTCATTCCTGACGGCCACCCCCTGAACCATCGACTCAGTCACAGCCTGTTCTCAACCAGCATCTCCAAGGCTCCTCTGCCGTCATGGTGCATGCAGCTGCTCTTTGCACTTACGCCCCACCTTCGTTAGAGCAGGCTGTTCGGTGGCAATTTCGGGATGTGTGTCGCTTCTCCTTCTCGGTCGCATCTTCACCGTCAGTTTGCGCTTGTCGGGTCCGATAGTACATCCAATCGCTGCCCAATACCACCCGACGAAGGCGCCAAATGTCGCCGAAAAGAGGTTGTCTACCCACTTTCTGTGATATTGTAAAGAACAAGAACTTCAAGAGGACTTCTCCTTGGAAGAGGCTCGGCGCGACAGGTCCCGGCGCATCCGACGGTGACCATGCGTCTCAGCTCTGTCAGTCTTATCAGTGGCTAGAGAGGTGTGTGATCAAAGGCCCAAGCGAAGGTCATCGCCCTGGAGAAGGCTCTGTGCATGGACAGCCGCGAAATTGCGGGATATTAGACATTGTTCCCACTACCTGGGCGCTGCTGCGATATGAGGTCATCATTCTCGTTCACTGGCTCCTAATGGGGATGACCTGCTGAATATTCCCACATGGCTGACTTTGAGGCGAAGGTGAGGCGGGTGGAGGGCGGGATGTTGGTCTGGGGATTGCCCCCCCATCTCTTATTTGTGAGAGCCTAAACCATCTGTAAGTTGTGACGAGCGGCTGCCAACCTCATGGGCGCCGTCGTCACTGCAGTCCGCACCGATCACATGAGCTTTCGCAAAGGCATGTCCCACAGTTGGCTGCGTTTGCAGTCCGGCTGCAATCTATACCTAATACTGCAGGGATTGGACATGCTGCTCCCTTTGGATAAGATGCATTTCTTATCACTCACGATTTGTCGAGCGAAGGATCAGATGTTTTCAGGTTATTGCCCCTTAGCTTGACATTGAGAAGCATCGTAAAGCGGAGGAAACAGAAGCAGTGGCGAGGGCGGCGCATTTCCTTCTCATAAGCTCACTTCCTATAGTTGAAACTAGAGACACCTAACACCTCCTTCAAATTAACCGAACCGACACATGTTTGGTCCATCGTTATACATTCTTGAAGTGGACATTCACAAACATGCCTGATTCATTCTAGGTACGGGTCTTGAGTGAGAGAAAGTTTGACGAAGGTAAGTTTGAATAGATACAAACGTTGCACTATTAGAATTTGTCTATCCGCAGGCCGAAGTCCCCCATGCAGAGTAGATGGGCCTGAGTCAAAGGAAACGGTATTGGCCAACCACTCGAAAGGGTTTATTCACATGAGCGCGACCATTCCCAAGAAAAGACTACCCAACACTCCCGCAGCCGGCACAGCGTATCCATTCGCGGTGTTGCCAGCTGCACCGGTTGCAGATGCAGAGGCACTGCTCGCCGCTGATGAAGCAGAGGATGCAATGCTGCTAGCAGAGTTGGAGGCCGACGTCAAAAAGGAGGACGCTGCCGAGGTGGCACTGTTCACAAGGCTGTTTTCTGCAGAGCTCGCACTGGCCAGAAGACTGCTGATTTCGCTTGAGAGGCTGCTCTGTGCAGAGGGGCCAGCAGTGGCTGCCACGGATGAGAGACTGGAGACTTTGGAGGATGCGGCCGCTGAGATGGAAGAAGCCTCGGATTCGACGACGGAGACGAGCGATTGGACGTCGGTAGGGATACTGCTGGCGAGAGATGACGCAAGTGATGCTGCCGAAGTGACGGCTGAGCCGGCGACCGACGTAGCACTACCCGCAGCTGAAGTCGCCTCGCTGGCGACGGAGGTGGCAATTGAAATGATTGAGTTGATGGCCGAGCTAAGGTCTGATTGAGCAGCAGCGCTGACGGCAAAGGCCAACATCAAAGGCTTGAAGAAATGCATATTGAAAATGTCTCGATGTCTCACAGCGGAGGTATCTCGATGAACGGAGGATCTGGGTGAGTCTGGAGAGGCGGAAGTGAACTACAACTCAATGATGTTGTTGTCACGAAAAGTCAGACCGAGGAGACCGCTTTCTTAGGGGTCCATCATATATGTACACTGGGTTACGGCTCAAGATGACGTTCTGACAGCGGCGGGGGGCAACAGGTGGTGGAGAAGGCACGGATGAGCCACCGTCATCACGTTGGTTGCGTTAAGCCGCGTGGTATGAGCCAAGAAAAGTCTGTCACAGCCTTGCAGGGGACCCAGTTTGGATCGAAAGGCAGCCAACAAGAGAAAGCAGCTCGACATATCGAGATGATAACAATGAGGATTTGGCCCGCCAGGTGCAGTTGCGTCACGCAGGGGTGTGGCTACTTTTTCCTCACTGGCTGACGTTTATGTGCCAAGACCACCAAGCCTCCTTGTCCTCTCAGCATCTCAGCCTCTCAGCCACTTCGTCATCCTCCCGCCACACATGCCACGCAACCAACTCCACCAGGTTCCTGAGACAATTCACTCTCACTTCACTTGCCCTCAGAACTGGTACCGAGTCCATAGAGTACGAGGTACCTCTGATCCAAGTACCAGGTAAGTGCCAAGTACTCCGTCCAATGGTCAAAGATGAGAGAGCGTTAACACTCACTCTATCAAGGTACCACTCCCCCTCCAAAAAAAGGAAGAGTCAATGCTGGTTGAGAGTTCAAAACTACCTCTCGGCCGTCTCATTCCGGTTGGCCAGCAATAACTGTCTGGTGCCGCTTGTACCCTCTTACCCTGGAAATTCAGAGCCTGCCAGTCTAGCCGCGTCGTCACTATTGCTCCGTCGCACCGACTCAAAAATAAGATCCTCAATATGTCGCCACATTATTGACACAGCCAACTTGTCCCGGAGCAACCAACTGTCCCGGAGAGAGAGAGAGAGTTAGGTTACTGATGAGGACTCCGCGAGTCCTCTGCACCGTTCCGCGCAGGAGTGACGTTCCGCATTGTTGGCCCAACATCAAAAAGGAGCTATAGAAATAGCTGAGACTCCTCAACGCTTTGATATTGGAACATAATCCTCCTCAGGGAGGTAAAACATCCAAAAAGCGATTTCATGTCGAAGAAAGCTTGCTGAACTGCTGGCAAGGCTGCGATACTAACAAGTACTTTGTAAGCTCCTAATCATCGGGCGAGATGCCGGATCGACATATCCCCCGGACTGCCCGAGCAAAGCTTAAACATCAAGCAAGGTCACTGCTGCAGGAGATCATCATTTCCGCCCCTAATACCCGGCAGAGCACGGATTTCTTTGATACTTGGTGGTGAGTATTTATGATTCAATGCAAACCGGATAGATCAACCTCATGTAGCCAAATGCCCGCTGCTCGGAGAAACTCCGGATCGTTTCCATCGGGGCCCTGCCTGAAACAAATGAACGAAGTGAGTCCGGCACTCGGAAAGGTACTGGCTGGGTAAGCGAGAACCGACGTCTTCAGTGATCGCTCTTGGCTTCTCAGCCTGGATATTCTCCCGATGCGAGTCCCTACGAATACAAGGACTTGTAAATCATTCTGCAGGGCGGAAAAAGTTCCTATGTTTATACCCTTCACGCAAGGTCCCTTACTAATAAATATACCAGGGAGTGGTTCACACTCTGTCCCCTGGATCGTTCGGTACCGAGGGTGGCTATCTCCGCCAAAACTAATCCCGAAATGCAGAAACGTCAGCGCTCATTTCATTGGCTGAAGGGCAAACAAGGGGCAAAACAACAGAAACAAGAATCCTGCGATCTTCGAGAAGCGTTCGCTGAAAGCTTCTTCCCGCACGTAAACAAATAGCCGACGCGCAATTTCGACCAGCAGCAAGGGCCTAGAGCTTCAGTCAAGAGCGTGCTAGAAAACTATTATTCCCAAACCCTTTTTATCCCTGTCCAGCCCCCCCCCCTCTGCCTTGACGCACAGCTTCACGACCACCCTGTTCCGTCAACTGCAACGATAACCGAGGATAATCCTCTGGCTCTTTATCCCCTATTCTCTCTGCTGCTCTGCTTAGGATTTGAGATACATCACAGTCCCACTGACCAACGCATTCACAAATTCATAAGAATTTGTTTCCGGTCTTACCAAAGACGAAATCCTACATAAGCCGTTAATTTTAATCTCACGATCGTTCCCACCCCATGGCTTTGTCTTGAATAGCAACTCGTCACCACCATCTCGGTCTCTGATGAACTAATCAGCCCTATTCAGCCTGATGGGAGCTCGCGAGTTCATTGGTCATGACATTCAGAACCGCAGTCGAGATGGCTTCCGGGAAGAGGAGAAAAGCGAGACCAAATCACTCAGCACATCTCGCAGATCCGTGAATAAGGCGAAACTCATTATCACTCCACTGGACTCCCATCGACGTGAAGCTTTCGCATCGTATCCGCCAGGAGCGGGACCTCTCTCGACAGAGAGTGTTGACGAGTGTAAGATCACCAACTCTTCATGCAAGAATTCTATTGACAATGGCAGACATTTCCATTCTCCGCAAGGAAGAACTATGTCTGAAAGTCACTCCCGATGTCGAACATCCAGCAATCTCAGTCGTCTTCCCGATGTCAATGCAGGACCCTGACCTCTTCAAATGTCTCCTCGTGGGGGCTCAAAGTCTGCGTGACTGGCGCCGTGATCCCTTTCATGTCAACCGGTCCCGAACGATGCTCAAATTGCAGAACGAAGCCATCCTTTCTCTGCGGAAGCGACTGTCCTCACCATCCGCCCATCTCGACGATGGTGTCTTGATTTCAATCACCCATCTCATGATTGCTGATGTAAGTCAAAGGAACGTCTGAGTATCAATGCATCTAACCTTTCCCAAGTCGTGTCGCAGGGACTTGACGTCTTTGAAATCTCATCTCAAGGGCGCCAGGCAAATCATTTCGCTACGTGGTGGGCTCGGGACTACACCTGCTCATCTCGCTATCCGAGCTTTAGTGACGACGTAAGTCTTCTTTGAAGCATTCTGCAAGTCATAGTCCACTAACACCGAGGGCAGGGTTGAATTTTATATTGCATTGGGTCAATACCTTCAGCTAAGTCCTGATGACCCTACTGCCATTCCTAACAACCGCATCGAATTCATCCGACATCCATTTCCTCCCGACATCTGCCGCGATGTCGCTACTCTTCCCATCGGTCTTGCTGAAGCTGCCCTTTCCGGACATCTGAGCGTTCAATGCATTAAGCTACTTGCTTCCGTCGCGTCGTGGGCACCCTTGGTCAATGGCTCCGTCTCTTCTTCAGCTCCAGCACAAGATTCGAGAGACAGATATTGCAGGCTCTTCTGCGAACCCAGAGAATGTTCCCGCAGCGCCATCATGCTTCTTCTTGATCTCAAAAGATCTGGGCTGCCAGTCGGCTTGGAACATGTCATCTGCCTAGGCTTAGCCATCGCCGTCCGGCATCTCAGTGGAGAGAATCGTACCAACATCTTCGATACAGCCTCGCTCGTCGCGTTGACCAAGAGTGTCAAAAGTATCGATAATCCCTCTGTGCCGGATTCCGAAGTCATCATCTGGCTTTCCCTGGTCATCAGCTGGCGCACACAATCTGCGAAGCCAGTACCAAAAGCGGACGCTCTCTTTGATTACGTTCTGGATTCATTTCCCGCATCCCGTTCCTGGAAGAAGGTGTCAGTCATCTGTCGCAAATTCTGGTGGTTCGAGCGCTTTCAAGCAGAATGGGAACAATGCTGGGCCTGTGGCATTGCAAGGCAGAAGCAGCGATCGTTACTGGAACAATCTCAAAACATGCGCTCTCGAAGACGATCTTCGATTGGCCCGCTGGCGAGCATTATATCTCTTCAAAAATATTCTGCGCACATCGAATCTGGGTGATATTGTGGTGGTTGTGGTCAGAGCATCTCAACCCGAGATTCTGCTCCACTTGGCCGGCGCTGCAGAATTGCCTGGTCAGATCCTGGTCCCACATGGGCAGCATAGTGCGGTCAGGGGGCTCTCCTCAGCATATACTGAGCTTGCTGACACTCCCTCATTAGGAGAAGCATATGGAACTCTCTCCGAAGCCCAGAAGACTGTCTGTTTCAGGCCTCCTGCTCCACAACACGACGGAGCCAGCATTCCTAGTATCCTCGCATCTGCGGAAAGAGAGCTGCTATGCACCCCTTTGTCCGCCTCGGCTGGCTATTATGGGGAAGGCCGATATGCTGTTCCCAATGGCGCCACAAGAAGTGTGCTTTGGCATCTGGGTACCCGATCTGTTTGCTGACACGCCTGAAAGAGCACATGCCGGCAAATTCGCCCTAGGAAATTATGGATTCGGACGGCGAATCTTACCAGATCGCCTCATTTCTTCCCTGGACGCAAGCGGACGGCCTAGGTCAACCTCCACATACTCACCATATCCGTACCCTCCCTGACTTCGCACGTCCGTTCCGGGGAATAGGACAACAACCGCTTCCACCAGCCCTGTCTGCTGTGACCAGCCTCCTCTCCTCTTTTTCATTGTCCAGCAGCCACGCCAGACTCATGAAGGATGCCGTCAACACCCTCACCTAATAAGTTCCAGTACAAGCCCTGAAGCCCCCAAGGCGGACTCTGCTCGTTGGGGTCTTTATATAGTGGGAATTCTACGCATACTAGGATGTTTGAAGGACTTAGGAGGTGGACCATTTTTTCTGCCCACTCTTTTTTCATTGTGGGAGGGAGGGCACACAAGAACTTCGTGGGTTTCAGCAACACAACCAGACCCGCCCGCTTCTTTCCTTGTTTGGCTGCAGTGAATCTTTGAATGTGGAGGAGAAGGGAACTCACAATGTCATCTTAAATTATATCAGACCTCTCCTCAGAGGCACCCTTTTCTCGTTGGCACTCTTTCTCCCAGTCCGACCTAAAAAAGTCCCCGCCGACGGCTATGTAATGGAGGTTAGGTAGCTCTTGAGGCCGAAGGCGTCCAAGCCCTGGAAGGCGAGCATGACAACATCATCGCCACGGCCACAACCCTGATGCGACTCGGCTCAACATCTCCAACCGGGGTCTCGTGGAAGGGCCCAACATACCTGCACCAGCGCCTTCGATCTCTGCCCATCCGGTCTGCGCGGCAGGGTTAGATGTGCCCCTCCTACCTTTCGATAAAATCCACGAGTACAGGTGACGGCTTCCCACGGTCCCAGAGGTCGCTTTGATTGGTGTCCCATAGCTCCGACTAGCCTGCATTGTGGTCCTGGAGGTTCCTGGCATGCAGGATCGGTTTTTGTGGAATTTGTCGTTCAATGGATCATTCGAGATCACCTCTGCAGGAAATGGGATAGTAGGCGGCCCAGAGGCTGAGTACCACCTGCTTGTGCTGAGGAGCTCATTTTACCAAGCGGTCTCCCCAGTGTTAACCAAAGCTCCCATGAATTTTGGATGTGTGAGAGAGGGAAAGTTGTGTTTGACGGTCATCGTTGGTCGGTCGAATCCCCCTGCTGCTGAGGAGTTTGAGGCTCGCTGAACTGCGGTGTGGTAGAGGCCGTCCGTTGTAGGATCATTCAGGCCAGCACTCACATCATGCGCGAAGCATCATTACTGTGCGGCAAAGATACATTCTCAGTTAGCGCGCTGCTTGAAGACGGTGCCTCCTTTACCTCGTAGCGGGGATGTGGGAAGTATCAAACTAATTGCTCCGTGCATCACGTCGAGTACGTGGCCTGCATGACCAATCAGACGGGCGAAGCAACGGTTGACGCCCAAGGACGTGGGGCGAGTCTTGGATAGACACCTTGTACAGCGCTTGGTTGGGCGGCTACACGCCTTGGGAGTGCCCGTCTCGCCGTGAAGTGGTGAAGGGAGTCGCACAGAATAGCAACCTAGCGAGTCCGCTCGGAGTCCCGCTTTGACTGTCACGAGAGTGGAAGCATAGAGAGAGGCTGGCTTTTTATGTGCAGTTGCTTGTGGGCCGCAAGAGAAAACGAGAGATAGATAATTGAGGGAGAGAGAACGACGACAATTCAGATTATCAAGTCAAGGCGCCAACATCGCCAACAATTCAGTTCCCCTCCTTGGAGAACCTTGTACTTTACTTGGTGGTACTGCTGCTCCCACGCGCACAGTCCTCCTCCTCTTCCTCCTCTTCCTCAGAAGAATCCTCCTGTCATCTCTCCTTTTTGCAGCGCTTGTTTCGTCTTTTGCTCAGGTCATCTTCCAGGTCTTGCTCGGCATCAGCCCTTCTTTTCTTCCGTCGTTTCTAAATCCGTGACCTGGGCCCGACCGCAGTTTACCATATCATCATCATCACCATCACCATCCTCCTCACAGGGCAGGCCCCACTCCTAGGTTGCGAGTCCCTTGCCATCTCCAAGATCGACAGGGACATCCTCTGCCTTCTCCTTGAAGACCGTAAAGTCTTTCGACGCCATGAGTGCCTCCGGCCAGCATGGGAGGCCGGACGGCGAGATGTTCCTCAATCGCCCCAGTGACCGCGACTCCCCCACCATCGTTGAGCCCTTGCGCATTAATAAAAGAACTTCCAGCGCGTCCTCGGGCGTACCCTCAATCACTGGCAAGCAAAGCCCTGCTCCTCAACAGCCTCCTCAGTCTACGACCGTTTATCCTATGCCTTCCCTCCCATACCCGGACGAGCAGGCTCGCCAGCAGGCACAAGGCTCCCGATCCAATGGCTCCCCTGCGCCATACCCATATCCGGATGTGAGAAGAGTGACGTCCCCCGAACAAAGTGGCATTGCCGGAAATGGGACAAGGCAACAGGCAAAGAGGACGACTTCAGGAGATGGGCGCACTGGACAAACACTTGCTGAACGCCGTGGGACGGTACCAAAGCCTTTACCAGAGTCTCCAGGCCCGGACGCTCCAGATAAAGAAGGACTGTTCCAGCGCGCTCCCCAGCGCAGGGACCCTCCGAACACGGCTCCCCTCCCAAGCCAAAATCACCAGTATTGGCCTCCCCCTTCCGAAGCCTCGTCTGCGGCAGATGCCTTGAGCAGATTGAAGATCAGGGACCCTTCCTCGATCAACCGAATAAGTTCCACTGCTTCAACATCCACCACCAGAGCCCAGCGTGGATCGCCTCCTCCACCAGAAACGCCTATTGTTGCCCCGGGAGTCCGCCCTCAGACTGATATCGAGGCCCGCTACGCTGCTTCTGGCATTGCAGGCACTGCAACATTGAACAGCTTACAAGCCCAGAGCCTCGCTGCTCAGCAAAGAGCCTCTCAGTATGGTGTGCAACCTCAGCCCGTTCAGGCACAGAGCAACGCTCCTCCACGGCGGCCTTGGACTCCCACCGAAGCACCAGGTAGTTCGCACCATCCTGCTCCCACAGTGTATCAGGGCATGGAGGAAGCCCGTCCCTCGCCTCCGCCTGCCGCCGCGGTACCCGCATCCCGCCCGGCAGGGGTACAGTCTCCAACTCGGGCCCAACACCCTGTCGAAAACGAGATATCCAGGTTACAGCCCCACGAGGAGCCACCGCCCGCATACTCTCAAGTCCCTGGTGGCAGAGCAGTCGTCGGGAATGAGAAACAGAGGAGAAGTATGGTGGCCGCTGCGGCGGCGCCAGCAGCGGCTGGAGGGGTTGCACCGACAGCACCTCCGCAACCGACAAATCTCATGCAAGGAACACAGGTTCCCAACCAAATGGACCATCCTGCGTTCGCGAACGACCCTAGGAATGCGTTCCAAAGCCCGCAGGCTCATCCAAACATGAACGGACAGATGCAACAGGCACACCCGGTCATGCCTCAGACGCCAGCCCAACTTCCTCCCGCTTCTCCACCACCGCTTCCAGAGGGATGGATAGCCCACTTGGATCCTAATTCGGGACAATACTACTATATTCATTTACCTACACAATCTACGCAATGGGAGTTCCCTAAAGGTCCAACGCCTCTCAACCTTAACGACACCCCATTGTCGCCGGTGGCCAGTGTATACCAGAACCCACTTGCCTCCCCTGGCTTGTCTTTCGCTTCCAAACCATTGGCATCGCCGGGTCTTCCCATGACTCCCGGATATGACCAACAAAGTGTGATGGGCTTGCCTGGTCCGGCAGCCTTCACCGGGCCGCCTCCTAGCGCTGGTGTGGACTTGTACAAGGTAGTGGCTACGAATGGCGTGTACTTTGGTCCTTATCTTCGCTACGTCAACATGGATATAGAGCGGGGCATTTGGTATGGATCTATACTGCTGGTCACAGATGCACCACAGCCACCAACAATACACATCCACCAGAGCGTTGACCTATCTCCAAATCCACGCCAATTAAAAGCCAACAGTATCTCAACTCACCAACGCTGGACATTTTACAAGTACGATATTGACTTGCGGATGGAAGATGCTGGAGCTGCAAAGTGGACATATGCCATCACTTCCCACCTTGGTTGCACGAGATATGAGTTTTTGGTGGCTGGAAAATACGAGACAAATTGGCGCTTCGTTTGCACTTCTGCGAATGACTTTTCTCTCAACGTAAGCGCCAACGAGCGTGCCAGATTGGGCGGGGTTGGTTTCATGTGGAAAGACATCATGCAGAAGCACACCGAATGCGGCGGATTCCATTGCCAACTTGGACTGGGCAGTCAAATCAATGCCGATAGATTGTGGAAAGAGATCCCATCGCTAAAGCAGTGGCTATCGACCAGTGGAAAAGAAAATCGAAAGAATGCTGTCTGGACAGCAGCACACGAGGAGGACGTGACGCATGCATATTTTCATTATTACACGAGTCATTTTGATCAACCATATTTGCGCGAGGCTTTTGCCCAGATACCCCACATTTTGACGATTGATGATCATGACATGTGAGTGAATTTGTTGGACTGACGGAGTCCCCAGGCTGATGAGGAGCAGATTTGACGGTTTTGGTTCTTACCCCGAATACATGCAATTCAGCAACATGTTCAAGAACATTGGACGGATTGGCATTGAGATGTACCTTCTATTCCAGCATCACACAACACTAGAACTCCTTCGCAACGTGTCCGATGACAGAGATTTGTTTACCATTACTGGAACCGGATGGCATTTCGTCAAATATCTCGGGCCGGCGGTCGCTGTTGTTGGGCCAGATACACGGAGCGAAAGAACGCTCCACCAAGTCATGGCAGGCCCAACCTACCAGGGGCTATTTCCCAAAATTGCGTTGCTCCCTTCGACCATACAGCACTGTCTCTTGATGATCCCAGTGCCCTTGATCTATCCCAGGCTGGATGCCGCAGAGTCGATAGCGCAGACGGTGGCCACTGGGAAGAAAGCGGTGACGGGGGCCTACAACGTTCTTGGCAAAGTGACAAGCTCTGTTGCAGGCGTGGTTGGAGCCAAAGGTGCTGTTGGATCGGGGTTTGACTCGGTGAAACGTGCCGTCGGCAAGTCCGGATTAATGGGAGGTATTCTGAGTCCGTTCGGCGATATTGACGTTCTCGACGAGCTGAAGGACCAGTGGACCCACGATTCAAAAGTGAGTGATAACATTTGCCATGCCTTCGACCGTGTTTTGCTGACGTGGTTAGGACCTGGAGCGAACGTACCTGATTCGTACACTACAAGGAATCTCGCATCAGCGATCTATTCGCATGACATTTGTATCGGGAGCAGTCAACACATGTGGAGCGGGTCTTGTCCATGACCCATCCCATCCATCAGATCACAAGACCATGTATCAAATCATTTCATCGCCGGTGGTGAACACTCCGCCACATGGCTATGTCATGAAATTGCTCAACAATAACAAAGCACTCTACATCCCGGCGAATGGACAGCGATCAACACCGTCACAGCCAACCGACACGAAAGAAGACATGATGGAGATCTTTACACACGACGTGACAGGGCAGCCCATCAACAACCGAAAACTGATGGCACGGAGAAACTACGTGGCGGTTGTGATCTATGACCCTGAAATCGTCAATGGCACTTATGGCCAGACGGACATGCATCGAGGTTCAGGCAAGCTGAGCCTGGCAGCCGACTTTTTAGTTCAGGGAGAAGGCGCATATGGAAGTGTGGTCAAATACGGGCCGGTGGTGGTGCCGGGCTTGGAGTATGGGCATTGAGTTGTTGTAGATAGAGGTAATTACGAAGAGCCGGTATTGTTTTGTTGCGGTATCGAAGAGATGGACCTTGAGCAGATATGTACCAGAGGCATGAAGCCATCGCGGTGATGTGTTTGAGCGAATTGACTCCCTTGTTCCCTGCTATTCTATGTCCTTGTTGCGTGTATATGTATCTCCGGCAGTCTTCTGCCAACAGTGGCTATCATGATTCATGCCTCACTCCGATTTGGGGGCCTGACTTCTGTGCTTCGGATCTTAGAAACCATCCAACCTCGCTTGTTCTCCATCCCTCTTTGCATGGTGATTGGCAGGATGACAAATCGCAATATTTGGAGAATATGGCTTGATAGCAAGTTGATGTAGCTTCAAAGGTATTTAAATCTCGGCATCTTTCTTCGTCATCTTGCCATCTATCGATCGATCAATCTATCCGTCCATCGACTGAGCAATTGCTCTCTCTATCCATCAAGCCATGGCCACCAACGGGACCACCTCTGCCACCAATGGCACCGCTGCTGTTCCGGACATCATTCTATATACCAATCATGGTTGTCCGTGGGCGCATCGAGCGCATATCGCTCTCAAAGAGCTCGGCCTCCCCTACAAAGAGGAGATCATCGACCTGGACAGGCCGCGTGATCCGTGGTATCTGAAGGTGAATCCGGTATGTTGAATTTCCTGACATGACGACTGTGGGCAGATCCGTATACCGAAATTTGATGATGCTTTGCGTGGTGGTCTGTGATTGACTCGTCTCGTTCCCGAAAAAGCGCGGTCTCGTCCCCAGTATCAACTACAATGGCAATATCATCACAGAATCAGCTGTGGTTACGCAATTCCTCGCCGACGCACATCCATCACACTTACTGCCTCCCACTTCCTCCGCCTCCGACGCCCTGTATCGGGCCCGTGTCGCTTTCTTTGTCGACGCGTTCATCACCAAGGCCTTGCCTCAGATCTTTGCCGGCATGCGAGCGCAATCTGAGGCCGACAAGGACGCCGCTGCGCAAGAATTGATTGCTGCTGTCGTCAAGGAGCTGGAACCTCTCTTCAACTGGGGGGGAGGGAAGGGCCCCTTCTTCGGAGGCAGTGACCAGCTCACACTCGCCGAGGTAAGTCGCCCTCCGTCGGCATGGCATGATCTTTCCTCTTTGCATCTTCAAGCACAACAACGAGAGAGCTGATACTGATCCCGGCTGCGTCCCCACCTCCAGGTCCAAACCGGCCCTTTCCTTCTTCGACTTCTCGCCTTCACCAAGCCCGAGTACGGGATCCTGAGCCCGAAACTGGGCGCCTTGCTTGACGAGAAGGCGCCGAAATTCAAAGCATGGGCTTCCAAGGTGGTGCAGGAACCGAGTGTGACTTTCATTTGGAATGAGAAGGCTGTGGCCGATAGGACCAAGGCTAGGTTCGCAAGATTGGCGGCCGAGAAGAAGCTCTAGACCCCGATCGATCAACTTTTCTGATACGGAAGGGAGCTTGGAGCCTGCGTCGTAGGGCTTTGACCTTGGAAATGGTCCCTAGGCCCCACATCGCTTCTGTCCTCGAAGGACGCATCAAATCAATCGATTCATGATCTCCGCTCTGGGTTGCCACTTTCTATGAAGATTCTCAGTTCTGCACCTTGAATGTGTGTCGAAGTCTTTGTGTTCCTTGCCAAGCGGAACCGAACCGGTACCCTCCAAATTCTAACGAAGCTCGGCCGGAGACACTTTTCTTGCAAGTCCTGTTGTCAAATAGGTCGGCCAGCCAAAGAGCCTCACTGGCATCAACCACCGGGCCCCAATCAGGTGGACGGATCCTCCTGTTACAGCCTGATGACCCGTCTTTTCCGCTTCTTAATTGGATGAACTCAATGAAGCATACGCGGGCATCTGGCGGTCTCGGCCACTCCTCTATTCATTTCAGCCTTGCCCAGCCTTGCGGCGGATCTCCTCGTGCTGTTTGCCCCCTGCGTAAAGCCTTTGGAGTTGAGCGAGGTTTGGGAGTATCTCGACAATAGCCTCACATGGCTTTAGAGAGATTACATGGGTGACAACAATCCATTCATTACACGGAACGAAAGTATCCGTCTACTCTTGGGCGTTCATGGAAATCTAGTCTTGAAACTTGCCCGAGACTAATGCACGGGTTAATTGCAGTCTATCAAGAGACTGCTATGTGGGCACAACAAACTACCCTCTTTCCCTTCGCAGAAAAATGGGACAAAGTATTGGCCAACTCGGCCGCACCAGGCCCCTCGAAGGTCCAAAGTCCCTTCTGTTCTTGCATAACGGGTGGCGACCCCCCTTCCGGAGCTCAGGCAGTCTCAAGGGTATAAAAAGACATCAACCCTGATGTCGCCAGCTGAAACTCGAGACATCTTGAGCTTGGAATATTATTACTCTCCACTTCGATCGGGAACCTGTCATGCCAGAGAATATTGCTCTTCTTGATCCCAACTTCTCTATGCACTCACATGCATCCACGTCCGTGCTCTGCATAAGTCGAACCACAGCGTTGAAGACGACTATGACGACGAGGCTTTGTGACGGCTGTTCTCCTCTCAGTCTCATTGTAGAAAGATTTCTGGTTGAGCCAGGCGGATTATCGGACACAAGCATATCAGTCCGGTCATTGGGACAGTCGGTCGGCCGAAGAAGACGAAAGCAGGAACGCAAGGTGGAGAGGTTACATGGTTCTCGGCGGCAAGACGTTGTTGCCATTTCTAGCGGAGCAGCAACGAAAAGAAAATCGGTCTCAACGAACAAAGTCTGCACGAGCGGCGGCGAACAGGCTTTGAATTTCCAGAGCATCGATACGGCAGCATGAAAGGGGTAAGCGAAGAAGACCGAGACAAGAAAGTTCCTCTGATAGTGATTCCATCTACTTCCAAAGTCGCTCGTCCGTCAAAGGTGGGAGAGATGGAGAGTCTGACGAACACACAGAACGACGCCTCGAGCAATCAAGATCTTTTAGACCTCAAATTTGATTATTATGGTCGCCCTTAGTCGGAAAAGCGGAATGTGAGCCAGTTTGGAAAAGCCGAGAGAGAGTTTCACCTTGACTTTGCCAGAGGATCCATATCATGCCAGCCAGACTCCGGCCAGCGACAACATCAACTGGCGAAACGGGCTCCCGGACCCAGATCTTCTTGCCATTCTTCACTTGGAGGGCGTTGTTCCACGTCGTACCCGCCACGGCTGATACGACTGATGCTACAGTTCATGTCGATAGCGGCGTTCTCAGATCGGGGCTGGCGCCGTTGCCACATCATGGATCAGCGTGGAGATAAGTGTGGGGGTCTATCACCATCAACGAAGAGTGGTTCCAACGGCATCAGAAGGGCGAGGCCATCAAGAACGGTGTGACGAACGGCCTAAAAGGCAAGACTGAGAAGACTGAATCGAGTTCATTGCTATCTCGGAGGTCGAGTCCTTTAGTCCTTTACCAAAGGAGAGTTTCCAGACTGAACGTCCTATATCCACAAGGAGAGCGTCGAGTCGGGTTGGATTTGTTCTCCATGCTCCTGATCGAGCACTTTCCCGTCGAAGGGGTTTACCGCTGCGTCGCCGCAGGGAAGGTCTTCAAAGCGGCATTTAGCCTGCTCGATGATGAGTTGGAAGGGCATTATGCTTGGATAATAAGAGCCTCTCTCTTTTCCGTCCGTGTGTCTGTCTGTCTAACAGAATGGAGGCATAGGGAAGAAAAGATTTGTTGGTAAAGCAAGAATGCTAAGGTAAGAAAGGCGCTCAACTTTCCTGTTTACCTCTGAGGGGGGGTTAGTGAAATGTGTCTGGCAAGCATGGTCAAAACATCGCGAACTCGCATTCTGTGCGAGGGATCTACACTCGAGAGCTGTCAGGGTGATGCCTCACCCTCGGGGGTAGTTTGCCTTTCGACGAAGCCGAGGCCTTGGTGCGTTCAGCCCTCGCATTCCATATCAATGGCCTAGGTCCGTTGCAAGCGCTGGACCTTGCCGCAAGGCGAACGCTTGAGAAGTCCAATGGTTTTCGGAAAGGCTCGAGGGGCAGCCACGGAACGGGAAATACGCAGGTCATGAGTTCCCTTCATCACCCAAAACTGTGCCGATCCAGGTTGTCAAATCTTTGCCAAAATGATCCTGGGAGCGACGAATGCTGTTCAAGAGGGTGGCCGGGTGAGTGAATGTTGAATCTATATTTCGTCGACTTCGATTCGTCATCACGCTTGCAAGGTCCGTTCCGTCAGATGCAATGCAGCTTGTGGGAACAGCAGGTGGCCTCTTGATGAAGCGTGTAATAGGTTGCGGGAGATGCCCTTTATCGTCCCTGCTGAGTAATGAATGTGGGATGCGGTCTTGAATAGGAAGTCGTGAAAGGGAAAGCAGCCCTGGCTAGTCTCGGTATTTGATACTTACTCTAGATGGCAGTAGAGGCGACGACGATCCCCGTTAGAATAATGAAGGGGCATTCCGCGATAGAAGTTCGGATCTTCTGATTTGGGATTGGCCGCAACCTCCAGATAGGTTCACTGGTCCAAGATTGACCTTTTTCGAAAAGAGCCACCATCACACCGGCTTCAATGCAGGCGCCGAGCTCGGTATGTGTCGAGTTTCATATGTATGTACGTAGCTACTCCGGTGGCAATTCCGCACTGGTGGCGCCCACCAATCTCCTAAGGGCCTGTGCAAGCGTTTCTCTGCAATCCCATTTGGCAATGCCTTGGAGTATTAACTCGCTCAAAAGACAAGAACTCGCCCACATACAACACCCCCCCCTTCTCAAACAGGAATCCATGGCCAGGGGATCGGCCCACGATGAATTGAATCAGCCTAAACAGGCCTCCCACGAGCCAACAATGGTGCCGGAATGCCAGGTATGGGTCTTTGTTGCGCCTTATCCGGATGCCCCCATCGCCTTTCCGAGCAGGCCCAATGATGAGACGTGAATTGTTCGTGGTCGGGCAAACTTGTTTGCGGGGATTTGGAATCGCCAGTTGCATCGTATCTTGACACAACGCACCGTGGAAAGTGGCATATATACTTCCCTGGGGATCCGGCGATAGAAGAGGAATACCAGAAACTCCATCTCTCTCACATAAAGAAAATCGACCTGAAACCTCAACCCTGCAACTTGCTAAACATATCGTCGGCTGCATCGCTTCGAACACCCAAGATGCCGTATCTCACCACCAACGACGGCACCGAGATCTACTACAAGGACTGGGGCCATAAGGATGCTCCTGCGACTGTTGTCTTTTCCCACGGCTGGCCGCTGAACGGTGACAACTGGGAGAATCAGATGTTCTTCCTGGCCAGCAAGGGGTTCCGGGTCGTTGCCCACGACCGTAGAGGGCATGGCAGATCTAGCCAACCTTGGGCGGGCAACGACATGGATACTTATGCCGACGACCTCCTGCAATTGTTCGAACACCTCGACTTGAAGGATGTCATGATGGTTGGTCACTCGACAGGCGGTGGGGAAGTCGCGAGGTTCCTGGGCCGTCACGGCTCCAGCCGAGTCAAGAAAGCGGTCCTGGTCAGCGCAGTGACGCCGCTCATGCTCAAGACCGAAGCCAACCCCAAGGGCACGGCGATCGAGGTCTTCGACTCCTTCCGAGCCGCCATGATCAAGGATCGCTCACAGTTCTTTATCGACGTCCCCTCTGGCCCGTTTTTCGGGTTCAATCGTCCCGGCGCCAACGTCTCCCAGGGCCTCATTCAGTCCTGGTGGCAGCAGGGAATGATGTGCGGATTCATCAACTCGTACGAATGCGTCAAGGTTTTCTCCGAGACAGACATGACCGAGGATCTGAAGAAGATCGACATTCCCGTATTGGTGATGCACGGCGACGATGACCAGGTTGTGCCGATTGAGGCGAGTGCACTCGAGGCGATCAAACTGTTGAAGCATGGGAAGTTGGTGGTGGTTAAAGGGGCGCCTCATGCGTTGCCGAACATCAATGCGGAGGAGCTGAGCGCCGAGCTGTTGAAGTTTTTAGAGGAGAAATGAGGCGGAGGAGACAACCCCACGCCGCCTTTCATAACGATCGATTAAGGTTGGAAGTTGTACAAGACATAGATAGATAATGAATGATATAAAGGTCAAACAGCACAGAGCTCGAGAGTACCCTGGAGCACAAGCCTTAGGGCGGCGTAAGATGATGCCTAAATCCAGAAAGGTCAGAAATAGTCGTATTACAGCAGCATGCCGAAGCCGGCGAGGGTTTCACACTTGTTGTTCAATTTTCTTGCCTTGAGACGTAAACATTGGGTGCAGTGATTTGAAAAGAATGCGCCATTCGGGACTCCAGCGCGAAGTCCTCAAGCTGTATCGAGCATGTCTGCGTGCTGCAGGCCAGAAGCCAGAGGTAAGGAGGCCCCAGTTTCCCCCGACCGTCCACTCTCGCCACATTTGTCAGTCATCTCACTTACCTTGCCTTCAGGCGACAAGGGAGAACTTCCGGAATGCAGCAAGGTGAGTTATGCTTGATGTTCTGACCTGTTTCAACAAGATGGCGCACGGGCATTGATTGACAGATTGATCAAATATTTCATTCTAGACGCGAATTTCGCAAGAACCAGGCCATTGACAAAAAGGACTTTGGGGCGGTCGAAACATTGATCAGAATGGGCGCTCGCAAGCTCGAGCTCTATTCGTCCCCGGGCGTCAAAGACATTCATTGACGCTACAGTACCAACAAGAAGATCTTGATGGACAGGCACAGTTGGAATTTCTCTTGCCGCACGCTCAACTGCTGCCTTCTTTCGTTGCAGAGGGTCACGTGATCAGAATCTTCTGGCACTATGTCGAAGCATCCAGCGCCTTGTGGCAAAAGCAAAACCGGGCAGCAGGCAGATGGTGCTTGCGTTTCCCAGAACAATCCAGCAAGTACCGGTGCCACGGTCGACATAAGCTGCTTTCTCATCAATCTCGACTGTCCCAGCACCTTCCATCAAGCAAGATGAAAGGCTATAAAGTCTTGGTCGACACAGGGCTGCCCGTAGTCCGACATCAATCAAGATCACCAAATCTTATGCACTCAACTCGAACGAAAATCATCCCTCTGACCTCAAGGATCATCAAGCCAACGCTTTCAACCAGAAACATGTCTCTCCTCTTTCCAAGAATCGCCTTTGCGCCTGCACGCTGCGGTCCCACCCGCCAGGACATTGCCCCCCTTTTTTCTCTCTTCGACGACTCCTTTAGTGAACTCCAGAGAGCCAGCCGTGCAGCCCGGAAACAATTCAACCCTCGCTTCGATGTCAAGGAATCAAAAGACTCCTATTCCCTCGAAGGCGAACTCCCTGGCATCGAGCAGAAGGACTTGAGCATTGAATTCACCGATGAGCACACCTTGACCATCAAGGGCCGCACCGAGCGCAAGACAGAATCTGGTCCTCGTCCTCAAGCTGTTCAAGCTGAGAAGAAGGCTGCCATCGAAGAATCTCCTGCATCTGAAACCAGTAGCGTCAAGTCCCATCAACCCACCGTTGAAGATGAGGAGCCCGCCAACTCATCTGCCGCCGCCGCCGATGATAGCAACACAGAGGTTGCTCCGCCGACTCCTGCGCCAGCTGAGCAACAGCCGACCAAGGTCGAGGAACGGCAACCCGCACAACAGCAATACTGGATCACCGAACGCAGCGTGGGCGAGTTCACCCGCAGCTTCCGGTTCCCACATCGTGTGAACCAGGAGGCGGTCAAGGCTTCATTGAAGAATGGCATCCTCAGCATTGTTGTTCCTAAGGCGACACCGGAAACCAGACGCATTGCTGTTGAGTAAAGAAATCATGAAGGGTAAGAGACTGAAGGCGTGGCTATCTATACGGCACGAGCACAAAGGCTGCATCACGTGGCGTTACAATTAAGTTTTATGACTTAATAAATACTTGAAGGGGTATGGCAGGGAGTGACTGGGATGTACTTGTATGAATAGATGATCTCGGCTCCCTCGCAGCTTAGGATGATGGAATTAGAAATATATATGACTTGATACTCACCGCCGGTGCCTTTTACCCTCCAGACTCTTTCTTATATTTTCCCCTTCTCTTTCGATTGTGTAGCACCCCAACTAGAGGCACATGAAAGTCTCAGAGACCGAACCATTTGCACATGTCTCTTGGGCTTATTATTCTCTTGGCAGCTTCCAGGCATCTGTTTCCACGGCCCAATTGTGCCATTCGATGCATCCGCGTCCTATCTCCCGGCCTGCGTGCAGAAGGGAGCCTAGGAGACGCAGGGAGGAATTTTTTTCCTGTAGCTAAGTTAGTATGCAGAGTATGCACATACGTAAGATGTCTCAAATGTTGACGGTGTTGGGAGTCCCGTATTCGCTGCTTACCTAGTGTGTTCAAGCTGGCCAAAGCATTCTTTTGCCTGGCAGCTTCCCTTTGCAGCATGTGTCCGGGTCTGCATGGGTTGAATGAGTGGCTGCGGTCCCGTTTACCCATTCTGGTGCCGACACTTGGACTGTTTTCGTGCGTTGAGGCGCCAGTAGCTTCTCCTCACCGTGTTGTGAGATGTGGACCATGGCTATGAACACAATTTCAGCTCAGTTCTTTTCCCACGGCGGACAGTCAGCATCTGGCCTAGCAGCAGCAGCAGCAGCACCACCCCCATGTGGCAAAGATTATCGGACTTTTTTCGTGAGAGTGCTGAGCGGAAGTTCTGGACCATCGACTTTAGGGCAGAGGTAATGTAGCCGGAGTTAGACAGTGGATCTCGAGATTTGTTACGTCGCTATCAGTGGCTGGATCGGATTGCGTCAGGTGTTGCTCCCCCGGATAGTGCCGAACCAGTCAACCACATAGGGTCTGGGCCTTGCTGGGCCCCGGACCTGGTCGTGTTGGGGGAGCAGCAGGGAAGCAACCGGGGGGGGACCAAGAGGGGGGAAAGCATCTGTGGCGCCCCCATGGTAGTGGTTTGATGGCGGATAGAAGAATGGTTTAGCGGTGGCTGATGCCTGGAATTAAGCGCACAGCGATCCGGATGTGCCTGTGAGTGGGGTGCTTGGGGGGTGTTGGTGAGTGGTGGCTGCTGCGTCTCCGGGCGACCTGAAATTGTTTACATGGGCCCGTTTCAGCCAATCAAACCCAATTTGCCGCACATGGCAGGATGGGCCCTGCATTGGAGCTTCGAGACTACTAACTGCTCACCAGGTGAACCTTGGTATCGTCGCTTTTTCCCCATGAAAATGAAAATGAAACGAATCAGGCCAAGTCAAGGCGTCACTGCACTGACCAGTGACCACCTGCGCTTCTCCCAAATCCACCGTGACCACCGCCGCTGCCGCTTCCATCCTTCCACCTCCCACCTTCATCTCCACCTCCACCTCCTCACCTGTTTGTTTCCTTCGTTTGCCCTGCAACAACTCACTGAATTCACAGACCTTGCCTTGTGCTGCCTTCGTTGGATTCTTTCGTCTCTTAGCCCTTAATTCGTTCCACCAGGCCGTTCTTTTGCGTCCTCGCCGACCTCGGTTGCCCCCTGTCTGTCGTTCGTTTCAGATCTCCACCTTCGTTGTCCTCGCCGGCCCGCGGACGGGCGCCTGTCACCACTGGAGCACTGACCTCATCTGCCTTGCTTGACGGACACACGGTCCCGTTTCAGCAACATCTTGACCACCCCCACAGGTTGTCATGTCCCAGCAACCACTATACGGTCGATGGTAGAACAATGGCCGCAATATTATAATCCCGCCCGCTAAGAGTGAGGCTCAGGAAACTTTGCATTTGCAGGAGGGAGCATCAGTTTTGCGAAATCTATACAATTCTCAGCGTTTGCTGTGCCGCTCAGCATGTGGTTTGCTCGGAGGAGGTCGAGTCTCGCCGCAGAGCCCATCCAGACCCAGCCCGAGCCTCGTCGAAGAAACCGCCTGTCCAAGCCCCTCACAAGCAATGCAACCAAAATTTCCACCGCTACCTCGGCCCCGAGTCTTCACGTCCAGGTGCCCGTCTCGCGGAGCAAAAATGCAAGCGGTACAGATTTGTCGAGTCCATTATCCCCCATTTCAGGAGATGCCGCCTCGCGCCAGCAGTTTCGGGATGATATAACTCCTTCAGAGGCAAATTCGCCTCTCCGCGCGCGCAAGAACGATTCGAACTTCAGGGTCGCCTACATGGTCAGTCAACTTGAGGGAAAGGCTGTTGGAACCGAGACAAGTCCAACGCACAGGCGGCAACAACAAGCAACCCCTCCTCTATCACCTATCAAGCAGCCGAAGAGGAAGTCCCTTCTGCTGCGCCGCCTGTCTCTGCAAAGGTCTTCCAGTATAACTCGTACCCCCAGTAACGAACGTTTTAATTCTTTGAAATCGGATACAACGGTCACCACTATCCCAGATGCGTCTATGGACAGAATCATCGATCCGCAGCCAATTCCTCCTACCCGCCGATCCTCCTTCACTCCTGGCACCGCGACAAGAAAGCCATCTGAAATTGCCAAGAAGCAGGAAATACAAGAACGTAAGGCGATTCAAGAGATGGAGGAGCAAGAGACAACTGCTGTGGACGTGGACTACTGGGACTGGCAGCCTCCGCCTCCCAGGACAGTCGGGAGAGCCGGTACACCTTCAGACATAAGTTATTCACATCTCGGCGGGTTAAGACACGGCTCTCTGCAGATCGTCAATGGACGAGCATCACCTACCTTCAGCGAAGTCTCAAAGGCGTCGAAACAGCTTTGGTCTGCTGCTGCTGCTGCACCACGCAGAGATGTGTCGAGTGATTATGGTGATGCCGAGGAGGACTTTGAGCTATTGATCTCGGTAGCCGGAAATCCATCCAACTTGAGGTCAAGCCCCTCGGATGGAAACGCCGAACTTCGATACTTCAGTTGGGAGCCGAACGATGATAAAGCTGGCCCACGGGCCCATCCCTTGCAAAGCGTCATGACCGCACACCAAGATGCTGAGGACCAGACGTCGCTGATGGCCAAAGAATATATTGCGGAGCTAGGGGCCAGTCCATTTGACCAGCAAATGTCGAGCTCTCCTGTCGGCACTGTAAGAAGGTCTAGATCTGATGGGTCGCTCTGGAAGGTGAGCTCTTGCTCGTCACTCCAAAATTCGCCCAGGCCGGGCAGTGGTCGGGTGGACCTCTCTCCGGTCAGTCCTCTGGAGAGCTCACCTTCTCCAACTGGGTCTGTGCTTCGTAATGCGAGTGTTAGGACTGAAGAGAGCGGAAGTCGAGAAATCCCGCAGAGCGATGAGACGAACGGCGAACATCGGCCTTGTGATAGTCCTATGAGCTGGTATTCCCCCATTGAACCAAGCTACTCGGTTGACGAAGGCTTCCAGTCAGCTGTCGAGTTTCAAGCTCAGCTCTCAACCCCCAGCGTTGGACTCCAGCCTCTTCGTGCGCCAGAAAAATCAGATAGTGGTTACAGCTCAAGTAACTCGCTCCGATCACTTCAAATGGCCAGACCGACCACGTCACCTGCGAAGTTTGAGGCTCTGCCGGAGGTGCCAGATGCAAAAGTGAGTACTGATGCACCAGAGTCGGGCCGTGCGCCATCTCTCCTTGGGCTGAGACCGTCAATTCTAAAGTCACGGAAGACCGATTCTTACGTACCAACGTTCACCAATCTTCGGCCCAGCACCGTGTCATCACCTCCGAAGCAAATCGTTCTAGTAACGGCACCCGCCGAAGCCGATCCTACCTCCACCAAGCTTACAAACTCCCGAAAGAAACTGCTGAAAAAGAGGCGCCCATTGAGCCAGCCTCCTGGCCAAATTGCAGTTGTTCGAGTTCAATCATTTGAGCTGGACAGTATTCCGCAGGTGTCCCCCGAGGCACGAGAAAACCTCCGGGTACGGTCACACGCCCTACCAGAACTGGAACAAACGTACTCCTCGCTTGACATGCTGGCCAACAGAGCTAGTCGCTCGACCCTTTTTCTCCCCATCAATGAAGTCAGGTTCCCATCCCCGGCTCCGCAACAAGCACTTCAAGTTAAGCGGCCCCGGTCTCGCAGCCGCCCGAGATCGTGGTTTGGTCGGCCTAAAGAAGAGAAGGTGAGCTCAAAGGGCAAATCTGGAATTGGCCAAGCCGAAGCGTTCGCCATCACCAACGATCCGGGTACTGTCGGCACTTCTCTGGGGCAAAGCGCTTATGATGGTTTTACCGACGCAAGCAACGTGTCCGAAGGAATCAATAATCCGTTGATGATTTCTGGTTTCTCGCAGCAGCGGTCGATGATGGTCGACGAGGCTGCTGCAGAGCTGTCCCCCTTTCGACGCCGATCCATACAGGAGCGAGAAAGCATCATGTCGGACCGGAGATCCTCTTTTAATGACAGAGGAGGCATACCTGGCAAGAATCTAAGACCAGCCAGTCTTGCCAGTGATGCACCACCAATCACGCCTGAGATGATAGAAAAGGCATACCGGACCTCATCTATGCAACGGCAGCCTTCGATCCGCAATGAGGTGGGACCTCGGCCTCCTCCACACTCACCACGCCCTTCATACATTGATTATGAAGGGAACAGTTCCTATCCGATCGCCCCTCCTCCGCCATCTCATTCCCCGAGGCCGATCGATATAACGCCAGACCCTTGGACTGCGCAGGCAGGGGTATGGAAGGCGCGACGACAGTCTGCGGGAGAAGTCCTGAAGCTTCAACCCTGGGACTCGCGGAAGTATGAGCAATACTACGAGGATGGTGCGGATAAGTCACTCTATCCAATTATACCTCCACGACATATGCCCCAGCAGGTGGAATGGAAGCAATGTTTTTCACCCAAAGAATATTCTCCTTCTATCCACGATTATCATGGCGGATACAACAGGTCCTCTCTGCCTCAACAGCCGAGGTTTCCATCGTACAGAGCCTCGTATCATGGCCCTTGTGAGTCTGAATCTGCGTATGTGAGACAGTCCCGACGCGGTTCCAGGACGCCTGACCACCGGCAACCTCACGGCCGTGCAGTGCAGTCGCGAGGGCCATCTCCGCATGACCCCTTCCGATCTACCCGGGCTTCGGGCGGCACTAGCTCTTCTCGTCCTCCATCGAATGCGAATAGTGTGCGCAGCTTTGGTTCGTCGTTGGTCGAGGAGTTGCACCCAGCCAAGTCGGAGAGGCAATATCCGCCACCGGCATTCGGGCGGTATTCGGGAGGGCTGAAGTATGGCTATGAAGGTGGAAACGGGTTCGGAGGCTCGGTCGGGACTAGGTCGATGAGTGGAAAAGCTGAAGCATCACGGAAGGGCGTCTCGCTGAGAGCCAGCTTTGGAGTTGACCAAGGGAATATGCCTTTGGGGACCATGTCAAGATGGTGAGCATGACAGAGCTTGGGCCTTTGATAATGACGGGGGACCGAGTGGAAAAACAGGCCGAGTCAAGAATTCCCAAAAAGAGGTTTACGAGATTGATTCTCTCTGGAAAAGTTTTGGTGTACGACAAGACGGATGCGTCAGTCTCGGCATTTTGGGTGTAGTTGTACGTGTATTATGAGACGGCAAGCCGGATTGAATAATGAGTGACACAGTCTACCTGTAATTCAATGTGATACCTCTACTTCTCTTGCTCGTGAATGAAAAATGAACTGAGCCACCTCTGATTCACGGGTTGTAGCTGTCAACAAGCCCTGGCGCCTTGGGGTAGATTACCTCGTCCTTGTGGACGTGGTGAGAACAGCGGTTGGCCTGATGTAGGATGGTGGCATGTCGCAAGGAGCTTAAAGTGATGAAGTGCCATCTTTTCCCCCTGACAAGTTCACTACCTCGCGCTTTGTATTGGTTTTTGCTCCTCCCTGTGGCTTGTCTCCTCCAATAGCTTTTTGTGGATGGGACTTGGTAGAGTCCAGTGAATACGAGCGCCACCCCGAGGGGCTTTCTCTCCCTAGATCGTAATTTTTCATGCTGGCTGCGCGTGAGATATATTAAACCGAAATGGTCCTCCTTGTCTTCCTGAGGCGCCTGAGTTACGCAAACTATGCCGAAGGCCATAAAACACATCCCGAGCGCGATATCGAGTAGGCACCTCCCGAAATGTCCAAACCCTCAATATCTCCGCCGATTGTTCTGCTGGCCTTTATCCTCGTCTCCTTATACAGCCAGGCCGTGTCTGCCGATGGAGCAATTACAATCACTGCAGCCGCCGCCTACTCTTCTCTGCTTCCCTGTGCACAGGAATGCATCTATAGCCCCGACCTAGGCTGTCCCAACGTCCCCGATCCCGTTGGCAACGCCATCGGCTGCTACGACAACCTCAACGCCGGGTGCGAAAAGGTCCCATGGGCGATGGACAGCTGTTACTGCCGAAGTGACCTGCAAATCAATGCTGTCAGCGCCATCAGCAAATGCGTCTTCTCTCTGTGCACCCTTGGCGGCTCGATGGGTGATTTTACATCGGTTTCGAACCTGTATACTGGGTATTGTTCAGGGGCTGGGTTTCCTGTAACCATTGCTGCTGCTGCCGCTTCGACTGCGGCGGCGCCTCTGATTACTTCGAGTACAGCCGTCACGTCGAGTTCGCCGAGCTCAAATTCTGGCCCTTCTTCTCTCTCGCCTTCAGGTTCTTCCTCGTCGTCAAGCTCCTCGTCAAGCTCCCAGGATAATGGTGGTGCCGGCGGTCTTTCTTCAGCCGCCATTGCAGGCATTAGTGTGGCGGGCTCGTTGGCTGGAGTCATATCTGCCGCTGTAGCCCTGTATGAACTTCGCCGTCGCCGACGCAGATAATTACCCAAATTGCACATATACCTGGTATTCTTGGATTGAATAGCATATGCCGGGGGTTCTTGGATGGCTTGACCCATTCATTTTGCAGACTCCCGAGGTCGTTTTCTGGTGCCCCGGGGGTTGCAACATTGTGCTGTGCCCGGTCGTGGGCGATAGACGACGAGGGGATCTGGATGGACAGTTGAATGTGACATGAATCTCGAGACACAGGAGCAGCGGCAATATTAATAGGGGGGTTTTTTTTGGCTTTTGGCTTTTGGCCCCTTTTATGACGAAAACTGCTTCTCCGTACCTCGTAAATGCAAGGGCATGTCGCGCGGAGGGGCATGGTGATTGGTGTCGATACCGCTGGACGACAACAAACACACACGACATGGAGGCTTGCAAGGGCAGTCTTGGACAGCCTATTGGCAACTTGCAGTATTATTATTAACTATTTCTCTAGAACAAGAACAGCGCGGCCATGTCCCGCCATCTCTATCTTTATCCCGCCTGCGCGGCGTCAGACCTGGCACCAACACCCTGGCACGTTACACACGCCATCTTGAGCTTAGTCGATCCCAAACGTCGTTACCAACTTGCCGTTTTCGCTTCCCACCTTCAAATTCTCCGATTGTCTCTCCAGAATCCTCGCTACGTATCTTGTGTCTCTGTATCTGGCCCCTCGTTCAACTTGGCTTCACAGTCTCTCGTTGTGTCCGAGCCTGCCATCACACACTCAATTGACTCTCCTTCGTCCCTCCATCCCTCCATCCCTCCATCCCTCCGTCCCTCGCGGCCAGCTATGGCTCAAATCGAGTCTCCCAGGTCGCCCATCTTGCCTGACACGCTGCTGTCGGTCACTGCTCTTGCTCGCTTCGAGTTTGAACCTGGCAAAGGCAATGATGGTACCAAAGTCATGATGGTTGAATGGCAAGACGACGACCAGGCCAGAGCAAAGTCAGGTAGATGGCAGGTCTCGTGGTCCGGCAAACGCACCGTCTTCCCCGCAGACGACAATCCTTCAGACAATATCCGTCGTGTATATTTCCTTCTCCCTCCTGGCGCCATTGTGCCACCTCACATCACTTTGGCATTCTATCCTCCCACAGACCCCATGGGATCTACCGAGACCCCAGCGACAGCGCTTCCCCCTCTCGGAATGACGGTGAACCCGCTACCTGCTATCTTCACTCCCGAGCTGGGTGCCACGGCCAAGGCCAGCGGCAGAAAAGGCGTGCTTCACACTATATGGGCTAAGAAGAGGCTCCAGGTGTTGGACAAAGAAATCAAGGACGAGGAAGAACACAATCTAGAAGGCATTGCATTGGAGATGGCCCGATCCGAGAAGTCTTGGATCGAGAACAATTTCGGCCTGACTCCAAAGCCCCCGAACCTCGATTTGAGCAGCATTTCCAAATCCCCCATGGGGCCGACGAGCCCGGGTATCCAAAGTCCCAAGTCTCCGGGTGGAAGAAGGCTCAGTGAGAAACTCAAGGGCTTGAGCATTGGGACGAGCGACAGAGAACTCAATGCGAGGGGTCTGAATACTCCCACCCGCGAATCTCATCCGCTCTCACCCGAGGCATCGGATATGGCCTATTCGTCATTCGGTAGCTTCCAGAATGGCCCGGGATCCGCGACATCTACAACCGGAGGTAGAAAGGTCGTTGCTCAAGCACCACCAGACTATATCAGAAAACAGCAGGGACAGTCGCCCGCCACGGCTTCCCTCAATTCCGTGGGCCAGACACCCAAGCCAGATGATCCCGCAGACGATGATTTGTTTGCGGTTGCACTAAGTCCAAGGTCACCGGATGGCCCAAAGAGCCCCTTTTCAATATCGAGTGCCGAAGTCGGTGCATTTGCCAAGATCAAGGGCGAGCGATGAGCATTGGCGAGCTCGACATGGTCATGACAAAGTTCACAACATGAGACAATTCATAAATGATCCTAGAATGCTATTTGAAGATTGCATAGAGTCGGAATTCCAGCCCCAGGTCATGAAAGCCACGATCCTTTATGTCCAACATTTGTCTGCAACATTCAACTGACCCCCCCAGTTGCTCAGTGGCTGCTCCTCCTTCAATTTGCTGATGCCAACCAACGTTCGTGCACAGCGCCCTTAGAAAGATGACTCCATCTAGAAAATAAACAAGACAAGATGCATTTCCTCAGCCCCAAAGGAACTATGCCAACATTGCCGCCGCAATCACCCCCACAACACCTACCACCGAGCTTCCCAATCGGTTCGCATTACCCTGGAATGTCGACGCCGAGGGGGTCGGTGCGGATGACAGAGAAGTTGGCGGAGGTGGCACGTTTCCACCAGGGGGAGCTGTGTAACTCGTGCATCCACTTCCAGGACACTGAGCCGTGGTAGGAGCTGGGGCTATGGCAGTCTTGGTACATCCGCACACATCGTCGTACCAGGTGTATTGTGTTCCAGCCAGACCCGAGCCAGTGGCAGCGGCAGTTGCGGCCATCTCAGAAGTCTTTGTGCAGCCGCACTCGAGATCCCAGTATGTGACGGTTACGGTCGGGGCTGCCGTGGTTGTAGGGTCGACAGTAGCTGAGATGGGATTGCCCGTGACAGTGGCATTGGGCATTGATGTTGTCATCGACGTGGACATCATAGATGTCGAACTGGACGACCCGGCAGGGGCAAGGCTGACGCTGAATAGCGGAGAGTAGTCCATGGCACCACTCTGAACCAAAGCCAGAGCATAGTTGCCACCGACAAAACCATCGGGGACTGTGACGGACCAGTCATATTCTCCATCACCGGCAGGTTTGTCCTCTGTATGGGATCAGTCAGTCGTAATGGGAACCTCAGTCTCGGACTGCTCTGCAGGTTCGACATACCGAAAATTGGAGTATTCCAGCTCGTGTTCCCTAGGAATAAGGAAACAGGAGTTCCATCGCCGACAGTCCAGTGGATCGGCCAAACCTGGCCGACTGTGACGGCATTCCACGTCATACCAGGAGCGAAGGTGGCTGTTTGAGCCATTGCCTTGTAGGCGAAGCTGCCGACGGCGACAAGCAAGAAAGAACGCATGGCTGCTCTGGATGAGGCAAGTTTTGGATTGGACAATTGAAGTCTTTTTCGATTGACAAGATGTAAGATCAAGTGTTGCAAAAATATGGGAACGACTAGGCAAACGAGTGACAGAGTTGAAAAGAGTGACTGAAGAGAAAAGAAGAAGACGAAAGAATTGTCAGGGCACGAGCGACGAAGGCACGTAAATGAAGGTGGCAGGCCATGCCAGATGTTTGTTGTGGTTGCTGGATGCATACGATGCATTCCAATGAGGAATGGGTTTAGATCAAGGGTGGTTGTGATCTGGAGGCTCGCACACGTCGCATTCTTGGTCTCTCGACGAATGACACCGGCGCACCAACCGTTAGAGGCACGAATGACAGGATTCAACCTCTGATCTGGAGTCCCATATCTTCTTCCGGGCTCTGGCTTGTCGTCCGAGCTTGGAATGAGATGGGTAATTGCACGACTACCTTGACGGCCCAGCCTCTACCAAAGCAGGAAGTAAGAGTGCATGGATTAATCACGGTTGATTCCAGAAGGGTGAAAAGAACCCTAGACCGTGGACCTACCGACTGATTGACAACGCGCATGCTTAAAGTTCGATTGACATGCTCGGGGCTTCGGTCATAGCAGAAGGGGAGAGGAGGCAGGGATCGAAGAAAAGAATAGAAGGCGCCGACATATACCTAGTATACAACCATGCAACCATGCATACATCGAATGCTGGGCTACAGCCTACCAACCTCTCAACGATGCAAGACAATGCTCTACCGCGGGCTCGACAACCTGCGCCGCTATCGTCCCATCTCTTGGCCCCCTCCTTGTAGTCTCGGTCCCAGTCCATGATATGTTTGTTGTCTACTACGAGTTCTCCGTCCAGAAAGCAACCACCCCTCCCTAGCTTCGAATGGATTCCATGATACCGTTGCCCATTTGGGTCCAAGTTCGGGTGCTGGGGCGGGAAAGCCACATAGCGGAACATTTGGTCCAACATTTGGTCCTTTTCCTTGTTTTCTCTTTTCCTTTTTTGCTTTTGTTTTTGGACCTCCTTGCCAGGAAGGATTGTTTGCCTTATATCAGAAAGGAAGCATGCAAGGCTACCAGGCTTGCCCTCAGCCCTGTTGCAACGCCCTTCCTTCCTCCAAAAGGGTCATTCTGCCTTTAGCACGCGTCTAGAAGCGCAGGATCGTCTAGCCAGACGTCTAGGGCCGCTACAACAAGGCGGCAACGCCCACCACTACCGCCGGCACAAAGATGCTCATGCCCGATAACGCGGCTCTATCTGCTGCGCCACCCGCGCCTGCGCCGGTTGCTGCAGCCGTGCCTGCCGCCGTCGCGGTGGTGTCGGTGGCCGCAGCGGTCGCAGTAGAATCAGTACCCGCCGTGGCAGAGTCTAGCGCCGAACTCGCCTCCGAGAGGTACGAGGAGAGCATGCTGCCCGCCGACCCGGTCACCGACGGCAACTGGCTCGTGGCGCTCTGGATGGCGGACTCGATGCTCGTGATGAGCGGTTCGCTGGCGGTGGCTGAGCCGATGGCCGAAACGACGCTGGAGACGAGAGAGGTGGCGTCGGAGAGTAGTGAGCCGAGGTCCTGTGCATGCACCAGAGGACCGGCCAGGGTCAGAGTAGTCGCTAGGATGCTGGACAGGCGCATTTTCGTGGTTCTGGCTGAGGTTTGTACTGTGATTGATGTACTGCAAGTCTTGACTGAAGGCTGGTGAATCAATGAATGAATGAATGAATGAATGAATGAATGGACCGTATGGGTGGACGAAGACCAGTTCAAGTCAGGCAAAGGTGAAATGAGGCCGCTGCTGTCAAAACGCGCTTTGATATAGTCTCGTCTCTGGGGATCCGCGACAGCAAAAGAAACAGAATCGAAAGGAATGGCTGCTAGCTTGCTTGTATGAAGAGAAGTCGCAGGACCGAAGAAAAAGGGAGGGATTCAAGGCGATACTTAACTCTGCCCTTTCCATAGGTACAACCTTTTGAGGTCTTGTCATCAAACCCCCCCCCCCCCCCCCGGGTCGCCTGTCCCCCGTTCGCTGTCGTCCCCGTTCTACCCACCTACCTAGTCCCTACCGTGGGTTCCTTGAACATGCGATCGTCTTTCCCTCCCCCACCCTAGACAGTTGTATCGTTGTGAAAGTGTGTGGACTAACTAGCTACCCGCAGTTAGTTTGCTGCTGTGAAACAAGAAGATCGTCTTGCGTCCGCCGCAGACGAGGGATCGGTTCTTCTTGGCAGCAATGTCAAATGTCAATCATGGGCGGCGGCGGGCATGGCGTTTGTCTCCGCATCGGCAAAAGGGGGCAGAGTACCTCGTAAGTATCTCGGTATGTACCCAATGTACCTCAGCACTCGAGCAGTGCGCGTTTGATATTCAGGAGGGTTTGTTAAATCTCCGCTGATTTCTGTGGGGGCAGCGAGGGGGGTGGATTGGTCCCGCCTCTCAAGCACCCGGTACTCGTACTTCGCTGTTGACAGCAGAGAAATCAGACTGGAGATCTACCCTGGAGGTGCCAAGTGCTTGTAGACAGAGAGAGTGGGCTCCGCAATATAATGGAGAAGGGTCGGTTTTGGCTTTGCCGTAAGCGCGTTTCAGGATCGAGAGAAGAAAAATGCCAGCGAGGCTGTGTCATTGACCAGCAGCCAATCACACCCCTCCAATCGACCGCAGTCAGCCTTGCCAACGAGCGATCGAGCTCCCCCCTGAACCTGAATCTCCCTCTGAACGCGTACTCGTATACGAGCGTGTACCTCGCACGGAACCTGAGGAATCCTACTGCAGATCAAATTTCATGCATTTTGCACTGCCGCCCCGCTACTACACTCTTACGGGTTCAGAGACCGGCGTGCATTGGGAATCACTTCCTCTGTGCAAGTTCTTGGCTCAGACAAGCGTAGAATTGCGTGTAGGTACTGGGGGCCGGAAGAAATGAAAAATAAAAAAAAATAAAAAAATAAAACGAAAAAAGAGAAAAAAGATAAGGGGGAAAATTTTTTTTTTGGAAGCGGGGAATTCAATCGTCTTCTCTGAGTTTGCTGTGACAACATTACCTTATAACTTTGGTCTACGGAGTACCTTTGAAAAACCCAACATAACCCACCTAATACGCTCCCAAACAGATTGCAACGACAACTCGTTCCATTTCCCTCCCCCTCAACAGACGAAAATATCCTCCTTCCCCTCCTGACAGCTTTGCGTTCTACTACGGGTTAGCAATATCCTCGCTCCACGTATCCGACTCCTCGGAGTCTTGAGACCACGTTGTCTGAGTGTCAGCATCAATGGCACCAGTGGGTTGAGTGAAGAGCACCTGGCTCGGATGGACCCTCGGCATCACTGGGGCAGGCGAGTGGATCCCCTGGCCAATCCTCGCTTGTCTCCTAGCATCCTTCCTCGCCCTCTGGGCTAGAATGCGCTCGTTGTTGCGGTTCGAGTAGTATTGGGTGAGCGCCTTCTCTAAATTGAATCTTTTCGGTCGACTGCGAGATGTCGGGTTGCCGGTAATATGGCGATAGCATTCTGTTGCACCACGTCCAAGGCTGCCTTCTCCGTCGAGGGCCATGAGCTTGTCGATTAGGTCAGCCTTCTTGTATTTCTTCCCCAGAACATCTTCCAGGTCCTTAACACCGCGATTTTTTTGCAGTTCGCGCTCCAGTTCGTCCACGAACATCAACTCGTATTCGCCACGGGTGGGGAGGGCTAGAGCCTTATAGCGTTTTGGTGATGTTGGATGATTGGCGAGCCGAGTCTTTTCGCGTGGGGAAAGAGTAGTCTCGCTATCGGAGCGAGTGTCGTCGCTGCCTTCTTCGTGATTGACTCTCTCGTCCCTTGTTCTACTCCCTTGATCTTGCTGGCGGTGCTCACGTCCGTTATTTCCTAGAGGATTTTCGTGGTCGTACTCCTCCACAAGTTGCCGTAGCTCTCTCAAAGCTCGAATAAACCGGTTATATTGGTGGCGGAAGCCAAGATGCGTTCGCGGATGCTCGTAGTTGAAGAACTGAAGCAGTCGCGCATGATGATTCCTCACTTCAACGGCTGCTCTTTGACAGATGTCGATTGTGGCAGGGACGTCCGGGTTCGGGGTTCTGGAGTCATTGAGCCCTTCCATGAAAGGCTTCGGTCCCTCCAATAGTTCGAGATACCTGTCTTTCAGCTTCCTGATTTCTTCTGCCAGATTATCAATTGTAATCATCAAGCCGGCTCGTGACTCGTGGTCAACCGTCCACTCTAAGCCCCCGAATAGGATACTACGCACAACGGTCGCAAGGTTTCCATTTCCTACCTCTCTGAGCGCGTTTTCATGGCCTTGATCCCCGGCAAACACTTCTCTTACGTATTGTTCATCGTCGTATCGTGGCGCTTCTCTCGGTGGTCGTCTGTCGCGGCGACTGGCAGCGCTAGGGGCGCCGCCTACCGGAGCATTGTTTCCTTCGTCCACGGGATCTTCGCTCTCGTTATTTGTTGGCTGAGGACTCGAACCTCGATTCGATCTGCCGGCAGAATTATAACTCCCGCGAAAATCATCAGGCGGTGGCGGCGCAGGGTATACAACATGAATACATCTGCATACGTGGTGGTACTGGCTTTCGTACATGGGACAAGGATGACATTGTGAAAGGATTGGTTCTGGAGTAGGGGAGTTGTGGGGAGGTTGAGGAGGCTGGGGAAACTGAGGAGGCCTTGGTGAATGGTTTTCTCGATTCGAGCTGTGTTGGCTACTGTGTTCGCCTCCATTCTCATCGTACACGCCCACATCGACAGGGAGCTCACCTAGGGCCGGTCTCGGCAAAGTTTGACCATGGCCCTGGTTGGGGTCGTCATCACTATCATCATCGTGCGGTGAGTGTGCTACTACCGGCGAAGTAGCGCTTGGAGCCAGAGAGTCCAGTCGGTAAGCATATATCTCTGCGTTATTATCCACAGGAATTCCTCCGAAAAGCAGGCTCATCTTGCTAGCGGCTTGACTGGAGACCATCTCACCGGCGCAAAGGTAATGATGTGGCTCCTTGGTCGTATTTCCAGCGAGACCGATGCCTCTGTATCCCATTGATACTTGCCACAAATGTACTGCCTTCTGGACATCGTATGTTGTTTGCTCCAACAGATATAGCATCGAATCATCAGGGAGGTATTTACTGAGACCACCCCTCCCGCTCTCTAGCTCCCTCCTTATGATCTCCCTCTGTAAATTCTCCACCATCATCTGTCGAAAGGCTAACGGGTTGAAATGACGTTTTCTCTTAGATGATGCCCCCGGGCGACTCGATTGAGGTCCTCCACCTCGAAGCTTGAGGTCTGGAGTTACCGTAGGGACCTTGTACACTCTTGCCTTTGGATCAGTGGGAAGAGGGCGTGGTTTTAACAAAGATAATTTCTTCGAGCGGCGTGAAGGGAGAACGCTGACTTGCGGATGTTTGGCATCAGGTACACGGCGTCTCTGTGGGAGCACTTGATGTATTACCAAACGAATCCATTCAAGCGGACCGAGAGTCCTTTTTGATATTGAAAGATCTGCAGGGTCGCGAGCATGACGGGGAGGTCGATTGATGAGATACTCAGCTCGTGGCCCCTCAGAAATCATTCCAGGTTGACCCATCTCCCTGGAAATTTGCTCGTGTTGAACCAGTTCATGAGCACGCGTCTCTGGAAAGGGGTAGTAGACATAGTCAAATGCGCTTTTCATGTTAACTCCCTTGGGATATGGAAACAGATGTTTCGAAGATTCCTGTCCAGCATCTTCCAAGGACTTTCTCTTATCAAGTTCGACAAAAGTTGACTGAGATCGTGCACTCGAGGGAAAATCCGAGTAGCTAGGTCGCCTTTCAACAATGTGTGTCGATGCCGGTGAGGGGAGATCCAGTGCGACGATCTCCCATTCTGTATCGCCGACGTCATGCTGCCACCGCCTGACTTTGACCGGCCCACCAGTGATCTGGTTAAACCGTGCGACCGCGAAATGGATTTTGGAAAGGGTGCTTGTCTCAAATTTGCCCGTTTGGATGAATTCTTTCAAGGCTTCTTTGGTGTGACTCTCCAAAGGCGCGTCTCGCGGTCGCTGGAGAGACTCATATTTGTTGCCCGGATCGATCTGACACTCGCCAATATATCGACAGTATTTCCCGACCATATCTTCAATGCTTCTTGGGTTAGCCGCATCCGGCGAGCTGATCAGACGCTGAAATTCACGATACACTCCAGGTATCTCAAAGAATTTGCGATCGCGCTCTACATTGGTCGGAGACTTCGGGGCTCCTCCTTGTTCAAAGGCAGTGAAGGCAGTCTTTAAGGCTCGCCAGATCAAAAGCCACAACTCCTTTTGCTCGGAATTGTAAGCTGCGTTCTGAAAGACTTGATGCAAGTGGGCGCAGCGGTCCAACAATTCCTTCGCTGCGACTGGCGGAACAAGCAGTTTGATTTTGTCATGCGCAGAGTCTAACAATAGTAACAAGGCGTACTCCGAAGACACGGTGCGTATTTCTGACACGAGAGAAGTAAACCTTGATTCTGGAAAGGTGGTGGGGTGGCGCTTCGCCTGAGATTCGACTTGAGATAGCTTGCCGATGAGGGCGCGATGAATAGCCCGGGCCCAGATGGTGACGAATGTTTCGTACCGTTTTCTGAACGTTCTCAGAGCGTTCCGGACCATGGGAGAAGAGATTACCTCCTCGGGCAGTTCCATGATGTTCTGCAGAGAGGCGTGAATAAGTCTGATGTCTTGGAAGACTGTTGCTGATCCTTCGACGTGCTTCACATCGGTCCATTTCAGCAAGTAGTCGATCATGTGCTGGACCATGTTCTCAACTTCTTCCGGTGAGGTATCAGCGTCGATCTCTGGTAGCTCGAGTGGCTCTGTGGAGTCACTCTCGGGTGGGATAAATCGATCTTGGTTCATTCGGCCATCCTCGAGCCCCTCAATGGCCGAACGCAACCGCCCAAGCCCGCTGCGCGAATCGCGATTTCCTATCGCTGCCAATAGACGAATGTTTCCCCTCGAAGTTGGGGACTGATGTGCGCGAGGAGCGGCATTGGGAGCGAAACCTTCCAGCTGCGTCGTAGTACTCATTCTCGCCGACCGACGAGACGACTGGACAACTCTTGACTGCATATTTGAAGAAGGATGAGAGGGTCTCACGGTCCTAGGCGCCTGGCGCCCGGAGTCGTTGCGATACATCCTGGGAGCCATTTTCGTTTCACGAGAGAAAGCAAAACAGTAGAGGCGAAGGAATCCAGAAGTGACATGAAGGAAATAAATCAAGACTTACCTTGAGTCTCTCTGAACACAAAGAGCGTACTCTTTAGCTGGCCGGATGCATCAATGACGGTCGCAAGAACAGCATTCGGCGATTTGTACGGACAGAATGCGGCATTGTCGCAATTTCTTGACGGAAGCAGTTCAATATCTGGTTTCGGAATAGTGCAGCAAAGGATATTTGTCTCCGTCGCATAACAACCATGCTGCATTCCAATGACTGGCAAGCAAGGGTCAAGTGGTCCGTGCTTCAGGCCTCTTTCAGGCTTCAGCGAGGTACTTTGTGGAACTTTATGTTGCTTGTCGAAGAGTATGACCCCTTGGTGGGTGGGAGGGGTGATGATGTTCCGCAAGGACCCGGACACTCAGCTGACAGAGAATGGAAGAAGCCGTTGCGAAGCCTGCGTGAACAAGCTCTGAGTATTCCCCGAAAATAGGCACTCCCATGTGTGCATAGTGACTTCCAGTGGTCGAAGGGTTATTTATATTTAACGCAGCCCGGCCGAGAGTAATCTGAAGCTGCAGGTATTGAGGAGTCCAGCATTCCTGGTGCAATCAGCAGTAAGGCGACCGTGCGCAGGTGCTCGTGAGACTCGTAGGGAGGAACGACGACTGTTGAAAGGCGGTCGCGTGTCAAGTGGCGTGTACAGTGCGTAGGAGGGCGTGAGTGGCAAAAGTGAAGATGGAGAATCAGTTCCCGAAGAGAGTATGAAGAAAGAGGGACTGAATGATGGACGATGATGGGATGAATGGGCGATTGATCGATGATTGGAGCCCTGGATGCCAGATACAAGGGTGTTTGTGTTTGATGCCTCGATGCCTGGCAGCTTTACCCCACACTTTGTGACTCTCTGCCAAGACCCGAGCAACGCAGTAGGTGCCGATCCATTGGCGGTGGGCGCCAGGGCTCTGCTTAAGGGCACCGCTAGGGATCCCTATGGACTAGTGACGCCCAATCTTAGGCGACGCCAGGCTCAGGAAAAGCCGGCAAAGCCTGGGGATGGGTCACCGAGCTAATGCAGCCCATGCCTCTGGGAGCCCGGGGCCAAAGCCCTCTCAAACTCACCTTGCTGCTGCTTCCGCGCCCCCTAAGCCCACCGACCAACCAATTGGGCGTCTAGTTCGGAGCTGACTGCGTGTTTTCGACACCCGATGCACCGCAGGAAAAGGAAACCGAGCTGGTAAATCTAGCATCTGAGCATCTGCTCCCAAGCTGCAAGTGGTGTGTGATGTGTGTGTGTGTGTGTGTGTGTGTGTGTGTGTGTGTGTGTGTGTGTGTGCACATCTGGGCCTTTCCTCCTGCTACCTCTTATGTAAACCATCTTTTCCTCCCCCTTCACTTCTACTTGTTCTCCTTCTCTATTTCTCCCTTGCTCACAGCTTCTCAACACCATCCTCATCCTGCCGCCGGCTATCCTAACTACAAAAGGGCTTCTCATCAAACTATCTGATCATCGCTACCGGTCATTGTTGCCTTCCCATCCCAACCTGAAATAGAAATCCCCCCGCCACAATGACGTGACTTGGGGCCATCTCCTTTGTCCTACTCATTACTCGTCCTCGACCTTCACCTAACACTGTCAAGAATCCAACTACAACCGGCTCCATACGAGATACAATCTTCGTTCCTTGAGTTCCGCGTTCTTCAACGCGCCTACCCAGCCACCTATAAGTCAGCTCGCCGCAATGTCAGACCGCCACCCTGCACCACCGTCTCCTCCCCTTCCACAGCACCGCCGTCGCTCGTCCTTTGTCGATATGTTCAACCCACGAACAAACCCCTCTCCCTCTGCTCTGTCCTCCTCCCCTCCCTCCCCGGGTGTTCCGTCCTCTCCCACCGTTCCACAGCACCGAAGAGGCACCTCGATCACTGCTCTTGGTCTGACTACGAACCCTTCCAACCAGACCCCCTTTGCCGCTTTCGGACTACAACGACGAGCGAGTGTCGCAACCTCATCCATGTCGAGCTCCCCGGATTTCAAAAACAGTTTCGGAGACGAGCCTGCTGTTCTTGAAGAGGATGACCCCTCGCGAGCCACTATACACCCTCCATCCTCGCCATCCTTTGCTAGACGGGTCAGTTTCGGCGCACAAGCTTTAAGAGATGTTAGACTAGGAGGGAGCCCTGGTGCTGCTGGCGGTGGTAGGCGCCCCTCCTCCTCCCTTTTCACTCTAAATGAGAATTTCGAAAATGCCATTCCATCACGTCGAGCTACGTCGGGGACGGCCAAGACTGCAGGTAAGAGTCGAGGCCTGTCCCTTTCATACCGTCCAAATGTCCTTGCCCTCCATTTCTAGCCCAAAATTGCAAAGCGAAGTCATTTGTCTCCAAATCTTACTGATGTCCAACAGGAGAAGGCTTCAATTGGTCCGAAGCCCTACGTGATAGATCGAAACGTTCCCCATCCTTCTCCTCGGGCAATCCCTTTAGCCAAGGGGCGACTCGTCCTCGCTCCGCAAGCATCTCCAATCCCGAACCGCCAAAAGAAATCTCAAAGCCCGTCGAGCCGCCGCCTGCCAGGTTGATGAAGAAACCAGATGCCCTTGGCGAAAGAATGCTCCGGGGGGACTTTATGATGGATTGATCCTCGTTGTGCCATGCCGGGGATCTTTTCTTTCCCTTGCGGTATACTCCCAGAATGGATATGTATATCTTATTCGAATGATGTATAAGTGATGCTTTGGTTTCATGGGGCCTGAGGACATTTTTTCAAAAAGGAAAATCTTTACCTGTATCCATTAGCTTTCGGTAGTATCGTCTATCAGCTGGGCTTTCGAATCTCATCCGAAGCGAATCAGGTCGGCGGGGTCAGCATCAGGAGACAGGGGAAAGGCGAAGGCGACAGAGATTTGCTTCTTCGCGATCGTTTTATGACGTATCGTCTTCGCACAGGCACGAGAGCAGGAGGAGCTGCAGGATTTGGAGGCGAATCCCGGCATTTTGGCTGTGGAGGGGCCACGTATGCTTGACGTTACAGCAGCTCGGATATTGACAGACTGAGAATGAAACAAGCAATGTGATGAATGGACAATTTGAATTTGTGGTGAAATGAACTCTCCGCGTCCTGTCTTTTACTGCGCTTATCCTGTCTCCAGGGCTCTTCCACCCGCCTCCTGATCGGCCTGACACTTGGAAGTATCAAGACTCTGAAGTGTATTCACGAAATGGAAGAGGAGAATTGTAATTCCGAAGCCGAAAGCATCCCCTCTCCGCCCTGCGACGACTCACAAAGGACGAAGGTGGATAGGTCTTGACTCTTGACAGCAAGGATTGCATTCTGTTCCCCATTGTTCAAATCTTTTACCGCCATAAAAGGGTTCGGGCCCATCTCCACACTGTTCCATACATAAGATTTCTTAAACAGAATCTGTGAGGGCGCAATCGGAGAATCAGCATCGCACAACACGAAACGGCAATTGGCATCTCTGCGGGAGTTTAGTTGTTGTACTGCATCCGTTTAGTCCGGCATTATATCATATAAAAAGGTATATCAATGTACATAACCTGGTAGTAACATAGCTGCCTGTTTGTCCCCAAGCAAGAGTCCAAAGTTGATGGTCAGTTCTAGAACCGACATCCAGTCCGCGCTCAGACAAGACCTCAAACCGCTCCAAAGATCCATCTGTCAGATAGCCTCTGAGAACGCTCTGCTCCTATATTCTACATCGCCTTCTTGATATCCGCCATTTCAGCTATGTTGCAAACTACAACAGTTGCAGAATATTTGTTCACACGTTTAAAGCAACTGGGTGTCGGTGCGGTCCACGGCGTGAGTGCTTCGCTCTTCGAGAGGCTTCTTCTCTTCTGCGAAGATGTTGTTGTCTTTGTCGGTACGGGCTAATAGAGATCGACTAGATTCCAGGAGACTACAATCTTCGTTTACTGGACTATGTTGTTCCTTCTGGGCTCCTCTGGGTGGGCAACACTAACGAACTAAACGCTGGATATGCTGCAGATGGGTATGCACGGATCAACGGCCTTGGGGCTCTGATCACCACGTATGGAGTCGGCGAGCTATCAGCCATTAATGCTATTGCCTGCGCATTCACCGAGCGAGCCCCAGTCATACATATCGTGGGCACGCCTCCTCGAAACACCCAATCATCGCGGCTGATGGTACACCATACCCTCGGGGATGGAGACTATCGACACTTCGGCCAGATGCAATCGCACGTCACCGTCGCGCAGACTAATTTGCTTGATCCTCGTACTGCTCCCCAGCAGATCGATCAAGTTCTGCAGCAATGTATGATACATTGCAGACCAGTCTACATCGAAGTCCCTCTAGACATTGTTTCGGCCTCGGTCGTCGCAGAAAACCTTACTCACGAAATCGCCGTTCCTAGAGACGTCCCTAACCCTGCTTACGACGTGATATTGGACAGCGTTCTCGAGAGAATGTACAGTGCGGAAAGGCCTGTTATCCTGGTGGACGGGGAGACAAGAGCACTGGGCATCTTGGACCACGTCGAAAGAATGGTATCATCAACGGTATGGCCTACGTTCACGACAACCTCCGGCAAAGGCCTTATAAATGAAACACTCCTCAATGTCCATGGTATGTATCGCGGCAGCTTCGCAGACGCCACCACCAAGGCTTTCATTGATGGATCCGATCTAGCCTTGTACTTCGGTCCTCACCTCAGCTCCACCAATACTTACAATTGGACTGGCGTGCCCCAAACAGCTGCCGCCATCTGCTTTAGTTGGGATGGTATCAAGATTGGTGACGTGCTCCATCGCGACATTTCGCCACAATACGCTCTCACCCAGATCCTGCGGAAATTGGACTTGAAGAGACTAAAGAAAAGTGACAGCTGCCCGACTTTCCCTCGTGGCCAGCTTTTGTCCTTCTCAGAAGTTTCCGGCGACGAGTCTATCAAGCAAGACAAAGTTTGGCGTCTTCTCAATTCCTTCTTGCGGCCTGGAGATATTGTCTTTGGCGAAACCGGGACCGCGGGATATGGCGTTCGAGAGATGCTCTTGCCCGAGCATACAAGACTCTTTACCCCCATTACTTGGCTTTCTATCGGATACATGCTCCCCGCTTGTCAGGGCGCGGCATTGGCCCAGCGCGAACTGATGGCTTCGTCGAAGTATCACGAAATCGAGGGCGCTCGAACCGTTCTATTCATCGGTGACGGCAGCTTCCAGATGACCGCCCAGGAACTTGCGACCATCATTAGACACGATCTCAACGTGGTGGTGTTCCTGATTAATAACGACGGTTATACCATAGAGCGCTGTATTCATGGCATGAAAAAAGGTTATAATGATATCTCCACCTGGCGCTATCTGAAAGCACCCAGCTTTTTCGGTGCACCAGAAGATGCCTTCACTGCGTCCGCCAGGACGTATGGCGAGCTTGAGCAGGTACTCAAACAGGAGAAGCTTGCGAATGGGACGGGAGTGAGGATGGTGGAAATTTATATGGACCGGTATGATGCGCCGGCTGGCCCGCTGACTATGTTGCTCGACCGGCAGAAAGAAGCAAAGGGTGTTGATCTGTGAGAAAAGACGGTTGAGTCGGTTGCTATTATCTGATATCGCCAAGAAGTGGCAGGGGATGGAGCGAAGCAGGGAAGCAGGGGAAGCTCGGGGCAACGACGGCGGCGGCAGCCCGACTGCGGCGTCATCAAGCCCAAGTGGCTTGAACACAATATCCTGCCCGCTACACCATCACACAGGGATTTAAATTTAATGGTGCCGTGGTGATAGGGGCATGATAGATACATCAGAAACCCGTCATTTGACTCTTCTATCCTGCCTCGTCCTCCCTCCAAGTGTTTCCTCTACCTGTGCATCGTTTCGGTGACAATCGTGGTGGAACAACCCAGCCAACCTTTTGACTGCTACTGCCACTCTCACTGCGCCGGCCATCACAGCAACAAACCAACGCAGTCCGACCCTGAGAAGCCGGTGCTGTTTGTGGCTGTGTAATCCTGCTCTGCCACCTTGTGCATTATGACCTTGTGAAAATATGGCTACCTCTCTAGCATAATTCTTCTCCCGACCCTGACTTCGCCTGCTCCTGAGTTCACAGGCCTGAAGCGGACGCCTCGGAAACTGCCCTCACCTTGGACCAATTCACGCATCATCCATCCCCTCTCGAGAGAGCTTGAACACCACCCTGCCCGATAAGTCGCAATGGAGAAGATTGTAAAAGGCGCCACAAAAATCAAGGTCAGGATGGCGCGCAGACCGCTTGATCAGAGCTGACGGCGTGTTAGTTGGCTGCGCCCAAGTCCAAGTACATCGAGCCCATACTGTCTGCCACGCATGGCGGAGAATCAGGTGCCGCCGAAGTCTTCCGTACTCTGCAACTTCGTCTGCGAGACTCGACATGGACCATTGTCTTCAAGGCGTTAATCGTGGTCCATCTCATGATAAGAGAGGGTCAGCCCGAGGTTACTTTGAGGTACATATCCGAATCGCCCAAGAGGTTGGCAATCAGCAGTTTCACAGAAGGTACGCGGAATGGGACAAATTACGGTCGAAAGGTTGTATGCACTGTCTGACAGGAGAACAGGTCAAACTCAAGGTCTTAATATCCGAAGGTACTCGGAATACTTGTTGGAGCGAGTGCGAGCCTTCCGTGATACCAAGACAGACTTCGTCAAGTCAGGAGCTGGGAAGATGCGCAGACTGACGGTCGAGAAAGGGCTGTTGAGGCAAACCGAGATTGTGCAGGATCAAATCGAGGCGTTGGTGCGATGTGATGTGAGTTGTATCGACAGACACCAGCTTGGATCTCGACTTACGGTTGCAGTTGCTGGGCACCCATGATCCGGATAACGAAATTTCACTGACGGCTTTTCGTCTTTTAACGCTGGACTTGCTGGAGCTCTTCAAGGTGATGAACGAGGGCACTATCAATGTTCTAGGTAAGCGAAGCGGATCAAATGGAGGCGGCTCTGGCTCATTCAGACATAGAACATTACTTCGAGATGTCCCGTCCTGATGCTGAGCGGGCGCTGCAAATTTACAAGACCTTTGGCAGGCAGACGGAAATGGTGGTGCAATATCTCAGCCTTGCTAGACAGTATGAAATGTCGACTCGCTTGGAGGTTCCACGATTGAAGCACGCACCAACCACCCTGACGAATGCTCTGGAAGAATATCTTAATGATCCGGACTTTGAGCTCAATCGAAGACAATATCTGGCGCAGCAAGAAGCGAAAAGAACCGGGAAGCCAGTTTCTGCCGCTCCATCATCCAATCCCTTCGACAAGCCGGCAACAAAAGAAGCTGCAGCGACATCATCTGTAGCCAAACCGCAACCCTTGCAGTCACCGCCTAAAGGTCCAGCACCAGATCTGATTGACTTCTTTGAGTCCATTGAGCAGAACCAGCAAACAATGGGTCAAGCAAACTTCAATCCGCAGCCTCAATTTCAGCAGGGAACACCCCAAGCCCAGTCATATCAGCAAGCACCTGTGCCTCTCCAGATGGGGTACAATCCCTTTCTGCAGCAACAGCAGACGTTCCAAAGTCAGGCTCTGCCGCAGGCTCAGACTCAACCTCTGCAAACAGATTTCACAGGGGCAGGGTTCGGTGGATATGGAGCTCAGCCACAGCAGCAGGTACCGCCAGCAGGGGGATTCCAGTTTTCCACACAGCTGTCACCGATCCCTCAGAACGGCGTGGCGAACTTCCAGTCACAATCGTTTCCGTCGGCTCCGCTGTCTCCAATACAACCACAGCAAACATCCACCAATCCGTTCCGGCAGTCCACGATGAATACCGGAAGCACTCCATTTTCCCCTGTCAGTCCTCCTGCTCCTGCCCGGTCGTCGACCAATCCATTTGCGAAGCACAACACTGGTGCCATTCCCAACCACGACCACACGGCAGGGACCATGCACGACCAGACAACCCTCTCTCCAATCTCTCCAGAGCAACCTTTTCCTTCGAACCCATCCTTCCTCTCGTCTCCGCCGCCTCTCCAACCTCAAAGAACAGGTACGAATCCGTTCGCGAAGAACCGGCCGACAACGTCTGGAGGTCCAGTGACAACAAACGTGACGGGAAGCACCAATCCATTCCGACAAAGCGCCTTTGTCAATCAACAGACAGGTCAGGGCTGGCAGCATAGCAATCAGGGCACGCTGTTGGGATTTGACGTGAATAATGTAGACACGGTGCCAGTATTTCCAAGGCCCGGACACGGTTAAAGCTATCGCGTGGTAATATAATGTCCCTTTTGCGCGTTCTGGACGATGGGCATGAAATGTACTCTTAGTCATCGTGTCGGACTTGGTTTCCGTGGCTTTTTGTTCCACTTTGCCATTGCCACTGTCATTTGACATTAGAATTTCTATCGAGATTCGAGATCGTCCGACCCCGATCCCGCCACCCACTCGATGTTAAAGCTCTTCTCACGCCGTCTTTGCACCGTCACCCTATGATCTCGAGGCAGAGAGTCAACGCCGGACAAAAAGATAGATCGTCATACGTGACTGTATCTGCCTCTGACAATGAATTTGTGGGAGATGAATCCCTTCGGCCGCTTCCCAAGTCATCTTGCGGCATGATGCGGTGCGCTTCACTTGGCAGGATCGCTTGACTCTTGCCAGCCTCAAGTGACCACGGTATTCTCTTCTGAGTTCTCACGTCGCAGGAACGACGGTCACTGTAAGTCGCACCTGCTCATCTGGATCCACCAGAGCCTCCTTCAAATGCCAGTGCCTCGTCTCCCAATTACTGCTGATCGACGTTAGAAGATGGACGAAGGCCCCGGAGATGACATTCCGACGCTCTCCATCATCCCTTACGACAACAACCGTGAGATCGTGCTGTAAGTGAGACACCACACCAAGGAAAGGGAACAACCACCACGGACCCAATCCCGAACTGATGAGACCAGCCGCCACGCAGACACGATTGTTTACCGTGATCCGAGAACCAACCAACTAGTTCCCTTCCATCGAAACCAGGATGTAGAACGACGCTCTTCCGACTGCCCAACGTGCGGTCGCCCATGGCATAGACAAGGATCCTCAAGCACCCAAGATCCTGGATCAAGCCCAATGGAAGATCAACCGAGTTTCATCACAGAGGGCTATTTTGAAATGCTCGCTCGAAGTCTTCCTGGTTCAAACGAAACATCTGCACCTCCTTCCCCGAGACGCCGAATCGTCCAACCCATCCGCTCGCGGCTTCATCCTTCCTCGGCCGCTGTGTCGCCGCCTCTAAATGCAGAGTTTATTGCCAGTGCTCCGGTGCCTGCTAGTCAAGCCCACGGGATCTCGGAGACGGCCTTCTCCCCAAACTACTTCGAGAAGTTCTTTGTCGAAGAAAGAGAGCTCGGAAGAGGTGGCCGAGGCGTTGTTCTGTTGGTCAAACATGTCCTCGACGGCGTTACCCTAGGTCATTTTGCTTGCAAACGCGTTCCCATTGGAGATGACCATGCGTGGTTGGAGAAGGTCCTTGTCGAGGTCCAGCTTCTGCAGACTTTGTCGCACCAAAACCTAGTGTCGTACCGGCACGTTTGGTTGGAAGACTTCCAAATCAGCACGTTTGGCCCAAGCGTCCCCTGCGCATTCATTCTGCAGCAATACTGTAATGGAGGAGATATGCAGAATTACGTCCTAGGCTCCGCGCAAGCATCCACAACGACCCAAGAACTAAAAGAACGGATTCGTCGGAAGTCAAGGGGAGAGTCAGACCTGCCTCGGCGGCCCAATGAACCCAAAAAGTTGCATTTCGACGAGATTTACAACTTTTTCAAAGACATCACATCCGGCTTGAGGCATCTTCATCACGCCGGCTTCATCCATCGAGACCTGAAACCGAGCAACTGCCTCTTACACACTGTCGGGGGTGAGACCAGAGTCCTAGTCAGCGACTTTGGCGAAGTCCAGTACGAATATGCTACTCGAAAATCCACCGGCGCTACAGGGACGATATCGTATTGTGCGCCTGAAGTGCTCCGACGCATCTCTCCAGGTGGACCGTTTGAGAACTTTACGTCAAAGTCCGACATCTTCTCATTGGGCATGATTCTACATTTTCTGTGCTTTGCAAACCTTCCCTACAATTCCGCAAATGTCCTTCACGAAGAGCGTGAAGACATAGATGAATTGAGAGCAGAAATTACTCGCTGGGGAGGATTTGACGATCAGCGCAAGTTACGCCCCGAACTACCGCCTGCACTCTACTCTTTCCTCAAGCGACTTCTGTCCTTGAACCCAGATGAACGGCCAAGCGCAGACGATGTCCTTCAGGTCGTCTCTTCTGGTCGACTTGATGATATTCCTCCCGCACGGAGGCGGAACTCTATGGAACCAGAGGAATTAACTCCAGGCCGACGGATCCAAAAGTTGGATACACCACAGAAGGGGAACTCTCCCCAGGGAAGACCAAAGCGCGATGTCCCTTCTAGACCAAAGCGATCATTCTTTCGATCCCCGAGATCTGTGTCTCAAGAGCCGAGAGGATCCGAAGCAGTAATCAGCGACCATGGGTACACAAGCGGCAGCGAAGCAGACCGGGAGCAACTCGCACGCAAAGCATCCGCGTCGACACGGCGCGAGTCTGCAAAACTCAAGCTTAATAGCACTATGATCTTCCGGGCAAAGCATGCCTCATCGTCCCTTCCATCTTCACCTTTACCAAAATCCCCTACACCATCCCCGGCCCGGCAACAGCTCCTCCTTGAACCTGCACAACAGCTTGATCGGCCGGCTCTATCTCTATTGCTCGATCCATTCTATACTTTCGTCAACGCACCCATCACCTCCCCCTCTACCCGCCTCGCTATACTCGGAGTAAAACTATTTACCACCCTCCAACCCTGCCTATCACAAGGCATGAATGCGATAGTCGTCTATCCTATCATCGCCATCGCATTGCTGGAGTTCTCATTGACGCATTTACGGATATGGAAAGCTGGGGTAGCTATGCTGGCTCATTTCTTTGTGCTTGCCTTAGCGTGGAGAACGGATAGGTTATGTCGGAGTTCCGATGGTTGGTGGATGCATTGGGATGGTGAATGAGAATTTTGCGACGGCAAACTGCAAGAACGAGAAAAGCATGCTTTGATCCCACTGGGGTGGCCCGATTTGTTTGACCGCGGAACCCACGGTGTCTTTTCTTCGGTGTTAAAAAAAATGTTCTTTCTCAACTTCAATTGTATCTGCACGGGTCTGGGTATCGACCCCATCAGCACCCCTAACCCGCCCACGGCAATCTTCACTTTATTCAGGGATGACCTCTCCCAGAGCGTGGGACGCCCCTCCCCTTCGCCTTGCGCTGGCAGCCGTCAATCGTTGCAGGAATGGGGGAGCAGGAACAGATCATGTTAACACTACCAAGTCTCCGCTCCCAAGGGAGTCCCAAGGGAGGCACATTGACATAGGGCCTGCTTGGTATGTACTGGCCTTTCTTACCGCGTTAAGCGATCTCAGAGCGGTGTTGCCGCTATCTCGGATAAAATAGTAATTTACAGTCTCTGGCAACTGGCAAGGCCGCATGAAATATGTTCGCCGCAATGCCGTGAGGCCTCTTCTGGGAGCGGCTGGATCTCCCCTTCGTGTCCTCACAATACCTCCAACAGTGGCTGGCTGGGCTTTTAGTTACGGAGCGACGGACTGAAGTCGACCATGAAGATGAAGGCACCTTGCTTTAAAAGCAGCTCGTCCTTCGACGATTCGTCCCCCGGCAACAGTTACATGTCTATGTAATTCGCGTATGCGCGACTGAGAGTGGCGGGGTACTCCATATTTTTGCATTGGCGCTGAATGGTTGATCTCCTTTGCAAACAGAGTGTAGCGAAATAGCATGCTGGAGCGCCATGTGGGCGCCTGAAGGGACCGTAGAGATCAGGGATAATTTCAAAGTTAGGTGGATACGTAAAAAAACATCTTATGTACGAGCACAGCCTTGCGCAAAAGGCTTGGCGAGAATAGGGGCTACTGGGGACTACCTCGTACCTACCGGGTACAGTAGTTGGAATTCCAACTTGACAGCCTAGATGACACCCATAATCGCAGCCAACAATAATACTAGCACTACGGGTAGGCGGAACCCAAGCACACTATTACTATGTGTGCTCTGGCCCAACGATTGACAAACACCACCAGGATTCAGGAAGCCCTTGACACAGTGGAATCGGGGAACCTGGCTTCATGGTGTTTTGACAGGGCGCGATTTGTGCTCTCGAACGGTGCGCAAACAGGGCCTCGTCAGATGTCTCTAGTCAGCCCGTACTAACATTCCAGCTATTCGAGCTAGATCACTGTGCCATGTTTCTCTACGCACTCAATCACCTGGTCGGCTTCCCGAATTAGACTATGCCTGAGCTGAAAGGCTATGGAAGTGCCAAGGCGAATGGTTACAAGACCATCGGCCACGGCCACCCTGAAATCGAAGTCCCTGGGGTGGAAGTCACCACCCCCATGGGGTCTCTGGGCCAGGGCATTGCCAATGCTGTTGGATACCTCCGGGATGACATCCTGATTTTGATCTACGACAACAATGCTGTGACTTGTGGCGGGCCGCTTGACTGGATTAACAGCGAAGACGTGAACGCGAAAATGCGGGTGTGCAGCCGGAAGGTGCTTGAGATCGGGGACGGCAGCTATGATGTCTAATGCATCGTCTAAACATTACGGGGAAGCCCAGGAACACAAAGGCCAGCCAGTCTTCATCCACATACGGACAGTCATCGGCCTCGGAACGCAGGTCACGGGTACCGCCAAAGCACACCATGGCGCCGTTTGACGAGCTTAGCGTCCAAAAGTTCCAAGGAGATCGCTGGCCAAGGTCCCTCGACTATGCCCCAGAGTGCCTTCTCGACCCATGTCGTCTTTTCGAGAGCGCCAAGCTAACGGAGTACGCTTACAGGCTGAATGGAACGTCCTGCTTGGGGAGTACGCCGCGAAGTTCCCGGAAAAGGCGGCTGATCTGGAACACCGGCGACAGGGTCAACTTGGAACCCGCTGCGAAGAGATTCTGGACAACGTCGACTCTTCCCGCTTCCAGGACAAAAGCAACGCGGGGGAGCAATGGCGCATTGATGGAAGAGACCTAGCCTGCATGTGGCGCCTTAATGGGAGGCAGCGCCGACCTCGTCAACTCGAACAACCTCTACTACTCCGACGCCGTCGATCCTGTCTTCGACAGGCAGGACCAGAGGTATCGCGACACGGTGTTTCCCCGGGACGAGGGGGCGCGAGCCCGATCGTCGGCGTCGAAGAGTCCGTGCCGACCGCGTGGGCGAAGGACGCGACCGCCAGCATAGGCATGGTCGGGTATGGATGGGTACTCTGCATCGAACCGCGAGCAACTATGAGCGCTTCGGGGTAAACGCAAGGGGCATCGTGCGGCGCGTCAAGGCGAACCTCACGGAGGTAGGAGGCTCGAATGAGCGTATGCAGGGCTTGCGGCCGTTTTGTTTGAGGCGGGGAGAGACCAATTTCATATTATCTCAGACAACATGGTATCATAACTCAACGGTGCCGACCATCTACAGGAGTCCATTGCCTTGCCCATTCCCGGCAACACTTCTGTCCAGAATCCATTCTTCTGGCCCTAATCTTCAAGCTCTGGCCTGTTGACCCCTATGTATCTTTTCTTTCTCGTCGTCAGTAAACACAGTGGGACTGAGCAATAGCCCCAATTCTAAAAATCTCTTCAACCTTGCTGGTTCATATGACTCGGCAGATTCCAGTCGGCATAGTCGGCGTGCACAAACGCGCGATCCACAGCCGGCACGCTCTCTAGCACATACTGCAGACTCTCGCTCAAATCATGACTGTCTCTCAAGCTCATATTCTCATCAAGAACAATATCGACCTCCACATTGAGCTTGTCGCCCGTATGATAGGCCTGCAGCCCCTGGATGTAGCGGATGGGTTTGGCAAAGCGCATCGCGAGATAGAGCAAAACGTTGCGCTGGTCCGCGGTGGCCGAAACACCGCACAGATTCCGGACGTGCTCGACACTGGTTCTGGTCCAGTTGAAGATGACGTAGAAGGATAAGAACAGACCGCCCAACGCGTCAAGCCACCAGATCTGGAAATAAAAGCCGACGAGAGGGAAAATGATGGAAAAGGTGTTGAAGACCACGTCGGTGGCAGCATCTTGCGCGAGGGCCTGCACAGAGCTGTTTTTCACCAGCCGGCACCAGAACCAACAGAAACCCTTGATGGCGACCGTGCCCAGCATAATTGCGATGGCGGGGATACCCAATTCCACAACTCTGTGGTCTCCTGAAATCAGGCGGTTGAAACATTCCAGGGCGACTTGGAAGAACGATGTGATCATTATGACGCTGAAAACGAGGACTCCGACGGGCTCCAGTCGTCGTCGGCCGATTGGATATGCGTACTGATCTTGTCGCGAGATGAGTTTCGTGGTAATCCAGACGATGGCGGTAGAGAGAAAATCCAACGCCGCGTCGACAAGTGACGCGAGCACAGAGAGCGATGAAGTCAAGACAATCACGGCGATTTTGCCGGCGAGCAAGATGATGTTGGCTGTAAGATTTATGTAGATTGCCAAGGTTACGATCCGATCGTCCAAGTCCACGCCCTCGTCGATATCGTCAAAGCTGATTTCCGGGAAACCTGCCTCCGAGGTCACTTCTGTGCCGCCTTGTAACAAGGGCGTGTCTTCGCTGGGAAGCTTGTACAAGTTTTTCGGGGTTCGTTTCAACTTGGTCTCCGTGGGCGAATCAGTGGCCTTTGGTGCAGCCACAGGAGTCATGTTGCCAGATGGTGGCTCTTCACAAATGGTGTTCATATGGCCGTTGGATCGCGGTTGGCCATACTCCTGAATCAGATTATGGGGGAGCGACGAATCCAACAGCTTGTCGATATAGAGGTATTGCGTGACCAGAAAGTTATTCCGCTCGTAGTATTTCCGGATGGGTCTCCTCATCACCTTCAGCTCTTCCTCGGTCTTGAAGTACTGGTGCCACTGATATCTGGGGTTGCTCTGCCCGATCAGTCGCATACTGCGTACCTGCGGTGTCATGAGAATCTCGGGACCCAAACTCATTCGGCGAGGGTCCATTTCCGAGGGCGTGCTGGGGCGCCACCTGCCCCCGGCGAATGAATCAAAGTAGTCTTCATGAAGACCATGCTCCTCATCGTCGCCGGATCGGTGGCTCGCGACGGAGCCCCTCCGTGTTGGTGGTCGGCGCGGCAGAGTAAACAGCGACGTGGTTGACCGGCTCTGGATCAGACTCGGGAGGCGTTGGCCGCGCGTCGACACTGCACTGGGTTCTTCGCTGAGCGGGATGAAGTTGGACAGGGCACCGAGTTGATAGTGAGGTCGTCGAGGAGTGCTTGAGACCTCCATGGTGGCAGAGAGCAGCTGTCTTCGATGTCGGGCTGAGGGAGGAGGGCGAGCAGAGAGCTGGTGAGGCCGACAAGATCACCCGAACCCGTTCAGATGAGACATGTTTGCAGCCCTGGAAGTGTAGACGGACGCAGCTGAGCTTTTCACCCAGCGCTTTTCACGCGGGAAAGGGAAAATACGAGACTAGTGTGCTGGAACCCCGGATGTGCAGAGAATAGATACGTCAGCCAGCCAGTCAGCCAGTCAGCCAGTCAGATGCGCCGCCACCAGTTCATGCAGCCTCCTCGGTACAAGCCCCAAACATGTGCTCGCCCCCTGGGATCAATCGCTACATAATCCGGCTTCAGGAATTCGTCTGTTACATACTCCTCAAAGCTCATCGCCGCCCGGCCACCATCATTACAGATTAGATCTAGGTACTCTACATAGCCTCAGCCAACACATCTATGTCCAAATGACCACTGCACTCTGCGGGCGCCCGACGGACTCGGATTATGCAACGTCGTTGACAGCATTGTGCCCACAATTCTTTGCCCCCAGACCGTTCCAAATATCTTTCATCGTAAATCTTTTGACGGCGGAGATCATCAACGCCGTCCAAATCAATGAGATCCTGGCACATACACATATAGACACTTAAAATCCAGGTTATATCCCAGCAAGATAGATTCCGGTCAGCACTACTGCACCAATTGTTGTTAACATCGTCGTAGAGAGACCTGCAACACCACTCGTGGTGCTCGCACGGGCACTGCTGCCGGTTCTTGACGCCGTGTTTGACTGGGCAGAACTATCCGAATGACTTGACGATGTAGAGGACGACGAGCTATCAGAAGTAGAGGTCGGAGCCGGCGCATTTGTACCGACGGGGGTGGTAACAGGACTGGCATCGGGGCTGCTGGCAGCAAGTTGGGAGCATGCACTGGGGTTGGCCTTTCGTTGGCCAACCGGGGATCCGATATTGGCAATAACCGCTTGGGAGTCTCGAACGACGATGCTGGCGCTCCCATCATTGCCAATCTTGACTCTTTCAGTGGCGTCGTTCACCCTGGTGGGGGTACCATCACCGCTTTCCTCATAGCTGATGCCGTTCCAAGTTGTACCGTGCTTCGCATCCGCACCGTCGTTGGTGAGATAGGCCAGGTACAGTTCCTGTCCTGCAAATTGCTGCGGCAGGGACAAATGCCAGGTGAGGCTTGGCTTGTTCGTCTCCGAGACGTTGACGGGATTCGAGTTGATCAAGACGATCGAGGCAAGGGTACCAGCTTGGTAGACCGAATAAGCAGCGATCCGACCGCCATAGGAGCCGGGAGGATCCTGGATGACATATCCACCAACCTGGGCCGCGCAGGTTGGTCCAATTGTTTGGTCGAATGCAGCGAAAGCATAATAGTTTGGTCGCACAAATGGTTGGTTGCCATAATATGGGATTGGCTGCCAGGCACTGGCGTTGCTGTTGTCGGTCATATGCATCTGGACCGAAGTGATATTGAGGGTAGCTGCATAGAGGAAGAAATTGAGAGACCACAACGCAGCTCCAAAGACGTCGGTAATGCCAGTCAACCCAATCGGGCCAACCACACCCATCTCCCGCAAAGCATATGGATAACCCGTGGTTTGCGCTTGCTGAATTTGCGAGACCCAGGCGGCGAACTGATCATTCGTCGTCGACAGGGTCATGAAGTCGTAGGCCGTCAACGGATAGGTCGACACCCCAATGTAATAGTAGTAATCATGTTGATTCCAGCTGGCAATGTACGGTTTCGACGACCCGTTGGCTTTGACAGTGATGCCAAACTGATCCAAATCCTGGACCTGGAAAGACGTTCCAATGGTGGATGCTGTGGCGCCCGGCTCAAAGAAATTGCTCGGGAGGTTGTTCGGCTGAAGCACTTGTTCCCAAATCGCGCCTGCTCGGTCCAGCCACTCTTGTGTATAGACCTGTCCGCCCCAGGAGCCTGTACGGAACCCATTCTGCAGATACAGATCAGGCTCATTGCCGATTTCAAACGAGACCAGATTGACGTCGGTCAATTGGTCCACGGCCTGCGTGGCCATAGTGGTTATTTGCTTGATGTAGTCGGACTCTGAATATGCCAGATTTAACCCAAAGGTAATGGGAGTATTACTGGGGAAACGATTGATCACCTCAAAGAACTTGGAGCCAATGATCATCGAATCGGTCGCATAGTTTCCCTGCCCGACCGGGTCGGGGTTGGGCTTCCAAGCATAGTCATCTTGAGAAGCATCGTAGATGAAATAATCCTGGGTGTTGCCTCCAATGCGCAGATGTGGTGGAGTCCCCGTGTAGTTTGCTAAATTTTCCAACAGATTCTTGGTGAGCTGGTTCTCATCGCTGCCTCCAGTGAAGGAGAAGAGATTGGAGGATTCGATCCCGAAGCCGGCAAATGAAGGGCTGATGACTCCAGAAGCGCCTGAGGTGGGTTGAGCTGTGAGCGCGAGGGAAACTGTGTTTTGAGCCGCCGTGAGTGTTAAGCAGAGAGCGCCAAAGACTGGCAAGGAACGAGAGGGCATGGCTCAGCGAAGGTCTAGGACGTAGTAGACATGAACAGCGCGCATTCACCCCCGACCTCGTCTTCAACCGCTCAAGGACGCCAACAAACGACAGCAACCAACCTCTGGGACAACAAGCAGGTCTATCGGCTGCAGCGGCAGCAGCAAAGGGAAGGGGGAAAAGCAAAATGTGCTCATCGATGAAATGGGCAGCAGCGCCGCCAATGCGGATGGGCAGATCTCGGACAACGCTGCGATTGCTATGACAGCAGTGGCAGCAGCTTAGCCGTTAGCCATGGGTGGCAGCTGTGGGGGAATGGCATTCAATGGGCATTCCCAGTTTTCCCCTCAGCGAGAAGAGGACGCGCAAACAGTCCTGGATATGAGGTACTTGGTACGATGGTGTTAGTGGACGGTAATCTCGGAGGGGCGCAGAGAAATCGAGGTGGTTGGGTTGCGATTTCGTCATGGGCAGCTTGCGGACGACTTGGGAAGTTGGGACGGCCAGGACGGCCAGGACGACCAGGACGACCAGGATAACTCAACTCTTCTCCCTTCCTTGCTAGTCGGGTGTGTTAGCGGAGGAGAACAGATCAGCTTGGCCCAACCACAATGCCCGCCTTACCACGCTACCCTGAATCCTTCATCAGCCAGCAGCCGCCAGCATGCCATGAAGCCATGTCCTTACCCACCCTCCGGTCCGATGATGCCGTCGAGATCCACGAAGAGGAGAACGGGTGGATGACAATGGAGAAGGAGTCTGAGAAGGAGGAGTGACCACCACGCAGGGAAAAGGGGGAGAAAGAGAAAGAGAGAGGGAGAGGGGAGACATGTGGGAGACATGGACCGCGAGACGGAGGTGTGCAGATCAGGACAGACAGCGAGCAGTTCTCCAGTGCCCAGCAACGCACCCAACCCGCATGGACGCAGTCATCTCGGTGCATTATCTGAATCTGAATCTGCGGACCATTATGTTTCTATTTCTGCTCCCCAAACGCGGGGTGAAGTTCTGCCACATTTTTCTGACTTGCATAATGACCTATCTACCTACCAAGGTACAACTCGGCACCTAGTCGCTCCAGGTCATAAGACACACACTTACCCCTCCTTTGGCCTCCCTCCTCGGTGCCTCCTAGGCTCACGCCGTTCGTTCCTGGCGGCTGTGTTCGGATCCAAACTCCGCCCTGTCCAATCCTACAGCGGTATTGAGCGGTTCCTCGTTCGCTGACGCCCTGGCAACCTTCCCCTGTTTGCCATGCAGGTAAGATGCGATGTTGCCTAATAAGACCGCAGGCAGTGTACCGTTGGATCCCTGGATAGGACGAGGGATACAGACAAGAGAATCAGGATAGGGCTCCATTAGCTGTCTGAGGAATTGCCCGCCTACAACGCTAAAGAGTCAGGTCGGTAGGCAACAGTCCGGCGAGGCGATCCGAACGAGCGTGAAAGAATAGGACCTGGAAAACAGGGTTGACTGAGAAAAATAGGTACGTTGTTATTATCCATTACATAGACTTACACACGCTAGCTGATAAGGAAAATGGTCCGTCGCTGTGTGGACCGTGTCGGTCCCTTTCCCAGAACTCATCATCATGGGGCTCATTAATGTCCACTCAAGTAATGTACAAAAGGCCTGTGGCTGGACCCAGTTGGGCGATGCTGCCAAGGCAAAGCGAGAGACTGTCTTTCCTCCGCAAACGAATGTGTCAAGTTGGGGTATCCACTATTGGTACAGATATGCAAACTGGGTGTGCTGTTGGTACATGTCCTGATGGGGAAAAAGTAGTTGCTAAGAGTCAATCCACCTGCCGGAAAGGTGAGGAGGGGGTAAACGTTGTCCGAGGGTGAAAACGTCGGATGAGGCTGAAAGCATCGGGCGCAAGCTGCGGGGAATAAAGCGGTGTATGGTGAAGGGATAGAGTTCGGCGAGACGATTAAGGGTATTGTAGTCGAAAGGACCTAGAGAGGCTCCATGCTCCTCGTATCTGCATGAGGGTGTGGGCGTCGGCATCCCTGAAGGAGAGGTTTGCCAGAATGAGAAGTGCGGTAGAATGAATATGGGGCGATATAGTCTGGGTTGCTGCAAGAGTGTTGTGCTTGTGACCAGTGGAGATGCCAGCGCATCGAGCCCATGCATAGCTTCTTCCTTGCATGCGCGAATGAAGGACTTGGGCGCCAAGAGCTTCCCACATAGAGGATCTCCGTGGTTTGTAAGACATCTGGTGTTGAAGCCTGAAGCTCCTCAAAAGGTGGAGAACGCCCGTTGTGATGCATTAATTAGATGAAAGTGCGGCGTGTCATGTGCCTGCCTGACATGTGGACGCAGGGCAGGGGTAAGTCGGGCGCCGAGGCGTGTTGATCCTCATGGTCAAGCGCTGTTGAAGCCGACAATATTGATTCCATAGCGATCGAGAGCGTCTGCTCATGCAGTGTGCTACTTGGGGATTGCTGGAAGAGGTCGGTTGGGAGGAGGACCCGGGCAGGGAGGGTATTTGGATCCTGCAGGCATTGTGATGGCTTGAGTGTCGTCGAGCACAGTCGCGGAAGGCTTTGGTCCGAGATATTGGAGAGGCACGGGAAAGCTCTTAGGTATGCTTGCTAGCTCGCTGATCGAGGTCAAAGGGTCAGGTCGAGGAGGAAACGGTGACTGTTGGGGAAGATGCCTTCTGGAAAAGAGTGAGGGATACGAGTCAGGTATTTATTTTTCTGATCCCAGGCAGCCTCACCCTCACCCTCACGCCCCCGGCAGCACCGAAAATTGTTCCAGAAATGGTGACGCTGACCAGAGTCATCCATGATCCATGCTTGTTTTTTTTTTTTGGCGACTCCTTGGCTGTGTGACGGTGTGCCTTTGGGGTGGATCCCGCTTGATGCTTGCCGGGCGTGTAATGTGGTGGCATGTTCTCGTTTTGCCAGACTTTGACACGCAAGATTTCGAGACTCCTCAGGAGACGCCTCCCTTGGCCTCCCCCCTTGATGCCCCTGGCTTCCACCCTCCAGAAGGGGATTAGTCGAGGATAGGCTCCTCCAGTTTTCTTGACTAGGCCCAGGCGCTAAGTCTCTCAGGAGCGCAGACTGACAAAGACAAGGACCCAGCTGACCGGAACAGCCTGGGGTTCCTCGGCCGCGCCTCACAAGGGAGGGGGAGATTGTTGTCGCTGTCTCCGCTTGCGTTTGCCCGGAAATCACCAAGCAGATTGTGAGACCCATCCTGCTCCTTGTCTACACAGGGAAGTCGGCATCAGGACGACGTGCCAGCGCACTTTCTGCTCCCTTTGTTTGATGATTATTATTTTCCAGTTCCACTTGGGCCTTGCTCAGAGATAGCGGTGTACAGCTCTGAGGCCAACCTTCCGGGAGAGAGAAAATGCTACCAGCCTTGACGATCCGTAACTATATCCCAAACGGGAAGGGATTGGGCTGCTCTGAGTACCGGGTACTGGCGACTGGGTACTGGGTACTGGGTACTCGCACAGTGCCAGCAAGCATTCATCTTCAGCGGTGTGGATGTCCTCCTGTGCCGAGTTGCCCTTTGGTCCGAGTACGTTTTCCAGACGCTGGGACCGTTGGGAAGCTGTACCTGGCTCTTGCACTCCCAACTTCCGGTTTCACCTTATTGCCGGCACCGTGCTCATTGGCGGCAAAAGAGCAACGTGGCCTTCAACGTCTGCCATGATGGTGTGTATGTCCACTCAAGCAGTGCCACAAATAATTGTTCCCGTACCTCCATCAAGAAATCCGGGATCTCAGTCCCAGAAGCATACCAGTAGTTTTTGGTCAGCGGTCGACCCCGTGACCGGTGCAAACCTTGGAATGTCGAGCTAATCCCCTGCCCTTCTTGCTTACTATGCCGCTTTGTGCCTGTCAGATGGCATGCAATTGGTGCCTTCAGCCCTGCCTCAGCCGATGCACGTTTTCTGAAGGATGCTGGGTGCGGACTTGGTCGGATAGGGAGGCTAATTCTCATAGCCTGATTCGTCGGCCAAGGCAAGGTTTCTGCAAAGGAAAACTATCGCTATGCTGTTCCGGCTGCTTCCTTTCCAAGCTCTCCTTGCAGCCGTTCGTGCTATGTCGAGCGATCGAAGATGGTCTTTTTGTTGTTCGCTCGGTTACGACATGTCACGCGGAGGACCTGTTTCAAATCGTGGCCAAGCGCGCGCTTGGATTGGACGTTACAAGCTCACCGGTCGCCAGGGTGACCTCTTCTATCCGTACCTAGTTGAACGAGGGTGGCCCTGCATGGGCAGTTCGAGCAGTGAGCAGCGAACACGATTACTCGCAAGCGAGAATCCATCCTGCGCCGATTATGCAGTCATAACGACTCCTCCCGATCACCTCCTCAAAAACGGACTGTTTCAAGGCGATGGGTGATGTTCAGATCACCATCGGACTCGAAGCTCTAATCGTCAGGGCCGCGTATCGCTGAAGGAGTTTCTGGGTGGCGGTCGCTGCTGGTGGTAGTGGTGGTGGTAGTAGAAGTAGTAGTAGTGGCGGTGGTCAGCGGGTTCCTGAAGATCCTTCTCTTTACCCCTGGATCGCCAGGCCCTACTTAGGATCGTCCTTTTGCCACCCCCCAAGTTGTGACAGCAGCTGAAAGTCTGAGAGCGGGAAAAGTGTATGTGGATGGTGTGTTTCAGGTTGACTCCCTCGGTGGCAATCTGGCTCAAACTTTTCACAAACTCGGCATGAGATATTCCTGCGTCACAATTGATTTCGTCATGATGGGCCATCAGCGCACCATAGTAACTGTACCCAGTACAGTGTGGGCGCAGTGACATTCCCGTCCGCACCTCTCTTGGGCCGCATTCCGGCGGATGATCTGGCCCTGACTCGTGCCGGGCTGCCAATGCGCCAGAAGATTGCAGTTTTCAGCCGTTTGCACCACTTCCAGTTTCGACGCCTGCGATACCAACTGAAACTGTCCGTGGCAGGCTGCCGGAGCATGCAGGTATAGCTCTAAACACGGGGCAGCTATCCGCGTTTGTGGTAGCTATTTGCTCGAGCCCAGCGACTTGGACTTGTACGGTGTAGCTCGAGAGACTTGGTGGCTGGCTGTATTTGCTCGCTTCTCGAATCTGGGCTCTAGTTCCATGCAGTTGCCCTTTCGTCGCTAGCATATTGTACAATTCAGATCAGACAAGGATGCCCAAAGCTCAAGCCCCGCGGCAATTTGCCTGCCAGCACCATCGCCTTTGCGACGCGCACCAAACCGCGCCGTCAGCTACTGTATGTACTGTAGATTGTCTTCGAGAACAAACACTCACTGTAGGATCAAAAGAGGTGCCGGCCCATCCCGCGCATCGTGAACAAAGAATCTGACATTCACTCCACTCCGTTAATAATCAGTGGACATGTACTGGGTACTAGTACGGACTCGGAGGACAGACGACTGCATGGTTTGTATCTAAAAGTAGCAAACTGATCGATGGGTGATCGAGTCAGGGCCTATCCTAGCCACGTACTGTAGCATGTCACATGCACCAGTAAGCCTTCATGCGGCGACTGTGCATCAAGGCGGGCATGCTCTTCAGCAGGAGATGGGCCGTCGGTGCAGCTCGTGAATTCTGCATTGCTTGCGACTTCCTCCCCCTGTCTCATGTGCGGCGCCTCCTCGTGTAAGGCTGACCTGGAACACGATGGAACGGGTCTGGCCGCCAGAGCTGGCGAGCTGGATACAAAGGTACGCCTTGATACGCCCCTGATATGCATCATGCAGGGTTCAAGTCGGTAGGCCACGAGAGAAAGGGGGCCGCCAGAACAGCCACAACCACGTGGAAATTGCGTGAACGGGCGCCACGAGCTGCCGGCTAGTGGACATTGAACCACAATATTGCCCCAAACTCTACTATCGCACTTGGCACACGTTGATGCGACCCTACAGGGTCTGGAATCAAAACCTGGCCTGTGTCGCCTTCGGTAGCCGAGCTGGATTCAAACATTCAATATGTTGGAGTACTGAGTTGCGTGACGGAGCCTGAGTCCTGTCGCGGGCATTGTAACTCACTTGTTGTCGCGGCTACGAGGTTCTGCAGGGCCAGATGTTGCAGCTCCTCGTCATCTGCGTTCGAATATTGCTTCACATCGAACTTTGCTTGCGCCTTTTTCTGAAATAAACGCCCTCGGCAGCAGCGCAATCGGGGACAGGGAACCGGCTTGGCGAGTCTAGGAAACGAGGGCATCACCTCCCTAAAGTGTGATACATCCCTCCTGGAACCAGCCTGGTGACCTCAGAACGTTTTCCACGTGGGTGCCACGAGTTGGCGCCAGGGTACTCGGTGCTCAGCAAGAACCTCCATTCTGGGTGCGATGAGCCAGTCTCCACTGCTTGCAGGGCGACGGACGTCACGAATCCTCATCCTTTTGTTCTTGGGTTGACTGGATCCAGTCTTGCATGAGTGCCTGCGAACTGCCTTGAATCCCAGAGGCTTTCTTGCTGAGACCGCCTTTGCGCTCAATGAAGAGACAAAGCACCCAACCCCAGATGTTAAATCCCTCATATGTCGTCATGAAACCTAGCTTCTTCTTATCGTCATCCTCGCCTCCATCGTCAAGATTGCGACCTACGGATGGGTGGCTCGGATCCCCATGACGGCCTTCCAGGTCTTCGGCAGACGGTATATCGCTTAAATTGGCATTCTCTTCGTCGCTCTCATCCTGCACCATGACAGCGTCGTGATCGGCGCCAGTCATCTTGTTGCTGTTGTTGCTTCTTATTGGGCCTTTTTGCTTGAATGTCTTGTTCTTGACCAGAAGGCAGTGGCGGGTCCTGATCTCGGTGAGGAAGATAGAAACTTCGAAGTCGTCTACACGCGTTTGTTAGAGAAGAGGTCTTGCAATAGAGGACCCGTGCACGCACCCTGTTGGACGACATCTTTGACACTCTTCTTCTTTTTGCCCTTCCCTCGCACCCGCTCATTCTCTTCGCGTAGTTTTGGTAGGACATATGGCTTGACAGCCTCAAAGACTCGTGGGAGGGCGGGGTCTCTCTCGTTCAAGAGCCACCTTGGTTCATCGGCGGGATTCTCAAGGAAGATGCGACATTCGAGAACGGAATGCTTGCTGATCCGCAGGTAACGACGGATTGGAGCCATGGCTGCAGCCGCGCGACAGGGCTGTTCTCTCTTCAAAGCATGACCAGCCTGCGCAAACTTACACAAGCCCACTTTAAACGACGAGTACCTGCGAGGACTAAGTGAATGCGGGATTCTCGGAGATTCCGCGAGGCGCGTCACAAAAAGCCAAGAGCTTAGATGGGCCCGGATGTGTAGTCCCTGAAGTCCCCTGACATAATAGCCGTGCCTCCAGCAACCTCACTCCTCGGGCCTCGATGTGTGAGACTTTGCTTCCTCCCAGGACACTGTTGTTTGCAGACAAGATTAAAAGGGCGAACACCGTGATGACTTGCTTGGGCGCATTGAGCTCCTCAACAGCTTGCTGTACACATCAGCAATGGAGAAACCCTTGCCCACTGACGTCCTGACGCGTCTGGCCCAGGACACTGCTCTGAAAGGATGTGATAAGAATGAGGACGCTGACAGCCCTGTGACAGTCCTGAAAGAATATAAAATGGTTCCCGCTCTGGAAAGTGGTCATGACAGCTGTGCTGGTGTTTTAAAGGCATGACTGAGCAGAGCTCGCTGCGCTGCGTTTGGCGGTTCGAAGAGCAACGCTCCCCAGCGGCCGCACTGAGGTGCTGAACGCTTCTCAATATTGCTCACGGCTTCAAAGTGTGTCGGCGCGACCTAGTATGTCTGTCTCTCTCGCTCGCTCTTCGTTCGTCCAGCTCGTGGAGATTTTTGTTCCCGGTCATCGTTGTTTGCTGCTTCACCCATGATGGCACCTTCCTCTGCACGCACTCCCAACTTCTCACGACCATTGCCCTCCCCCTACTCGACAGGTGCTTTCCCTGCGCCGCCCACGGGCTCAGGCCGACCAGATGTGATGAAAGAGCTTCCGCCAGCTGGGACCATGGCAAATATGCCGAAGGAGAATCAGACAAAGGAGTTGACTCCAGGCAAAAGGCCGTTTGACACAGCGTCAACTAGAAGCCCCCATGCGCTTTTAGACAAACCGGCAGAATCTCCAGAAGAGAAACGCGCTAACAACACGGCCTCTCCTGGGGTACGGCATGGTCGAAAGCTCTCAGAATTTTCATCATTCAAAATTGAGACTGATTCCAAGATTACCCGTCTTCTGTATGCGAACCCCTCTTCCAACCATCATAACCATGGACTCACCACAGACCAGTGCCGAAATAGGCGGGTTTGGAAAGCCTATCGTCAACTTCCGTCCTAACCTCTGGCGCCATCTGGACAAAGATCGCCCAATCCTCAATCTCGACCTGTTCTGGCCGATCAAACTTGATGACCTCAACGATGATGAAGAGGAGGAGAACAGCGACGGCGACTCCAAGGACGTCTTCCCATTCAAGGAGCTCAAGCCTCTACAGACCTTCCACAATCTCCACTACCTTCAGCTGAATGGCATGATGCGATCCTATCAACCGATCATCTGGGCCACCTGTTGGTTGAACAAGAACCTCACCAAGCTCCACCTTGAAATGGCACTCGAACCAGAAATGAACAAAGACTCCAAGCACAAGTACCGCAAGATCGACGAGACATGGTCCTACGACGGCTCCTCCGACCGACAGGTTGACGCCGAATATCTAGGCTCTCACGGCGAAGGTATCTTGCATCCAGAGTTCGGCGTCGGCGAATACCTCGACCAGCACGCCATGAAGCAAGCCCAGATTGACGTGGTTGAGTCCCTTCCCATCGACAACATGCGACATCTTCCCATCAGCCATCTCACGTTGATGAATTTCGCCGTCGACGCTGGCCCGTTTTTCCGCTGGTTCGATCCCAAGAAACTCGTCGAGATCACCTTCCTCGGACAATGCATCGACACCGGCTTCTACTTGCCCGACAATATGCGCTTCCTCGTCAAAGCCACCGGCCCAAAGCCGAGACCCTGCCCACAACCCATGGTGGCCAGAGTCGTCAAACCAGGCGAAGTCAAGCTGGTGACGTTGAAGGGGGGGAAGGTGGTTCCACAGGAACCGACCGGGGGTGTGGCTGTCGCCGGGAAGGGCGTCAAGACCAAGCTGAGCCAGATGATGCGCTTGGGAAAGAAGGACTCCAAGGAGGCAAAGGAGTCGAAGGATACTGCGCAGCTAGAGCGCAACATGGCCAACATGGCCCTTTAGACAGGCGGAGAGAGAGCGTGGCGGAAACGAGACAACGAGATCACGAGCTGTACCTCTTACAGACAATGAAATGAACATTGAAGCCAGCGTGAGCCAAGATCTCAAAATGAAACGCACTTAAACTCCGCTGTCAACTCATCTTACTAGTCTCATTATCTTACAATGAACTGTAGGCACTCCCAAGCCTCCCAGCCCGAGATATCAGCGCCTCGCCTTCGACGACCTCCCTTTCATCAATATTTCTGGTAGCCTCTCGCATATCCGCTGTTCGCATATCCATATCCCGGATTCGGACTCCGCGTGCCACCCATCATCGGCGAGGGATGACCATAATTTTGGATGGTGGCTCCTGCATTTCCCATCATCGGACTCACAGGGCTCACATGGACGCTTGTCCCCATCATCTTCTGCTCGGCCCGCATTCTCGACATATCAGCCCGATATGCCATGACCTCGGCCGTGATCTTTTCATATTTGGCATCTTCGACGAGTTTCTCGTGCTTGCCGGCGCGGCGCTGGCGCATGCAGCAGAAGGCGAAGATGAGGATGCAGAGTGCGATAACACCACAGACGACGCCGATGATGATGTACTTGGTCTTCTGGGGCAGGCCATTCCACTTCTGCTCTATGGATTGGGTGCTGGATTGGCTGTTTTCGCCGTCGAGTTGGATTGGTTTCGTGTCACTAGTGGGAGTATTAGTCTCGGTTCCAGTATGAGAAGAGGGGAGATGTATACTTGAGAATCTTGATGCTCTGCCAGCTCCCGGAGGTGTCGCCATAGACGTACTGAGTACCTCTGCTGGCGTCTGAGACTCTGACAGACTTGACGGTCATGGTGAAGGGAACATTGTCGTAGTTGGTCTCTCCACCTGCCCATTCAATCGTCCCCTTTGGCATCTTAGGATCACCGCCAGCCCAAATACCGAGTCTGACGTCGCAAGGAGTCTGAGGGAATTTGAGACCGTTGTTGGCCTCATCGTATGTCAAAGTGCGAATGATGTTTCCATCGACGATCCAATCAAGCTTTTCCTTGGACCAGTCCAAGGTGTAGTTGTGCCACTCGTTTTGAGGATCATTGATGGGATACCAGATGGCGTTGCCGTAATCTGTCTGGTTGCCCTTGCTGAAGAAGTTGGTCTCGACATATGAGTTGTTTCCTCCGATAAATTCCCAATCCACCTCATCCAGATCCATCGACTGCAAAACCATCGAAGACACTATGCCTTGACCCTTGGCGGCCTTCATAATCACCTCGACTTGGCCAAAGAAAAGGTAGAAGTTTGTCTGCACCGTGGGAGACTGGCCGCGCTGGGCGATTGTGAACTCGGCGCCATCATTTCCATAATTGATACCGCCAGCTGTGATATTCCAGACCTTGTCTGACATGGTATATTGGGTGAAATCGATGGAGTAATTGGCGACACCTAGCGCGGTGTTGGGTGGACAATCCGTCCGCTCCAAAGGATTGCATGATGTGAAAGTCTGAGCAAGGGCGGTGGACAGGAGGGAGAGAAGGGCGAAAGAGGTCGCCCTGAGAGAAGACATGGCTGTAGACGGATTTCCTGCCTGTTGTTGGACGCTCTACACGACAAGGAGTAGATCAAATCAGAGACAGGTCTTGCTCAAGGTACTAAGAGGGGGTGACTCCGGGTCTTGCCAGTGGTGGGTGAGTGTTGCAGGGAATTTGATGAAGCTCGGACTTCGCGTGATTGTTTGCAAAGCACAATGTAGTGGTAAATGAGCGTGAGGTCGCGTCGCAGCACAGCGCGACGACGAGTTTGCAAAAGAGAGACGGAAGGACGAAAGGAGCGGCAACGGGCGACACGAAGGGTGCAGCTCGAGGAGAAGGAGAGGTTGAATGAGCGGACGCGGGAGAGGCGAGCAGGAGTTATTGCAGTCTATCAGACAGACGGAGGACCAAGAGGGCGCAGGCGTTGAAGATGAAACGCGTAGCTGAGCCAATCCGGGAAAAAGGGGCAACGCCCAGCAAACCAGGTCCGCGAGATGCGACATGCCAATGATAGAGCTCCATACCTAGGTACCTATCACTGACGAGGTACCTCTCACTTTACCCCTTCACCAGCTCCTCGCTCCTCGCTCCGTCCCATCCGCTGCATCTGCCGCCGTCCATCTCATCTCATGACGAGGTCCCTTTGAGCTTCATATTTCCTACCCACACCCGGACTACCTAAACGGTCATCCTTCTCTCGTCACCAACTGTGGTGGACACAATACTCCCTCGAACCAACTCCTTCCACTGCCGCTCGCAAACCAGACCCATCAAGAGGAAAAGAAAGTGGCATGCTGATCGTGGGGTGGATCGACAAGATGCAATTTTGCAAACGGCCCCAGCCGCCTATCACAATCCTGGTCTATCAGTGCCACCAGTGGCTGTGCATTTAACCAATGTCTGCCCTCGTCTGCGTCAAGCAGTCGCTGCCCACGCTAGCGATAAGATGCTACTTCTCAACGTCCAAGAGGTGGAAAAAGACAATCTCCTCCCTTGATGCAGAAAATGAGTTCTATTGCCCGTGCAGACGACCCCAGACCAACATTCAACCACAGCCTGCAGCATATCCTGAGCCGTAGGGAGTGTCAATCCACCGAGTGAGGTCCTCGGCACGCTCTGCCCGCTTTTCCTCTCCTGGTCCCGGCTTTCGGGTCGAACGGCGATCCTTCAAGGCAGACCGAAAAGAGATGCCCGAGTTTTGTCTCAAAGCAATATTCCGAAGCTGGTGCACTGCCATCTCTGCAACCCCAAGACTTTGCAAGAAGTCTGGGCTATGCACATGATCAATTTCTCGGCTTCTCGAGCCTCAGGACCGCTCTCGAACTTTTCAGCCCGTGAAAAAGCAGTATCCAGACATCCAGATCTTGTGATCCCGCAGGTGCAACCCTCGTCCTGGTCACAGCTGGAAAAGCCCCCTAGATTGCTTTCGAACTTGTTTCTGCCTTGGATGGACCAGCTGATCTATGGTAAAGATGTCAGTCAAATGCTTCTGGAGCTTCATCGCATCACTGCCAATTTGCATGTGGAAGTACAAGCTCCGTTGTTGCCGCAAATATTCAATGGATTGGGGACCCGAATGTAATGAAGTTGTTTTCTGGTCGCGTCCAGTCTTCAGCTGCAAGGAAAGGAGACGCCGAGAGGTTGTGAGCTGACTTTGACCGTTGAGACAGATTCCATCGACTATGCAGCTTTTTGATTCGACGGAGCTCCCCTCTTGTCACGCAGGCCGGCAGCCGGGCGCTGCTTCGTTGAGTCTTCGTGTCTGCCCTCATCGGGATGTGGATGTACAAGACAAGACCACTATAAACTATCTTTACCATTCGAGACCGAGTTCGTTGGGGATTTCTAAATCATCAAAGAGGTCAATATCTCACTCAACCTCGATCTCAGAATTCAACATCAGAAAATCCTCTGCTTCTTCCAACTGGCTCTTATCCTCTCGATCTCACTTAGCCATCTACCGTCAGGATTGTCCATTCTCGATTGTTGCTCGCACTGGCACTGGTAACTGCCGTGATCTCTGGCGCTTCGGTCCTGATGACACCCTCTGCAGGCTGTGGGCAGACACATACTGGAGTAGGCGCTCTCAAACACTCCAGCCTGACCAGCAGTGGTGTAAATGGGCAATTGTCTTTCTCCTCTTTTTGCCACAGTAATGACTATGACAATCACTGATCCAGAGGCTTCGCTGTTTACCTTCCCAGCAGCTATGACAAGACCATATCTAGCCCAATGCTTCTCATTCCACGGCAATGGTAAAGACATGGGTTATTAGGCAACCCTCCCAAGATTCACCGAATCTGGTATTAACAACGACACAATCGCGGTCTTTCCAAACAGTTTGCCTGCGGGTAATTCACCGAAGCGCTGCCGGCAAAGGGCACCATGCTGCACCACGGGCTTATCTGATAAGATGTTCGTCTCGGATCTGCTCAATTACATGCGCGACAACTATTGTGTGGACAATTTCAGGATTTACGCCACAGGAAAGTCGAGCGGTGGAGGATTGGTCGACGAGCTTGCCTGCTCTCCTGGCCATGGCGGAGATTTCACCGCTTTCGCCATGGGTGCTGCGGTGATATACACTGAAGCTGATGGCTCAGGCTGTACACCAGCCCGCTCGCCCATGCCCATCCTCGAGCTACACGGTACCAATGATAGCACGGCCAACTATAACGGCGATACCTCGCACGGGGCACCACTTCCCAGCATCCGCAGTGTGTTCAGAACTTGGGCGACTCGCAATGGATATGGTCCCTCCCCGGTCCCCGTAATCGATCAGCTGCAGAGCAACAAGGCCTATTACACACAATACGACTGCGGAGCGAAAGTCAGCGTGGTAGTGGGATACAACGTGACAGGTCAAGGCCACGACTGGATCAGCACTCAATACAAAGCTGACAACCAAGGAGAGCACTGCGCCAATTGATGCAAGCACGATTATGAAGGCTTTCTCCAGGGCCAAGTACAAACCTTAGAGACTAGCTGATTGCGGGGGGTATTACGACACAAATGGAGAAATTGCAGGCACCATTGATTTCAAGTCGGCAAGAAAGGATTTCGGAATTTCGTGCTTTGGTCACTGCTTCAACATTTTGAGTTCAATGCTCTAGTGCACAAATGTTAGGATGCCAGAAAACGGTGCAAGCGACCTACTGAAGCGGAAGCAGGAGGCGCGCATTGTGATGCCCGGAGCAGAATGTCCTCAATAGCCAAATCAAAGTGATTCGTCGGTGCGGCCCATTGGGGAAAGAGAGCTGGAAGGATGGGCCGATATCATTAGCTGGTATCATTACCGTATTCAGACCCTCGGCTTCGTCGGTGATGTCTATATACTAACCGCGGAGAACTGATTCGAAGTAGAAGAACGAGCACACACGCGGACACACAGATGACCTCGCGAGGACGCCGGTCAGTCCTGCGCAGCCAAAGCCGCCTCTCAGGGGGGTATTCTCAGTAGCCAGCTAGCAAGCTATGTAGTTCGAGTGGTATTCTGTAGACACTCCACGTTGCTATTGAGTTGGTTGGTTGGTAAGATTCATGAGAGATGATGTCAGGCCCCCGATCCATCGGGCCTTATTTTGTGGAGATCCCTACGGAGTGTTCGTGGGGTATATAACAGCCTCGTCTACCAGTACAAATCCATGATCTCTCTGCTGAGCCGCTAGAATTTCTCTCTCGGCTGCTTCTATTCTCAAGGATTTATGGATCGTCTCCAACGTCGTCCAAAGAGATTAGATAGATAGATAGTACCAAGTCGATTTTCCGCAATGGCAGCACCCACGAACCGCGCCGCCTGGCTCCGCGAACTGAACATGCCGCTCGAAGTCGGGCCCGCTGAGATGGGCAAGCCGGGACCCAACGAAGTTCTCATCAAGAACCGCGCCGTCGCCATGAACCCTGTCGACTGGATGATGCAATACGGCACTTTCCCGGCCGGCCCGCTGCCGAGGATCCTGGGCAACGATGTCGCCGGCGACATTGTCGAGGTCGGCGAGGGCGTCACGCAGTTCGCCAAAGGTCAGAGGGTGCTCGCCCACTGCATTGGTCTGGCTACCAACGAGTCCAAGTATGGCGCGTTTCAGGAGTACGCGGTGGTCCCGACTGTAGGGTGCTGCGTGATTCCGGACGGGATGAAATACGAAGACGCGTGTGTACTTCCCCTGGCCATCTCGACGGCCAGCATAGGGCTCTTTCACGAGGAGAGGATGGGTCTCACGACTCCCATGGACCCCATGGAGAAGAGCCAGCCTGAAGAGGCTATCCTCGTCTGGGGAGGCAGTTCTAGCGTCGGAAGCGCCGCGATACAGCTGGCTGTCGCCACCAAATATAGAGTCGTAACGACAGCCTCTCCGCGAAACTTTGACCTGTGCAGAAAGCTGGGCGCGAGTGAGGTTTTTGATCACACTAGCCCTGGGATCGTCGGGGACTTGACGGCGGGATTACAGAAATGGGCCTGTCGGGGAGCTTTTGATGGTAAGTCTGATACTATCGTCGTGCATATTGGACCGACGAGGCACTAATTGGAGTCGTTTTGTGTAGCTATTGCGACGAGAGATACGCAGTTGAATGCGGCGCAGGTACTGGCTGAGCTTGGGGGAGGGGGGATGGCGGTTGTGCTGGCCCCTATCAAGGAACTGCCAGCAACCGTGGAAGCCAGAGGCAGTAAGTTCCACAGCACCTGTGTACCGTTTTCCAATACTAAGAGATTTGTCAGTCTACGCCGTGTCTATCCTCCAGCAAGACGAGGCCCTTGGGAAAGCAATATACCGAGACTTCCTGCCGCGGGCGCTCGAACAAGGGCTGATCAAGCCGGCCCCGCCATCGGATGTCGTCGAGCACGGCGTCGAGCATATTCAGGTAGCTGTTGATAAGTTGCGGGCTGGAGTGTCCGGGTCGAAGGTGGTGGTGACGCTTTAGGGTGCTTTCCAGCGGGGCGAAAAGGGGAGGGGGGAGGGGGAAGAACGGGGAGCATTGAATGTTCATGTTTTGCAGCTTGTCGACAGCTATTCTTAACAGAATGAGTGAGTGTTTGTAGCAAAGGGTGAATGAACGCGTGGAAAGTTCACCAGCAACGTTCTTCGAGTGTTCAATCAGGCCGATCAGGCAATCTTCGAGTGTTGGTTGAATTAGTGTAACTCAATGGAGGACATGGTGGATTCTACAGGCCATCGGGAACCTACCTGACTATATACCCAGTACTGTCTGGTAAATCATATAGGGCTTGATAGGGGCAGACAGGGGCTATCGATGCTCGTCGAAGGCCTTCAGTCGAAGACGAGCGTGACGGTCTTTACATGTCTTGGCAGTCTGTGGATCACATTACAAAATCGGAAATTCCCGCATTTTTGTTGAGGGCACCGAAACGGCAGAGGGCGAGGAGGGGACGGTCAGACACAGTGTCAGACACGCCGTATTTTTTTGGTGATGGGCTTGTAATGGAACAAAACACAGTGGAGGCAAGCGAGAGGCAGGGCGTGAAGGAGTTAAATGACGACCGTGTCAGCATGGAAACTAAGCATGCCATGCAACGGCACTGCCAGCAAAAAGGCAACCAGCCGCTTGAGGCTTCAAAGCTCCACGGGCTCGCAGGGGTGCATCGTAAATTGCGGCAAGGCGGATGCCGTCAGGCGGCTCCACAAATTGCTATTGTCAACCAAGCACACCAACACTGCTGCCAACGCGGCCGGCTCAAGAACATCAGCAGCGCATCTCCATTGCTTCAATGGGTGTTTTCATACCATGATACATGATTTCCGACATCACAACATGATAATGTTGCCAGGACCCCCAGAAATCAATGTCAACACCGCCACCATCAAGACGACAGCACGCAGACCACAATCAACCATCAACACCATGAATTTTGGGAAGATGAGCCATTTTCGCGATCAGGCGGGGCACACCGAATCTCATGCGGGGTAATAATTCGACAACTGAGAGAGAGGGAGAGAGAGGGCGAGAGAGGGAGAGAGAGAGAGAGAGAGAGAGAGAGAGAGAAAAGAAGAAAGGGTCGACATCAAAATGGTGGTTATGTAAAAGAAATTCACCGTCCACCACCAGCATCTACGCAGAGGCCGTAAATGCAGAGCAAAATCAACACCCGGTGCCCAAACCATCGATTACGGACATGATGCCGTCGACCTTGGTGATAAGATGATTGAGGTGTCTTCGATCAGCTCGATTCGGATGCCATGGATCGCTCTGAGGCGGAGAGTTTTGAAAGCGAAGAAGTTGGCTTGACGCGGTCCCCGGGGCCGAATCTAAGAGGATTCAGAATTTGACCCAGCTGAGCAAGCTGCACTTGGAACACACCTATGCCGCCCACGGCAACTGCACCAGAATCACCAAATCCTGTGCTCGAGACGGCCATGCTCTTGTGGGTGCTCCTATCATTTGCAAGATGTGTGTTGGGTCCTGACGACATGACGAAAGAACAGGAGAAGAGAGGAGTGGGAACGATTCTCCAAAGATCTGGAAATGTTCCAAAGAGAAATGTAAAGGACGAGGCACTGGAGTGCTGCTGGAAGAAAGTGAAAAGAGACCAGAGTTCGAGGATGCGGGAGACTCTCGACTGTTGTACCTCCGGCTCCTCCAATACTCGACAACCAATCCTTCAGGGTGTCAGGTATCACGACCACCACCGCCCACCTTAGTCACGGAAACCAGTTTGAATGGATCCATCATGCAGAGTAATAAGGAGGCTTGCCACGCGCCCTGCTTCGGGAGACGGACTACACCTACAACAGAGAACGGTGAGGGAGCAGCCAGGGATCCCGATCAGGGACCAGTCAGAAGCAGAGTGAGAAGCAGCCACAAGAAGCCCCCTCGGGTCGATCACGTTTGTTGCTTGCTTGAGGCCTTCAAGAAGACTGGGGACAATATACCTGCCTGGAAGTTGTTAGGTGCAACAACAATGGTCCAGCTTCAAGTGCCGGTTGGACCACTTCTCATGGATGCAGGAGCTCCGGCAACAAGAAGCCACAAACCGCCGAAACTGAGGGTCCAGCATGGCAAGGGCTTTGGCGTCCTTCGCTCCATTTGACCAACAGCGGCACCACTTGCTTCCGCTTATTCTCAGATCGGTATGGACGCGGTCCTCACAGGGCAAGTGGGCAAGGGCCTGAACCAATTGGATTGTCGTGAGGCTCTTTCGCTCTAAGGTTAGTAAACCGAAAGTGACAGTGCTGCTCTTTCGTTAACTTGCCATTGAATCCAAATACTATTGTTTAGTAGTAAAGTGCCTTGGTTGGCTGGTGGGGAGATCCACGAGGAGGGATTCCTTGAAATCGTAACGCTGCGGGAACAAGCAGAGCCCGGGATCGTGGTGATGTTCCGACCGCACCTCAGCCAAGTGAAAATGGATATCGATTTGCATGTTGTGTGGTAGTCGCCCGGGGGGAGAGACGGGATAGTTATCTCTCATGATCGTGACGACGATGACTGGTGGCTGGACAGGAGATGGAGAGGGGAATGAAGATACGCCTTGACGACAGTTCACGCGACCGACATGGCAGTGGAAGGAAGTACATCTAGTATAAAGAATGGGAATGGCACTTAGACAGGCTAATGTTCTGATCGGCACAGTTCCATCTCATCCTGGCGACTTTTACCACGAGACAAAAGCGCGTCAACTGTGTAACAAGATGTCGGTACCCATCGGCTTACTGCTGGCAATGCTCTCGCCACGGGTAATGTCTGTCAATAGACCTCTAGCGAAAATTGGCACTCTAGGGAGGCATGTGCTCTTCTCCATGCGAGGCTCAATTGAAAATGCTGTTGGACCAGCAACTTACAATAACTGCATGGGCTATTTATCCAGTCTATTCGTGTTCTCTCGGAGAATGTCCCTTCCCATTTATATGTAGATTGGCCTATGCCCAGAGGGTTCCCCTGAACCCTGCCAACAATTCCAGAATGTTGCGTCGTCTACAAACGATGCCTTTCGGGAACGACAAGAGATCATTGTGTTAAGATCAGCCTTCCCATAATAGGACTAACAGGAGGATCTTCAACAACAGGTCTGTTACAGAAAAATAACATCAGAACTCGAAGGGAAACCTTGAGAAGTATTTCATCCCTCCATGAGAATACTCCAAAGAAACAATACCCTTCGGGGGCGCCGTTGAGAGCTCCACCGTGGCACATCACGAGGAGAGACAGGATACGGGATAACCTTGGTGAGACCTGCATGTTGCACGCTCTGGTGAACTAACCCGTCGCCATAGGGGCTTTATCTGGCGCATGGCTCGGAAGCTTCTCCATGGGAATGGCCAAGGAACACAAAAATGCGACGCCGGAGAAGGCAACTGCGACGGCGAAAGCTGCCTTGAGACCGACCATGTACGCCTTTAGGACTCCGGGAAGCACGTCCGGTGAGAAGAGGTTATGCAGCTCTGAGGCGCCTGTCAAAAGCACCAGGCGTGGGTTCACTCCTGGGGCTGTTTTGGGCAGAGTGGCAAGGAGTCTGTTGACGAAGGCTGACTGGCCTGCCGAAGTGCTGAACGCACCCCCAACCGTCTGGAAGACTGTTCGAAATGTCGGTTAGCTTTGCTTGACCTATGCCCCAGAGGCAAGGGAAGAGGGGAGATGGGTACATACACAAAAGGTTGGCCGTGACGGCTGCAAGGTCTTCGGGACCCACGTTGGCTTGAGCAATAGTCAAACCATGCATGATGGCAAAGGCCATGGCAGCTCCGACGAAGAGCTGATAGCCAACCCACTTCCCAGTCGAGGTGCCAATGTCGAGCGTGTAAATCAGCCCTATGGCAACGGTGGAGAGCATTGAGCCAACAAATATGACCTGCTGTGCACGACCCGTCTTCATAACGACAGCTCCGCCGGCAAGGGCGAAAACCGCCGCCGCGAGCACGAGAGGCAGGTTGTTGACGCCGGATTTGATAGGGCTCGCACCGAGAATACTCTGGAAGTAGATGGGGAGGTAGTACAGGAGAATAATGTAGCTTCCCATGAAGAAGAACTGGTAAGGGGCCGTGGTCGAGAGTGAGCGCTGTTTGTAGAGTCTCGGCAGCATCATGGCATAGTCACCCAACCAAATCTCCCACCCCACCAGAACAATCGCAAGGAGTCCAAAGCCAACGAAGAGACCGATGACGATGCTGCTATCCCAGGGATGGGTGTTTCCTCCGTACTGAAGGGCGAGGATGAAGCAGGTGATGCCTCCCATGGCTAAAGCGACCCCAACCGGGTCCATATGCAACAGGCGCTTCGTCCAAGAGACCTGAGGAGGCGCTGCAGCAGTTGGAAGGTGGAAAAAGAAGAAGACAGCGACAGCGGCAAGTCCCCCAATCGGTAGGTTGATGTAAAAGCACCATCGCCAAGTGACGTGGTCGGAAAATATGCCACCAATAAGCGGTCCCAGGACAGCAGCAATCGCATATGTCATTCCGATGATGCCCATCATCATCGGTCGCTTTGCCGGCGGCACAGTGAAGGAAACGATACTGGTGCCACCTACCGACAGGCCGGCACCGCCCAATCCAGCAATGGCCCGTCCGACGACCAATGCCTTGGAGCTAGGCGCAACTCCACATATCAAACTACCAACCTCGAAGATGAGCATGGAGACCAGGAAGCTCCACTTCAGGTTGAAGTACTTGTATATCTTGCCCGCCGAGGTCTGAGCAGCGCCGAAAGTCATGAAGTAGGCGGCGGCATACCATGATACGTCCCTGAGGCCGTGGAACTCGTCCGTTATCTTTGGAATTGCTGTGCCGACGATAGTCTATACGCCGTTAGTGTCAGATGTGTTGTTGACAGTGTCTCAATATAAGTGGGTAGATTGCTCACCTGGTCCAGTGCAATAAGAAAGACAGCAATAACAGACGCCCCTCCGACGAGTACCAGTTTCAGTCCATGCGGATAGTGGTCGTCAAATATGCTCTGAACGGACTTTTCCCGGTGTGCGCTGCGGCCGTCGCTAGCATGGTTCACATCGGAGGTGTCCAAGGTTGAAGGTGTGGGCGATTCGGTTCCTCCAACAGCGACTATAGCTTTGTCGTTTGGCATAGCCATCGTGTTCGAAGGCAGGACAAAGGTGAAAATGAAGTTCAATGGTCAAGGGAGCCGATGGGATTTTTTTAAATGTTGAAGCGAGAAGCTGCCTCCTCAAAAACGCCCGGGACTGTCTCAACTGTCCTCGCTTGTGTGCTGGTTGAGACAAGACAGGATCCAAGTTGAACACAGGGAAAGCAGCGTCAAGTCGTCCGTCCTTAAGAGTCACCGCAGACACGGAGACGGCGTAAATGGCCATCCGGTATCTATTTGGCCGACGAAAGGGATTGCTCCTGTAAGTGCTCCTTTAGAGAAGGTCCCGCTGCTGGACCCGGGAAAGGTGACCCGTTCATCTTCGGCCGAGCTAGAGCCGTCTTTCAAATAACAGCGAAGACGCGATGTGCCTGCGATACCAATTGGGTATTTCCGCTCCGCTCGGTTCCTCTGGTGCCAAGCCACGAGAAGATCGGCGCTAGTCCTGCACGGAGCTTTTTCCTGCATTTTGATTGGCAGGGCGCAGACGAGGCCTCCTTCTGGCCGGCCCATGCCAGCCCCTACCAGTCCCTGCCGACTCGCTGAGTCTCATCTGCATATTTAATATCGTCGGTCTTCCCACCCCCTTCTTTCCACTTCATCAAATGAAGCCAAAGGAAAAAGTTCCACGCAGTCGCTTTACGATGCTCCGTCATGCCCACCACGATGGCACTCCCACCATTGGTTCCTCGGCCGAGGTGGCCAGCCGCGCATGCTGTTCCGGCGCCACAGCTATTGCCGACGCACAAGGAGTGGGCGGCTCTGTACTCCGAGATTGAACGACTATACATCCGGGAGCGTCGGAAGCTGCGGTATATCATGCAATACATGGAGAGGGAGCACGCTTTCAAGGCGACGTAAGATTCACCTACCTTCACCCTCACTGCCTCGAGTCTTTTGCGCCTTTAGCCACGTGGAGCAGGGCCTTTTCGAGGGTGGACTGACTTTGATGGCGTTTGGGTGTAGGGAGCAGATGTACAAGAAGCGCTTCGCCAAGTGGGGGTTCCAGAAGAATTCTAGACGCTCGTCTGCTGCTGTGCCGACTTTGATGAAGGATGAAAGCAAGAAAGGGCCGAGCAGACAGCTTGACCCACGGGGAGAGCGCGGCTCGGTGCCTCCATTCCCCGGATTCGCCCACGACGAGGGCCTGATACTCATGTTTCTGACCAGTGTGCGGATATGCAGCATGGCATTCTTCGAGCATATCCAGTCCAATCACGGGATCCTCGCGTCTCAGCGGCAGCCCCAGACAAATCAGCCATGGCCTGAGCAAACCGACAAGATTAGCTTCACGTTCAAGTTAGTGATGGACCTGTTGGACCAAGGCCATGGCAATTTGGCTGGCAGGATGGCTCGAAAGGGATTCCTGCTGATTGAAGATATGTTGTCGCTCGAAGGGCCGGCGCTGGTGTGGAACCTGCTCGAAATGATGCACCACATGGTGGCGCTGCGTCATCCGCAACTCTTCCAGATGTTTCTGGCCCATCTCACTGCACTGATTGACGGCCGGATGCCGAAGTCTCATCCCATCTCTGCCATGCTGCGCGGGCTGCGAGGACTCGTGGCGAGTCTAAGAAGTGCAGTGTCCACCCCCAGGAACTCTGTATCAACTTTGTCGTGGTCGTCGTCGGGTACACCCTCTCCCTCGATCGGCGGTAATGAGACAACAACAGCCGCCGGCCCGTGGCTCCTCTCTTACTCTCTTGCACCTCTATTAGAGCGAGGATGGACCCTCAACGCGGAGATCGTCTTTGACCGCTTCGACCCTCGCCTATTCTCGCTCTATTGTCACATGCACTGCAACGCGTGTTCGATCGCCCCTCCTATGGCCATCGTCAACACAGCGAACGAATGGGTTAGCAACCTCGATACGCAGCAGGCCTCCCGCCTCGCAATGGAGGCCCACCAAGCTGAAGGCCTTCTTGACATCACTTCTCTCGCGACGGACAGGTTGCTCCAGCGCCTGCTGGCTCCACGCGTGGACGCCTCGCCGCCTCGGGACTACGAGATGCTCCGCGCGAGCAGCGATGTCGCGCTTCGGGAATATCTGAACTCTATCCTCACTAAGGGGCCCGGTTTTAACGGTGACACCACCATGTTGCTGCGCATCCTGGCCGTTCTGGTGACAACCACAATTCTTGAAGAATGGCACGCCGTCGCAAAACCGTCGAGTACAGCTGGTAGTGTGACGACGAGCATTTCGCGTGTTCAAGCGGCGAAGGTCGCTTGTGCGATGAGGACGTTAATGGACATCAAACCGGAGCACCGGGGCGATGGACCTGTGTCACATTTGGAAACAGTCGAGCGGATTCGATCTATTGTGGCTCTCCGTGAATACGCCCACGCCGAAACAGATCCAGAGGTTGTGAGGGAGATGTGGCTGCTGGTGGATGCGCTCGTTGCAGCCGGCGCGTATGAAGAGGCACAAGAAATAAGGCAAACTGCGGTTCGTCGGCTAGAGAAGTACGTCCAGGATATTCCTCTCAATTCTGCATAAGTATTCAGCGATAGCAAGTACATAAGCAGTAGTGGTAGCAACCAGCACGAATAGTGCAAAGAGGCGAGGAGGTCTTGGCGTCTGAAGCTAGGCGATAAGGTATAGTCTTAGTCATCAAGGCCCCCACCTGCCACTATACCCAAAGCGGCAGAGCTGCCAACACAACTTTGCTTGTCAATCACATGACGAGGGCCTGTCGGCTAAATGTCGGCGGTTGCTTTATCTGGCTCGCTGGCTCGCTGGGATATTATGTCACAGTCCTGCGGACAAAGACGCAGGTCTGATATCAGACGGTTGTCACTGCAACTCTGACAGGCCTTGTGCTACGGCTGTTCTGCTTTGTAGGCGGCAGCATATTACAAGTCTGCAGGCAGACTTGCACAACTTCTCCATCTCTCATATGTGATCTCGGTTGAGTTGGTCTCGTGCTTGTCAAGATGGCACAACCCAAGCTGCCCGAAGGCGTCTTCTCCTTCCTCGATACTGACCTTTACAAGTTGACGATGCAGTGTGCGATCCTGAATTATTTCCCTTCGGTCGATGTTGAATATAAGTTCACCAATCGCACCCCGCAGATGCGATTGGACCAAGAAGCCTGCGAATGGTTGAAAGGACAGATTGCGAAGTTAGGGAATGTCACACTTGAACAGCAAGAGTTGCAATATCTGAGGAAGCATTGCCCCTACCTGACCTCCGACTACCTTGACTACCTACAAAAGTTTCGACTCCGACCCGCTGAGCAAGTGCACCTGGAGTTCAAACCGGTTGATGGAGCATACGGAGATCTTCATATCACGGTCACTGGCCTCTGGGTCGAGACAATCCTCTACGAAATCCCCCTCCTCGCCTTGACGAGCGAAGCATATTTCAAGTTCGTTGACAAGGACTGGGATTACGAAGGGCAAGAGGAGCAGGCATATGAGAAGGGAATGCGGTTATTCAGCGCAGGCTGCGTTGTTTCCGAATTCGGCTCTCGAAGAAGGCGCGACTTTCATACTCAAGACCTCGTGATCAAAGGCCTAGTAAGCGCATCAAACGAGAAAGACTTGCCGGGGAAGCTATCGGGTACAAGCAATGTATATTTTGCGATGAAGTATAGCATCCCACCCATTGGGACGGTAGCCCACGAATGGTACATGGGGATTGCCGCGCTTACCGATGATTATGAACATGCCAATGAGAATGGCCTCAGATACTGGCTTGACTGCTTCGGAAAAGGCGTTCTGGGCATTGCACTGACAGATACATTCGGCACAGCGGACTTCTTCAGGGCCTTCAGGAAACAGGTACCTGCCAAGACCTCAGCCTCGCGAGACGAATCTACCGAGTATATCAACGAAAGCAAGCCGACAGGTGGGCAGCCTTCGTACGCTGAGGTTTATGCAGGCATCAGGCAAGACTCTGGGGATCCCAAAGAATACATCAAAGGCGCCGATAGCTTCTACAACTCTATAGGGGTGAGCAAAAAGAGTATTGTGTTCTCAGACGCCCTCAATGTGGAAAAATGCCTGGAGTACAGGGAAATGGCCGAAGCCTACGGATTCAAGCCTTCATTTGGGGTTGGCACATTCTTCACGAACGACTTCAGGCACAAATCAGACCCTCAAGCCAAATCCAAACCGCTCAACATCGTCATCAAATTGTCGAAAGCGGGTGGAAGACCGGCAATCAAGTTATCCGACAATATCGGCAAGAACACAGGCGATGAGCGCACAGTCCAAGATGTCAAACGTCGTCTTGGTTACACGGAGAAGGAATGGAGGGAGGGTGATGAATCAAGGCGATGGTGAGGGATCGGGCAGCCAATACTCGTGGCATTAACGTCGCAGCCTTGCGCCCCTGGAGGGCCTGGTGGATCAGATGGAGCGAGGCTCTAGCACCGTTGTGGGGGTTGTGGCGGAGAGCTTGTCACTGACGGGTCATTATTGGTGCCGCCAACATCCCTTTCCGAGAAGTCTGTTTTCGCTCCAGGCAGATGGAATTCAAAGGTCGGTGCCTATATCACGCCACAGCAGACTACTGGAGGGGTGATGTGAGATTTTCTCCGCTCGTAGATAGTGGCAGCGGCAAAAAAAGAAGAAGAAAAAAAAGCCATCCCTCAATGGCGACGATCATAATCACCACAATTCTACCGAGTATAGCATTGACCGACATGGGCAAGAATTCAGGCAATTGCTGAAACGATATCTGCTGTGACAGTCCCCACGCCAGTGGCCCATCTCTTCGCTGGGGCGTATTAATTGGCAACACTGGTGAAGTAGGAAAGCGTTCCCCATGCTAAAGTAAGATTGGGAGTGGTTTGATTGGATGCGAGGTGTGGTGCAGGCTTCTAGCGAGGCAATGGTTTGTCAGAGTCGTTGCAAGGCCCTGGCTGGTTCTGGAGCATCCATCAAATTATCTCATCCGGACGAGGTCGGAAAAGGCAAGGCAGAACGGGGCAAGCGCTGACTTGCGTTTGAGAGGACCCAGTGATGATCATGCTGTCGACAATGAACGTTGTCTATGAGGGAGTCTTGTATGGACTGGGGAGTAGTTGCTGTGGCACAGCCGCAATCTTGCGCAGTCATGCAGTCCAGTTCGCACATTTTCTTCCCCACCGCGCAGCTAAGGCCGCTAGACCCCGAGGCTGGTGGGCGGCGAGGACCCCCCCCCTCTTTAGGCATGAGGCGTGGCAAGCGTGCCCAGACTTTTTTGGGTCCAAGCCTGGACGCAGCTGCTTCTAGGGTCAGTGGACCAGTACCAGTAGGGGTTTGTAGGGTCCGAGGAGCCTTCTAGGCTCCCCTATGGAATAAGAACTGCACACCCAAGGTCACAATCCCCTTTCGCTCCCTCCCGCGGCGCTTCTTCCCTCTCAACTCCGTCCCGAGCTGATCAGATTCCTCGTACTGTAATAGCTGGGATCACTCAGCCCGCCATCTTTCGCAACACCCCAAGTTCCTTTCTTCTTTCAGATTTTCTATTCAGCCGCTGCTGATTCCGCTCCCATCTTAGATCTTCATCCTCCTCCTTTTATTCCTTCTTGTCCAATTTTCTTCGACCCTGTATCGCGTACACGAGTCAACTGCGCGTAAACCTCCTGTCTTTCTAGCTTCGTACACCCTTTCCTGCGCCCACGGGAACCATCAATTGAACCTTCTTCATCACCTATACGCCTTTTAATATCCGCCTGATTTTACTGTCATCATGAGTGTATGTTGTCACCATCCCGATAGAACTGACATTGGGTCGCCTTACCCTGTTCTCAAGTCCTGAGGCGCAGTCACTGAATCCCACCGTTGTTGTACGCACTCCTTTCCAAGAACTGTTGCTGACATTCACCTCAGTCTAACCAGGGCTACGGAACCTACAATCCCTACGGACAAGCGGCAAATCCTTACGCTCAGGGGGGCTATGAAAATGAAGGATACAGCAATCAGGGAAACTACAGTGACCGTCCGGAGCCGCAACAACAAGGGAGCAGCTATTATGCTCAAGGGGAACAGCAGCAAGGCGGTTATGGTACACCAGTCTCGACAATTCTTTGATTATAAGACTGCTGGCTAATCCGTCCTATCCAGAAATGAGAAACATGAACGGCGCCGACCCCAACCGAATCCTCAATGAATGTCGGGCCGTCGACCAGGCCATCGATGAAATCGAGGCAGATCTACAGCGTCTTAAGGGCCTTCAATCACGATACCTGGCCGACACGAACACCTCGGCCCAGTCGCCATTGCGCATGGAGGTCGACCGCACAGGAGAAACAATCATGACAAAATACCGCGGTCTCGTTAGCCGCGTCAAGGGCATCAAGCAACAACCGGAATCCGGAAACCCGCGCAATGCTCCCCAAGTTGGCAAGATTGACCGAAGACTGAAGACGGCAATCAATCAGTATCAACAAGTCGAACGGGAGTTCCGAAAAGCGTCCCAAGAACAGATGGCCAGACAATACCGAATCGTCCGCCCCGACGCGTCAGACGCAGAAGTGCGCGAAGCTGTGGAAGATCCTAATAACCAACAAATCTTCTCTTCTGCATTGATCCAGAGCGACAGGCGTGGTGAAGCACAGACCGTGGCGCGAAATGTTTCTCAGCGTCACGAAGATATCCAGAAGATTGAACGACAGATGATTGAGCTTGCTCAGCTCTTCCAAGACCTCGAGGCATTGGTGGTCCAGCAAGAACCTGCAGTCACCCAGATCGAGGAGCAAGGCGAGCAGGTCGCAGAACACGTAGCTAAGGCAAATGTTGAGCTTGAGGGTGCAGTCGTCAAGGCCCGAGCTGCCCGTCGCAAGAAGTGGATATGCTTAGGCATTGTTGGTGAGTGTTCGTCGAATTCCGCAAGCGTGGACGTGCTAACACTTATCTAGTCCTCATTATCATCATTATTGCCGTGGTCGTGGCGGTGGCTGTTACGGTTACGAATAATCATTAGTATTTCAGCACCAACAGTCATGCACCATCTTGAATCACAAACCCATGTTCAGTCGTTTTGCGGAAATCGTGACATACTGGGAACTGGTGGTTCCACAACACGGTTTGAGTCTCGCAAGTTGATATTTTACTTGATGTCCATGGAAAATGGACGGCATCTATCGTTGGTGAAGCAGACCACAATGTGTCCTGGTTCGTTTTTGTTTGTTTTTGGATCACCGGAGAGTCAACAAGACTCGTGTTCGTGTGGAACATCGGAGCGCGAGCGCGATAGAGCAGGCAGGGGGAAGTGGCCAGGAGGGTTTTCAGAATCTCATATGTTTTAGCAGAAAAAGCCGGCGCAAAAATGCTCATTTGTCTGTTTTCGATCCCCTCTGTCAGTGTAGGGGATCTCTGGCTGGTCGGTTGGGTGTCATTGTACAGCATCAAAACGCCCATTAGATACACACACACTACCCGCTAATAATCCCTTTTCGAGCTCTTTTCGATGGAGTTGTGATGCATTCCGTCTTCCACAACGGCGTAGCAGCAGCAGGAGCAGAGTAGGTTGCCTGCTCGTCCGATGGCTTATTAGTTTCCAGTCCGCTTGAGGAGCTGAGGGCTTTATTATATGTTTACATTAAGCGAATGTGCTTGTTCCAAAAAGAGCAAGAGGCAGTGAACAAGCGATATGAGTTATGGACAATGGCTATAGTCCTCTATAAAAACACACTTAGTTCGCCGAATATTGCCTCAACACGCTTGACTTTTGTTACGCGGAGCCTTCAATCGCTCTTGGAGAGATGATTGGGCAAAAAGGGAAAGGGAAAGGAAGAGGAAAATATCTTGATACGAACGAGCGCGATGGGTGCGTAGATTTTGGCTGTCGAGGGGAGTGGACTCTGTTTGAAAGGAAGGGGTTCAGTTCACGAATAGATAACGACCCTGTCCAGAATAAGTTCGAATAAGCTCTAAATTCTGGCACGCAAGCGTCGTCGCTCTCCTGTCCTTGCCCCCGGCCAAAACTCCCCAGTCGCCGTACGCTTTGCCATCTCCTCTCAACCCCGTGTCGCAGCCCGAGTTGAACATTTACACCGCGCCTCGAGCTCCATTCTGCCTTGCGAGCTCCCTCTCTACCTCCTGCGGCGTCTTGGTCCGAAGTTGTAGAGCGTGGATTCCGCCAGGTCGATCGAGTTCCTCTTTCAGCAGCGAGTAGATCATCCTGTGCCGTGCGGGTTGGGGTTTCGATTGGAATGAAGGCGATGTAATGTCAAGACTGGCCATGTGTCAGGATGGAAGAACGACGACGACTTGGGGAGAAGCTATAACGGATATCGAGTAGGAAACACCGGAAAGAACAGGAGGGGCCAAAGATTGATGAATATTTTCAAGGTGAAGTTATGAGCCTGGAGCGGTTGAGGACAAGACTGGGAATGGCCATACAAGGCTACTTGGATATGCATTCTGAAATCGTCGGATGTGGCCGTGACGCTTGAGAAGTCCGCATTGAGGCTGGGACCGGGCAGAGTGACCGCGGAGACGTCGGAAGGCGAATAGAGTGACTTACAAGAAATGTGTTTCTTTCGAAGTCGAGCTTGCCATGGCCTTGTGGTGGGCATGGAGATGTGAGTCGTTCCGAATCGTGAGGTTGGTGGGGTTTAATGCCTCGGTGACCTATCCTGCAAGTTAGGCCGTGTATGAGAGGGCCCGTTGAGGATGTGAGAGAAAGAGACTTGATGGATTTGGGCCTTTCAAGAAACATCGAAGTGTTCTCCTTGGCTTTGCATGACTGACGCGAGGCTGGATCACAACTCACCTTTCTCCGAATCGTGTCCTCCACGGGCGTGCTGGAACTACTCGCCATCCTGATTGTCGATACTACACGACAAAGTGACGCGCCAGCAATCACATATCGCCTCATTTGGCTGTGGCGTGGACGCGTTCCCAGAGACTGATGTTGGCCGAGGGCAGAAATTGACGCAGCCATCAGATTAGGTGCTTGGGATTGGAGGGTCGAGGTGTCGGGTTCGGAGGAGTGTTGGGCAAGCTGTGGAATTTCCTACGTCGGAGCAGCATGACATCTTGAGCCTCTTGAGCCTCTTGAGCCTCTTGGCCTCCCAAGGCCTCCTTGGGCCTCCTGTGGGTCTTCCCATCTCGCCATTATGATTTCCCGCTCGCCGCTTTACGCACCCTCGGCTCACCTGCATCTTGCTGATGGCTCCTAGTCCCTTACCGTAGTCTGCCAGAGCTTTTTAGTCTTCCTTCTTCCTCTTTATCCGTAACACAAACTTTGGTCATCTTTAGACGATGAGACCTGTTTAAGATACTAGGGGATCCGAACTCGGGACCCCGCCGACGTACTCGAACTACTCAGTTGGGCTCCTTCTATAACACTCTTCTACGAGGTGATCATGGACTTTCCCCCTTTTGTCTGAACGCGGCATGGCCTCCTTCACGGACTTCCTCCAAATGGGATGCTTGACAGATGTTCCCCCGGAGTGCACGTGAGAATGGCCAAATCTCCCTGCTGTTGCTCCCTGGCGGGCTACGAGAACCCTCCGTCGATGTTGATGACCTGGAAGTTTGAGCAACCTCGCTTCACGGACTTACCGCTCCGGTTATGTAGCTGGCCTCTTTACTCAACAGAAAGACGATGACTCTCGCGACTTCTTCTGGCTCGGCCAGTCGCTTCAAGGCAGTCCTAAAACCCAGTGAGTCGTATAGCTCGCTATCGGTGGCCGCGCCTTGGATCATGGGCGTTCGGATGACGCCTCTGCTCTCTCGTCAGTGAATGGCACACAATATCCAACGAACGCTGCTTACGGGGCTACGGCGTTGATGCGGATTCCACGAATCCCAGACTCCTGGGCCGCGACCTGGGTCAGGCCCAAGACCGCCCACTTGTTGGCGCAATAGGGAGCCATAAAGGGCAACCCCGGCTGTCCTGCAACGCTCCCGGCATTGACCACTGTGCCGCCGTCCTTCATATGACGCAGTTCGGCATGCATCGAGTTCTTGATGCCGTTCAAATTGACTCCCAAGATCTGATCCCATTCACCATCGGGCACGCGGTCAACCGCGTGACCTTGGCCCTTGATACCTTGGCTACCCAAAATGCCCGCCATGTTTGCCGCCCCATCAATGCCCCCAAAATGCTGCACGACGTTCTCCATGACCGCTTCGAGAGCATCTCCGTCCTGGACATCACACGAGGAGGCGAGGGCTTTTCCGCCAAGCTTTTCCACCTCGTCCAAGACTTGCTGAGGCTTGTGGAGGTCGACGAGGGCGACGTTGGCTCCTTGCAGTCCCAGCAGCATGGACGTGGCTCGTCCTATGCCTGAGGCTGCCCCAGTGACCACGTAGACATTCCCCTTTAGATCTGGATACGACGTGACCGACTCAGCAACGACACTCTCTACTCAAATTCAGAGAAGCACTTGCGTCAAGAGCATTCTTAAACATACTGACTCTGTCCACCGTTTCCGGGGTTTGCCGGATATTGGTATCAGTGCAAGCTCTGGAGGGATTAGCACAGAATTCTATGGTCCTATTTTCCCGTTGCTGCAGGATAACGATCGGAGGATGCCTCCGAACCACACTCAAAGGACCCAAATATGACCATTGAAGCATTGACGACTTGTCATACCGAGTTCGCAACACCGTCATAGTAGTCTATCCTCACGCTCGATGAGAATGAAAGCCTATGACCATGTTCATCCGCACCGCTGTGGGCCGGCCTGGCTCCGAGTCTCCGAAGACGGGGTTATAGTCCGTTGGCCCATGTATTGGACTCCGACCGACCCGGAAGTAGGCTGCTCCCAAAGAACCGCACTGGAAACAAGGCTCCCCGAGCATCTTGTTCGCCTCAGTCACAACCCTTCGGTGCGGCCTAACAGGTACTCGGTGACGAAGAACTGATATACAGTGCATCTATCTGTTGTGACCTGCGTGCTCCCCAGATTTCTTCTTTCAAGACAGCTTGCTCCATCAAGCCGAAAGCTCACGTCTTAGCTTAGAGAAGTTTACCAGGGACTTCCCCGCAATGGCGCTGGTATCTCATTTTCTCATCTTCAAAGGACAGCCTGTGCCAATCACGGGCCTTCTTATCCTCGGTCTCCTACTCTGTGGACTACATTTCGTCCTGAGAATTGGAAGCCGGGATAAGAGGCTTCCACCTGGTCCTCCGACTTGGCCTATCCTTGGGAATTTGCACTTGATACCGAAGACAAACTTAGCCCTGAAGTGAGAGAAATCTTGTTTTGTTGTTATCTCATTGCTACAAGCACGGCAGGCTTAACGAAAGTCATGCAGGTTGAAAGTCTAGGGCGAGCAATACGGAGGCGTCTACTCCTTGAAGTTTGGCCATTCCACCGTGATCGTGCTCTTCGATCGCAAAGCTGTCAACCACCTTCTCGATAAAAAGGGAGCCATATACTCGGAGCGCCCGTTCAACTACGTCCCGCGCCTGGTTACGGGCGGGGACAGTCTTGGATTTATGAACACGACGCCGCTCTGGAGACAGGAAAGAAAGGTGGCAGTTCACAACCTCTCGGCATGAGCGCGTCCATCCACGTGAGTTAACATTGCTTTCGGCTGACCTCTGAGCCCGCAGCCTCGTGCTCTGGAAGAAAAAATTGGCCACATTCAGCATGCGGAGTAGGCCCGACGTGGCTTGTTGGTGGCGAGTGTCTGCTGACGAAGGCTGTAGGTCTATTGTCCTCCTGTCGGATTTGCTGAACAATCCTGAAGGATACTAATCCCACATCAAGCGAATGACCGCTCCGGTGGCTTCGACTGTGGTGTTTGGTCACCGAGGCCCCGATGCCAACAATTTCTGGGCACATGTGAGTTACTGAAGTGTGCGTTACCGTTCTCGCGCTGAGAAGATACTTGGAGGCCGTGTACAATGCAATGGATAGCTATAATGCTTCCCTCGAGGTGGGGGCCAATCCACCGGTTGACGAGTTCCCATTTCTTCAGTGGATACCTGACTCGATGGCTTACTGGAAACGACGTGTCAAAGGCTCGTTCAAGTGCATGGATGACACGTGGAACGAAGCTCGTAGGCTCGTCAATGTTCGTCGACGGAAAGGGATCAAGCGTGATTGCATCATCGAGTCTATTCTGGACGGAGAGAGACACGGCGAGCTGGAGCTCAACGACCATCAGTTGAATCACTTCATGGGGGTCTTGGTGGAAGGTGGCGCGGACACGACTGCATCAGCCATGTTGACCTCGGTCATGTTCCTGGCTATGCATCCCCAGTATCAGGAGAAAGCTCGTAAAGAGCTCGACGCCGTCTGTGGCACGTCCCGGTAGGCTTCCGGGGGGTAAGCACGAAAGCAGCGTTGGTAAGACTATAGTCCCACTAGTCCTAGTCCTAGTCCCAGCCCCCTAGGACTATAGTCCCTAGTCCTGACTATAGTCCCAACTAGTCCCCCTGAATCTCCGTAAACGGAGCGATCTGATTGGTGGAAATGGGTCCAAAGCCTCACCATCACATCTCATATAGACCTTGATCGATCCAGTGCTTCAGGCATTGACTAGCCTCGAAAGATCTCGCCGATAGACGGTTACGATCGACTGTTATCGTTCTCTTCGCTTGGGAGAATACCCTCTCTAGTTCTGTAGACATTGCAGATATTGTTAGAGTGTTAAATACCCACTGACGAAGTGACGGGAAGTCACAGGTAGACCACCAGTGAAAAAGGTTTTCTTTACGCCAATCTATAAAAGGCGTCGGTCGACCGTTAATATATCGATAAAAGTCGTCCTCGGTATCCGAGGTATCAGCGCCTTGTAATTGAGTGATAAATAGCGAGAGAGAGGACTGTGAACGTTCCGAAGTAGTTATAGGCGTAATCTGACTGTATTGTTCTTGCTAGATCGTACGGTTCTTTTCGATCATAGGCTCGATCTGATATGCGGTATTATTGGTTTAAGAACGCTTAAAATACTGTAGACGAAGACAAGGATTAAGAAGAGCGCTAGCGGCATACAGCTCGTGATTCTTGTCTGTTAGATCGTTATATTCTTGCAGTACTTCCTAGGCGTTTTGGTAGTAAACGATTAGGGGGTCGGTACTCGCTGTATATCGTTGAGATATCTACCGTTGCGCTGTTTCTCGACCGCGTTAATTCTAACCTCGTCGCCGTTGAACAGAATAGCCGTGAAGAGTTATATAACTCTTAATATAACAATAGAGTATATTTAGTGATGGTAGCGCCTCCTAGATTACTCCATAAAAGCCATTCTTACCACTTCCTTTAAGTCTTAGTGTTATCTCCCAGAACGGTTTAAGACCCTCGTAAATTAAGTTTAGTTACGTCCACTCTTTATCTATAAGAACATCGTCGTCGGGAAAGTCCTCGGCGTAAGAGACGTAATACTTAAAAGCCTCTTTGAGTCTAAGACCTCTCTTAATCGCTAGATAGGCGGAATTTCATCTAGTTGCGTTGTTAAGGATAGATTAAAGATTGAGATGTATATCGCCGAGTTTAGAATTATAGATATTCTCGCCTACGGTTACTAAATTAGGTAACTTACGCGAATAATATTAATCTGGATCTAAACTGACCTCGAATATTCATCTAGTTCACAACCATCGCTATCACCACCTAGAATTATTGCCGACGTTAAGATGAGGCTCGAATAAACTTAATAGTATTATAAAACTTGCTAAATGACCCTTTTGTTCTTCAGAGAGCCTATTCACGAGCGATCGCTGTGTTAGACACAGCCTTGGAAGAGACCGGTCGCGGGCTGCGAAGGCGCGGCTCAGGACATTCATTGGACAGATGGAAGGATCCACAAGGGAACAAGGCTGAACCACGTGATATGCCCTGTTGGCTCTGTCGGCCCTGTGGGCTCTGCCAGCAGAGCGCACAGAGCGCACAGAGCGCGCAGAGCACGAGCATTATATATACACCCTCATTTCCCCTAGATAGTTACACTCTCTTC